TCAATACATCTAGTCCAATCATTGCTTTTACAGAGGCAGAGAGAAAGACAGAGTTATACACACATTACCCGGCTCAGCAAAAGAGGCTGCTGCTTGTGACTGAAGGTTACATTGCTTCCTGCTTCAAAGCAGGAATGCAACTGGATGTTCTACTTGGTTTATAAGTATAAAACATAATACAGCAAGTCTATATTGCAGAGCAATCACATGTCCAGGCCTACCACAAGAAATGGGTCACACTGTCAGCACTCTTGTAAGTCAAAAGAATCCCTAATTTCCCTCACTAGCCTTCTCTGTAGTGGAGCCTGTTTGACCAGTCCTACAGTTCTGAAAGCAACAAAACTGGCAATAAACTTAAAGCTGCACTAAAGCAGTAAAATACATTTCCAAGATTTGACATTTTAAAAATATTTAGCATACAAGTCTGTTGGAAATTCCCTACACAATTGCTTCTATACATGACTAAAATGATCAAGATGATCATTTATGCTAATGCAGTTTAAGAACACGTATAGTTTTATTTTTACTACTAAAATGAGTTATTCTATTATTATTATTCTATGAAGCCATGCTGTATTTCACCTATTCCAAAATAATGACCAAAATCCAATGTAAAAGTTACTTCCATAGCATTGTGAGAACAACCTGGATAAGCAACCTGAATATTACCTCCAAATCCAGGAATCAAAAAGCAATGAACTAAAGAAAAATTGCACATAAACACACTTGCCTTTAAACTCTTGAGTTAAAAGTTAACTTCAGGACCTGAGATTACTAAGGAAACCTGTTGAACTACATCTGAGAACCAACTCTGCTTTTTAATGATTTAGGTTGGTGATACAGTACAGATTTCCCTTTCTTTAGCTCTAATACTTGCAGACACGTTTCAGATCTACACGCTTGACCTTCCCAGGAAACATGGGTCAGGTACTGATCACATAGGTACAAGGCAGCACTTGGTACTTAAAAGAGCAGAACAAAAAAACCCACACAACTCTCCTATGCACTTTACACTGCAGAGAACTTCTCTTTACCTCTCTTAAAGGGTAGTCCCAATGCTGAGAGCCTGGGAGCCTTGCCAAAGGGGACTGAACTTGAACATCCTCTGACTTGTTGTTTGGTTTCTTCTTTGGTATACGAAACTGAAAATAGAGGATGTTACATGATAAAACTAAATTACCCACTGGTGCTAGGAGCTGACATACTGCCAGATACAAAGTTTTTATAATCATCAGGTAAAATAAAGTCACAAACAAAGCACTGACCTGTTACTTTAACTTAGAAGTATTCTCATTGATGTTTCATCATAAATCGCTGTCATTCTATCAGGAGCTGGTTTTAACAGATGAACACCAAGAAAAAAAACTAATCTTATTTCATTAATTTCACAACAACCTCAAACACGTGCCCAAAAGGTGAGACCAAAACCAATCCAATGTTACTCCATTTTCTTGGTTCCCTCTAACTTGCTAATGCTCTAATTTAATCTTCGCATCACAGCTTGAAGAGTGATCAAGAGAAAACAAGACAGCTGAATTACGTATGTTTGCTCTCAGAAAATAAAGAACATCATTTATCCTGTCATAGTACTAATGTTTTAATATGATTATTTAGCAATAGCATTCTCCAATGTCCTCAAAACACTATTACCTGTTGTCATTACCAACCATATCAAAATTAAGTATTGAAAATAAAGAATCATACAGTTGTTTGAGTTGGAGAGGAACTTTCAAGGTCATCTAGTCCAACAGCCCTGCAATGAACAGGGACATGTACAGCTAGATCAGGTTGCTTAGAGCCCTTCCATCCTGACCTTCAATGCCTCTAGGGATGGGGCATTCACTGCCTCTCTGGGCCATTAGTAATTCTCAGCAATTTGCCAATACAAGAAATAATAATAAGAGAGGTGAGTTACTCTGAAGTTGATTAAACACATTAAACAAACTCAACTAAACATAGAAATGAAAACCTAGACACTTCTCCTGGCACCTTGATGTGCAAAATTACAGGCTGCAAACAGGACTAGATTCAAACACATTAGATATGGAATGTAGTGCTAATCTTTCAGTTAATTAAATACATTAGCCCCTCCCCCCCAAAAAAAGCAAAAGCTACTCCATATGACAGCTACTGCAAAGTGCATTGTGAACTTTATTTGCAAGCTATCTGACATCCTACTTTGCAAGATGAAATTACAAGTCAGTATTCTAGAAAAGTGTGAGGCCAGCAACTTCGTTAACACAGAAGCTTCATTCATTAGCTCTGTATGCAGTCCTTCAGATCATAACTGAAGCATACTGCATTGCCAATGAGATAATTCTTCCATTTTTCCACTTAAATCATAATTACTCTTATCCTTCTCTATCCTTCTTTGAATTATTGTTTTAATTATCAGATCTGAATTTCTATACAGTACCTCAAGCTCCTTTTGATATTCAAACAGTAGTGCCAAATACAATATCACATCATAGAATCACAAGGTTGGAAAGGACCTACAAGATCATCTAATCACAAAGGTAATAATATAGACACACATAAGCAATGCTTTTAATAGAAGTATGTCCCATTTTTTATTAAGAAATTCTGCAATAAGAGGTATTTTGTTGTATGGAGAAATGGCTTATAAACTTTAATATGTCAGGATGTTTTTTTTCAAATCCATGCATTAATGGTGAGGTATCAATTTCTTTAAAAAAAAAAAAACAACACAGAATCCATCAGGAAGGAAAGCAGCAGGCTATAAGATTCCTGACAGCACAGAACTGTATAAAATTTGTGTTTTGCATAACAGAGCTTCAGACAACTTCTGTAATAACGTAACATTGAGAAAAAGATAAGGTCAGACACAGAACAGAAACAGATGACCCGACAGCGGGACAAAAAGCATAAGATATATTCATTAGCAAGATTTCCACCTCAGTGCACCACATCCTCAAAACGTTTGTACTCATTAAGATGTCAGTTAGGAATAGCTGCAATTAACATACAGGACAAACACAGAGTAAAGAGGTAACCAACAGAAGTCTGAATTTACATTAAGTGCAATGTATGCAAGCTGCTTCAGCTTTCCCTTAACAGAAAGCAAATGAATCAGCACATATATGCACTTTGTAGATTCCTCATCTACATCAGTAGCATTTATCTGCTACACCCACAGAAGCAGAAGTCAGAGAACACATATAAACAATGTGCTGGAAACATTTTATTTCTAGAACACCACACAGACCTTACCTGGATCAAACCAGCTGCTGTGCCTACAGTTTGTTTTCGCTTGTACTTCCATTGCTAGAAACTACAACTAACATGGATATTTTAAGAAAAAGGACACTAGCATATGGATTCTTACACACATCTCAGTAGATAACCAAAGATTAATCAGTTACACAGCTCATTCACCTGAGTATTATTATTATTATTTAAGAATTGCTTAAGTCTTAATATGGCCTCGAAAAGTATTCAGTTTATGTTAAACATTAACCCTACATTGTATTAACATGTTCAGCAGAATACATTGCAACTGACTGCTGCTAGCTTAAGCTAGTTCTCAAGAAAGCTGTTCCAACAACGTGAAAACAGGACCCCTGGAGAGTCACTGGTTACATAAGCACAGCCACAGCATCTCAGGACACCCACATCCTGAAAGCTACCTGTTACAAATTGTAAAAGACTTACACTGACATGACTTGAAGGTGATGGTCTTCTTTCCATGACTTTTTCCACTAGAAAAGAAAAACATACAATTATATTCATACACATACAAAAAATAAGCTTAGCAATTTACATTTCATTTATTTGGAAGTAATTAAGATTGCAGCAGTAGGCAGTAAGCAAAAAAACCAGCAAAAAGCACCCTTTCTCAGGCAGTTAGCACAACATAAGTTCATGAGTAGCCACAATACAAGAGATACGCTTCAGCAGGGCTCTGCATTATCAGTGTGTGCGTATGGACTCGTTAACAAAGTTTCCACCAGAACTTGTCTCGAAGGAAGGTATTTACCCTGAAGCATGTATAGAATTACGTTTCCTGCTCACTAGAGCATAAGCAGGTCTTTGATCGTAAAAAGTGCCACAGAAAGATATTTGTAACACTGGAACACTTGTAATAATAAAGTAATACAATTCAATCTGTTAACAGATAACCTTCTTCGTCACTGGAAGAACAGAGCTTCAGAACCACAAGTGTTCCAAGCCATTTCTTCTGTTTACACACACTCTGCATGAGACGCAGAGAGGTCGTAAGCTCTTCAAACCTCACAACCTAACTCAAGAAGCCTAACTCACCATTTAAGCCTGAATAGTTTTGTTTCCGTCAGCAATTTTTCAGCCCTAAGTTGGACAAGAGCAGTATGCGTAGGCTACATAAGAGGGCCCGGCCATCGCCAAACCCAACGCCATACCCACAACTCCCGGCCGGCCGGCCTCCTGCGGGGCTGAAGAACGGCCACTCACAAAGACCGAGTGGCCGCTCCGCCGTCCTCCCTGGCGGTTTCGCGAACATTGAACTAGGAGGTGACGCAGACACCCACCCACCGGGGCTGCGGCTCGCTGCCGGGTTCCGTTATATACCCCCTCTGAACCCCCCTCACCCTTAGCGGTTAAAGGGTTCCCGGAGCCCCGCCTACAGAGCAGCACCAAGCGCACGCTGCAGCCCCTCCCCAGCACCAACCGCTGTGCCGCCACCGTTGTTGTTGTTGTTGTTATTGCTCTCGCCGCTACTGCCGTTCGCTAAGGCCCCGCCACCGCCCCCTGCGCAACTCCGCCGGTTACTTCCGGGTAGAGCCCCGCCCGAGCCGGGGGAACCGGCCCCGCCTGCTCAACAACGGCTGCCCCAGCGCCGACCCCGCAGGGGGCCCCTCGCAGGCCTGCCCGCCTGCAGCAAGGCTCCGCCTTTGGGAGCTGTGGCGGCGCTCGGCTTTAGCTTTCTCCCACAGCCCGACTGGGACCTAGAGGGCAAAGCGGGTGTGACTCTTACTGGCGGCCAGCTCGCGTCTGGCGAATTGATGAGCCACACGAACAGCGGGGCTGTCGAGGAAGCTAGCGCTAAAGGAGGGGAAATTGTGATCTCTGAGGGACGCTACGGAAAACGGCTTGTTGCTGTTTGGTTGTTTTCCAGTAATTTCTAACCAAACGAAATGAAGTTTATATTGCTCCTCGTCGACCCCATCTTACTACTGAGACTTTCACCTCCATTTCAGTCAGAATCCTGAAGGTGGATTCATAGTTTAATTACAACTCAATTTGCACTGCCCTACCCTCGTGTATCACATATATACTGCCAGAACTTCCACAGCCCATATCATATCATATCTTAGAATGGCCTGGGTTGAAAAGGACCACAATGATCATCTGGTTTCAACCCCCCTGCTATGTGCAGGGTCACCAACCACCAGCCCAGGCTGCCCAGAGCCACATCCAGCCTGGCCTTGAATGCCTCCAGGGATGGGGCATCCACAGCCTCCTTGGGCAACCTGTTCAGTGCGTCACCACCCTCTGAGTGAAAAACTTCCTCCTAATATCTAAACTAAACCTCCCTTGTCTCAGTTTAAGACCATTCCCTCTTGTCCTATCACTACCCACCTTCATAAATAACCGTTCCATTTACTGTTTATATGCTGCATTCAAGTACTGGAAGGCTACAATGAGGTCTTCCCAGGGCTTTCTCCGAGCTAAACAAGCTCAGTTCCCTCAACCTTTCCTCACAGGAGAAGTTCTTCAGCACTTTGATCATCTTAGTGGCCCTTCTCTGGTCCCTCTATAAGAGCTTCATATCCTTGTGCTGGGGACCCTAGGCCAGGACGCAGTACTCCAGATGGTGCCTCGCAAGAACCAAGTAGAGGGGGGGCAATCACCTCCCTCTCCCTGCTGGCCACACCTTTGTGCTGAAATCTAAAAACTTCTGCAGCTGAGTAGGCTGGCTCCAGCTCAGCATGCGGTGGAGTAACAAGCTCAGCTGATGCAATGGTTTCCAGCTGGTGGCCTTGGAAATCCTTTCATATAAAGACAAAGATCTTTTTCTTCTTCCTAAGGTGGCTTTAGAACTGTAAGTTTGATGTGCGGTTTTCTGAAGTAATACCAAGTGTTTTCTCTACTTATTAACATAATACTTTTATATCAAGTAGTAGAAAGCTCTGCAAAGCTTGTTTTAATAATTGTCACATGTAAAAGAAACTTCTGTTCAGGTGTAAAATACAAACACAAGATGTTAGATTGGAACTACCTGAAACTAGAGATGACCTTAGCTGGCAGCAAATGATAGATTTTATAGATGTATGTAAGACTAATATACATAAAGTAATGGAACCTGAACTAATGTGGAACTTATTTTCTTTGCACAGAGAAATTGCCTACGGTCCCAGAGTCAGAAAGATTTTCATCTGTGATGATGGCAGACTTTACAGGAGAACATACGGTAGGTAATGTTGGGTCTTCCTGGAATAAACTGTTAAATGGCAAATCTCCTGAAGAGTAATGCTTATGTGATTTATATTTCAGTGATGTTTGTAATGTGGTAAGTGATGTGCAAATGTTAACTAAGTTTACAGGTGAAATATGTTAAAATCACACAATCACCAAGATTGGAAAAGATGATTATGCAATCAGACCATCCATCTACCACAAATATTCACAGTTACACCATGTCTCTTAGTACTGCATGTGTTTCTTGAACACCTCTAGGGCCAGTGACTCAACCACCTCCCTGAGCAGCCCATTCCTTATCTTTCAATATGAGCAGAAAAAAAGTAAGGGAAGGAAGGGGAAAGGGTGTGTTTGTTATGTCTGTTTCTCCCCAACAGTATTTATTTATTTATTTTTTTTAAAATCAAAACAGTGGTTGTAAAGTCAGCTAGAATACACACCCTTGAATACTGTTTGTATATAGAAATGTAGCACAAGCAGTTGAAACTGATTTAGGATATAGACTTACAAAAAAGAAAGAAATATATTATGCAACTGTTTCAAAAATAATGACTGCTGATTTTTAATCCTACACATGGCATTGCAGGTATAAAATCTGTCCTCCAAGCTAGTTTATGCTCTGAAGTGCTGTTCATTAATACTTACTCCTTGCTACTACTAGTTGGTACTAACTTGCTAATCATAATGTGCTGGAAAACTGCAGCCTCATTTTTGCAGGGATGAGAAGAAAGAGACAGAATTGTTGGATAGCATGATAGTCTGTGAGGAAACTGCACTTACCTTTTCCTGTTTGTTGTAGAATGCTTTCTCTGCACTTTACTCAAAGGGAAAATGGGCATGCTGTTCCTAGCATAATTGTTGTCAACTGATCACACAATTTGAAAAATCATATGATGGTCTCCATTTTCAGCTGTAGTAACCTTATGGGGAAAATTGAGGCATGGACTCCTTTCTCCTTATTCTCAGATCACACTAGTTAATTCTGTCATTTATTCTATCATTTCCACACTGCAAGTGCTTACAAAGGAAGGGTTTGTATCAGTGTACTGCTGTTGCAAAAGGAATCTGGCTTTTGAGCAGGTTTACCAAAAGCAATGAATGCTTTGTGTGTTACCACATGTTAATATTGATTACACTACAGCATGCTTTATGTAACTGTTGTATGGTGGTCTATTATTACATTAACATAATTGTCTTAATTTGCAGTGGTTACAAACAGGACATGAACTAAGCTTGAGGACACTAGTAGAGGGTTCAGATTATCAAGAGGAACTGAAGTATGATTTTAATGAAAAAGGGGAACTGAGGCATCTGGACACGAATGAATCCTTTGTTTTCAATTACTACAAAAACACCTATGAGAGGAATCATAAACGCTATCAAGTTTTAGGACATATGATTACCCAGTATGTTTATGAGCTCCTGGAAAGAGTCTGCGCACTGCAAAAAGTTTATATTCCTTCTGACGCTACAGAGGATGAACCAAGAAGTTTCTTTTTTATGAGTGAGAAAGCACTAACAAGTTCTTCTAGCATAATTGTCCTTCTTCAGGACCGTGGAGTTTTTCGTGCTGGCCAGTGGGGACACAAGACAATCATCAGTGAGGGGCTGTACCATGGAACACAAATACCGTTCATCAAAATGGCCCTTCAAAGCCACGGGGGAGTGATTGTACTGAATCCCAATGACAATCTCATTGACTTGAAGACCGAAAGGGAGAAGCCAAGCTATTCTGCCAGAGAAGAATCACTGACTTCTATGCATTCCTGCCAGTGGATCACCAAGCGATGCAGCAGTAGCCCTGAGGAGCATACCATATATGTATGGGATCATTTCATTTCTAAAAGTGCAGCCAAGAATGTGGCTTTCATTGCCCATGGCTATGGTGGTTTGGTGTTCATTGATCTGCTTGTGCAGAGAAAATGGGAAGTGATGAATAAAGTGTTTTCTGTGGCATTCATTGATTCCATGCACAATATACAGCATCAGGCTAGAAATGACCTGCAGATACAATGGTGGACACAGAAACACTGCCGTGAATGGGTATCAAACAATAAGCCTTTAGGTAAAGCTGTAGGCTCCCTTGTCAAAGTGAATTGTCCAACTGTCTCTGCTGGAACTGAAAAGTATAGCTTAGCACCTTCCTACTGCTTGCGTTCCATCTTTAAGTACCTGAACAGCGCCCTGAAAGCCAAGACCACCACGGCCTTTACACGTTCGCCTATTGCAACTCGAAGCAGCAAAAGTTGGTAAATCAAGGTACACTGACTTGGGTTTTGATAGTAATCTCTTTTTTCCATAACCATCCCTACAACTAAGATCCTTCACTATGGAGAGACTTACAGTTTTAAGTTTGAAGACACTTGTATTTTTGTGTTTCTCAAAAATGAAGTTAACTGTGAGGAAAAAAATGCCTTCTTGAAAGCTTTAGGTCATATCCCTTCAGCTAGCTGTGACATTTAAAGCTGCACAAAATAAAGATGTTAACATATATCAACACTTGTCTGTACAATCTTTTAAATTGTACTTTCTATGGTGACAGCTTTGTAGTTGGACTAAATGAGCAACAAAACACTAATTTCTTAAGTGCATAAAAGGACAATTCTGGAATACACAAAGTATGCAAATGTGCAATTTTAAATCCAACGAAATCAGTGAGGCTACACAGAGTGACTTGCTGGGGTTATAAAATGTTAGCAACCTACAGTTATCGAACTGATACAAGAGAATGATGTAGCTGTTTCCTCTCAGCTGTTTTATCTTTTATAGAAGTGGGAAACAGTTTAAGTGTCCACATGAAAGGCTTGCAAATTACTAAAGGAAAAAGCCAAATAGTTTTTAAAGAATATGTAAAAGAAAAAGCTATTCTGAATTTCCAGTTTAATTGTGTGGGAATTAAAAGCACCCCATGTCTGCAAAAGAGCTCTGAAGGCTGATGGTGCCTTGCCCTACATCTTCAGATCCCATCTTATTAAGAAAAAAATAATTGCTGAACAGTAAGATTGGGAACAAAAAACAGTGTCAAATTCCCTTTATGTTATTATTATGTTCATCTATTTCTGATTTTAGTAATTTCTGATGCTGTCTGAAAAAGCTTTCATACCGTTACGTAGTAATGGGTAGAAATATAAAATTCCATTGGAAAGGCACAGAGAGGTAAGTACTTTCAGTAACAACTGCAGCTTTTTAAATACAGCTTGGCTAATATCATATTTGAATGAAAGTAGTATTAAATTAATAGAGTACACTACTATTTAGTTCACTTATGACCATTGTGCTGATGCCATCATTATGCATACAAGCAGCATATCTGTTCTACAGCTGCTGGTCAGCATGACACTCAAGTACAGTCACTTACATGAATTGTAGATGTTAACAAGTAGCTTTATTTGTGACAGAAGTACTAAGTGACAGAATGTCTGTCTTCAGAAAGAGACCAATATGATCCTTCACCATAAACGCTCAAAGTGTCCCATGGTGTCAGCAGTGGATAAAAATGCTGAGGAAAAACATATCTAGAATATCCGCCATTCCCATAACTCTTTAACTCAGGTCAGCCACTAAATTCCTTGGTAAAGAAGGTCATATTTAGGAATATTGCTGGGATCAATAGGACTTCTCACAATAAGCTTTCCGCGCATGGCACCACGGTAAATCACTTCAATCAGATCTATGAAGTCTTGCTTTGTTTTGAAGCTTCCTACAAATTTGGTGTGATCTGGAGACCTAAAGATAAGCATAGAATAAAAGTAGTATTGAAACATTGAAACATTCAAAACAAAAACATAGACAAGAAAAGTTGTATAATGAAATTAAGGATTTTGACTTGTTGATTCTGAAAGAAACACATCAACCAAGTCAGGAATATACTATGACCTGATATCCGAAGTCCAAGAAGGTGCAGTGTTGTGTCTAAGGTTTTAATCATGCCCTGTTTTGCAGAGTCCAGCATATTTCACAGCTGGTACCTACTTACAATGTCAGAGTGTTTCAAACTACTTTTTAATGCTCCGTACTTCCACCTTCTCACATATCAGTGCAGATTCTATCAACAGCAGTACAGTTTTCAAGCATTATCTGTTGTAGACAAGGTAACACAGAGACTATTAAATTACTATAAATGTAACAGACAATGTCAGGTGGGATGACATACCCATAATCAACCTTCATGTGCTGTCCATTGAAGAAAAATACGGTGGATGGAATATAGCTGATGTCAAAATACTGGGTGTACACAGGAACCTTGTTCACATCCACCAGGTAGATGACTGCCATCTTACTTAGGTCATGAGCTGTCTTGGCAAGCTGATAAGAATGAGACAGACAGGGAGAAAATGGATTGAGACAGAAGTGGAAATAAAGGCATCAAGCTTTATGAAGCCCATCTCCATTAGATCCTATCAGTTTAAGCAGGGCTGGAATGTCCCATCTACCTCTAGCACTTTATACACGCATGCATGCTAAAGTGTCAAACTGTCGAGGGTATGAATTCGTGTTACTTTTAAGTGTCTGCTGCAAACACTACCACCATCTTTATCAGGCACCCTATCACCCAAACACAACCTATGGCACTGTCCTGTGAACAACAGGTATATCTGGAGTCTTCATTTATATTGAGGGAGAAAAAAAAAAGGAAAAAGATAAAAAAAAAGACCTCTTACAATATCATCGAGCTGCAGACAGACAGCATCGTTATCTCTTCCGAACCGGAGGACCAAAACCTTCTCTGCCACGCTCTTTATGGCCTGATCCACCTCCTTCTTAGAGCTCAGCTTGGGCAGCAGGAAACTCATCCTGACAGCGCGCAGCCTCTACGACCCCCCTCTCCTGACGATCACAGAAAGAAAAAAAAAAAAGATGAAGGATGACAAAATGAAATCAGCGAGCCAGCCCGCCCGCGCCGGGAGCCCAAACGCGCGGAGATACAGCCCTGGGGCTCCGACCGTTGCAACAGGCAGATGATCGCCGGAACGACTGTTCAGAACCCGCAGAACGCAGAGATCGGCCAGCAGGCCCGGGCAAGAAAGCGAACGGACTGACTCCTTCCCGCGCACGCGCGGAGCGGTGCTCCCGCCTTCCCGACGCGCAGGAGATGGCGGCGAGGATCGGGGTGGCATGGGGGAAGTGTTAGCCGCGCTCGCCCAGGTATGTAATCTCCTTTAGTAGGGTTGATCATTAGCATTCCTCCTCTCCCCAGCAGTTGGCCTTAAGATCAGTTTGGGTTTGGTTCATAGTGCAGCCTCAGAAATCATAGAATTGTTAAGGTTGGAAAAGACCGCTGAGATCATCTTAGTTGAACCATCAGTCCATGACTACCATGCGCCCACTGTATTCCTCAGTGCCACATCCACACGGCTCTTGAAATCCTCCAGGGACAGTGACTCCGCCACCTCCCTGGGCAGCCTGTGTCAATGCCTCATCACTACTGAGAGGAAACTTCTCCTAATATCCAACCTGAACCTCCCCTGGTGCAACTTGAGGCCTTTCCCTTTTATCCTATCCCTGTCACACGGGAGAAGAGGCCAACCCCCACCTCACTACAACCTCCTTCCAGGTAGCCATAGGAAGCAGTAAGGTCTGCAATCCCAGTTCCCTCTGCTGTTCCTCATAACGTTTGTGCTTCAGACCCTTCAGCAGCTTCATTGCCTCTCTGGACACTCTCCATAGCCTCAATATCTTTCTTACAGTGAAGGGCCGAGTGTTTGTACTGCTAAGGGAGCCAGGAATAAGGACCTCGAGGTATATAAGCGTTCCTTCCTTATGGCAGTACTGTTGGCTTTGCAAAACTATAGCAGTGGTAGTTGTAGGAGCTCAGCGTCCTATTATATGGAAGCATATAGAAGAATTAAAACAGGTACTAAAATAAAAAAGAAATTAGGTAGGTGTCTGGATGTAGTTTTAAGTTATTTTCAGTCTCCATGCAGCATTCTGCTTGCTTCTGTTGCAAAGTTCGTATTTGTCAAATGGTAGATCAAAATGAACACTAGTGAGAGACTGACTGCATTTTGAATTGCATTTGGTACAGCTGTTTTAAGCAGTAGAGCTAAACACACCCGTTCGTAACAGTGCCATATACGTTGTTTTTAAGTACAGTAGAAAAGCAATAGTGGAAGCGGGAATTCCTGGTATTCCTCAGGATGTAACTTGCTGTCTGTCAGCAGTAATAAGGATGAACATCTATGTTTTCTTCATGACTTCTGAGAAGTTTTTCCCCCTCTTGTGCTTTTTTGCAGATAATTGTTTGAACACAGCACATGTTCAAGTATGCGGGCTGCTAATATGCTTCTGAAAAAAATTGTAAGATGCTCTGCCTTCTCATTTTCAATACAGCATGGGATGAAACGAGATTTGTTTCCACTGAGTAGAACTCTGATTCTCTCACCTTGCCTGAAAGAGGACAATACACGCAGTTCCTCAGAAAAAGTAGATTTAGATGCGTGGAAGAAAGTAATGAAGTCTGGGTTGCAGGATGTCAGTGAGACAGTCTCTGAGCCTAAGGAGATCTCTGCTTTGGCTGCGGCACGTGAGACTTTGGAGTTGTGGAGGCTAGTTGGTAGAGCAGTTCCTGAAAAAATCAGTGAAGAACAGCTAAAAGCTTTTATAGAATGTCCTTCCAAATCAGCCCAAAAGAAGTATTTAAAATTTTTGCATCTTAAAGAACTGTACAAGAAAAGTAACAAAAGAAAGATGGATGAAAAAAGGGAAAGGAGGCTGGAAACGCAAGAGGGAGCTTCAGAAACTGAAGAGCCCAAGAAGAATCCATATGTTTGTTTGTGGAGCAGCTCTATGGATAAAGCATACAACTGGAGAGTTGCTCAGTCTATGATCTTTGGCCAGCCTCTAGTGTTTGATATGTCTTATGAAAAGTACATGTCTGTCAGGGAAGTAGCAAATACAGTGAGACAAATAGTATTAAGTGAAGGTTGTAATCGAAGATCTGTGGATCCATTCCACATTCACTTCTGTAATTTCAAAGATGATAGTCTGTATCATAAGGAATTTATCAAACATTATAGAGGAGCGTGGGACAAACTGCTTATCACAGTGACAGACCAGTGCTACACAAACATCTTTCCGAAGGATAAGCTTGTCTATCTGACTGCTGATTCTCCCAAAGTAATGAAAACTTTTGATCATAACAAAATCTACATTGTCGGGTCTCTAGTTGACAAGAGTATAAAAACAGGAGTTTCTTTAGCACAGGCAAAACGACTGGGGCTAGAGACTGCAGCCCTTCCATTGGAGAAATACTTGCTGTGGAATTCTGGTGCTAAAAATCTCACGCTGGATCAGATGATGCATATTTTATTAACCTTGAAAGATACTGGAGATTGGAAGAAGGCTCTGGAATTTGTTCCCAAAAGAAAGTACTGTGGCTTTGTAAACAAGCCTATGCATGAACTGAAAAAAACCTTAAACTTGATCAACGTGCTTAAACTTGGGAAGAGACCAGAAGAATTACAAAAGCGATTTGCAAACAACTACTCCAAGAGGCTAACACAAAAATAGAGTGATGGAGAAGAAAATTATTTCACAGGCAAGCTATAACCCTAAATGTGCCAGTTTCTTGAGACTTCTGGGACTGTATTCTGTAATTACTGTTTGTCACTAAAATTTATTGGACTAGTTCAAAAAGACTTTTGTTAGAGCGTTTCTTTTTTTAATGACTGTGTTATTGGGTCTGTTTGAATTTACTTGTGGACTTCTGAAATTATGCAATAGAAATTAGATTACACTGTGTATGAGTCTGTTCACTAGAGTCATAATGGCTAAGGGTGATTCTTACAAAATATGAAGTTTGTTCTCCAAGGAATACCTGAGTGCTATGGGTTTGCAAATCCATGGCCTTATTCTAAAAGATTAGGCGAGACCAAAAAGAAGACACTTTTCCTTGTTTTTGGTGCATAAACTGACATTAGACATGGAATCACATGGAAAAGACCGTTAAGATCATCTAATCCAACCACCAACCCATCCCACCATGCCCACTAGCCATGTTTCTCAGTACTACATTCACACAGTTCTGAAACACCTGTAGGGATGGTGATTCCAACACCTCCCCGGGCAGCCTGTGCCAATGCTTCTCTGCTCTTTTAACGTGAGTTTGGGGAGTTTGTGGAAGTTGCGTGGTTTGTCTCTGAGTGTTCTGGGACAAAGGAATTCACAGTTAGGAAAGAATATCCCAGAGTTTCCTGAACCTGCCAAAAAATACCTCGCGCTCTTTTGAGTGGCTTTTCCCTGCGAATGACTGTTTTCAGTCTGTGTACTGCACATTTGCCAGACTACTGGAAGTTCTGAGATGATAAAGTCATCTCAGTGAATACTTAAAGACATGCAGAGTGCCTTTTATTTTTTATGACAGCTCATGCAACAGCCGGTGGTCAGACTGCAGGGCGTCAATGGGCACCGTGTGAATGCGAGAAGCATCTGGATTCGTTCGTAGGCAATTAAAGCGTCTTGATTTCATCAATTGCGTACACTGGTGCTTCAAATTACCGATCGCATGTAGTGGTTTGTATCCAGGAAAACGAAGAACGGGGCCCTCTGATTTTATTTTTTTTCTAGTGAGGAAACGGCTGGGAGAGAGGGAAGCGGGATGACTTTGCCGCAGTCCGGAGAGTATTACTCAGCTCGCGCCGGCTCTGGCCCCCGCCTGCCGGAAGTGCACCACACGAGCGCCGCTTGGACTTCTTTCCGCCCTCCCTGCATGGCTTCCGCTTCCGGTACGGCCGCTGTGTCTTCTCCATGGCCGTGGGAGGAGCGGGAGGCGGTGCAGCCGCGGCGTCGCGGCGCGCGTGCGCTGCGCGGGAGGCGGAGGCGGGGGAAAATGGCGGACGGCAGAGCGGAGGGGGAGAAGGCGAGGCGGCCGCCGCCCGCAGGAGGTGAACGTGCAGCGCCTCTCGCCGCGGGCCCGTGGGGCGCGCTGTGGGACCGGGGGCGTCCCCCGGGGGTGGGGGGCGCGGGGAGTGCCGCCCCAGGGGCGGATAGGCTGGCCTGGGCCGGGCCGCGCTGCGACGTGTGCCCGGCCCTGGGGTGAGGGGCGGCCCGGGCCTGACCGGGCCTGAGGGGCTGCGCGAAAGGGGAGGCCGCGGGCTGGGCACGGCGCCTGGGGCCGCTTCGGCCTCATGGCAGCGCTTGTGGCCGGCGAATTCGCCCTGCCGCGCTAAGGCGTTCTCTTGTTTCTTTATTTTAATGAAAAAATACGCGGAATAATTCTGCCGTGTATTGAGAGAGATTTCACGATTGCCATTGAAACACTCAACATTGGCTTTAACAACTGAAGCGCCTGGGGAGTAGTGATACAGTGAATATCCCCTGTGTGCCATCTTGAGCATCACAAGGTTTTTTTTTTTGTTTTTTTTTTTTTGTTTTTTTTTGTTTTTTTTTTTGCTTGGCAGCAATCCACAAGTTTATTATTTAGTTTTGTATTATTTAGATATTTCTGTCTCCTCATGTACTGCTTATCATTGGTTCTCCTGGAATGTTTTATCATGTGTCTTTCCTTCTTGCCTGCTTTCTTTTTGTATGACTTAACATTGGGAAAACGGTGACTTGTTAAAGCTTCCCTTCCCTGGTTTTGAATTAAATATTGCTAGAAACAGAAGGCACTTCTTTGATCTGTTGGAAGATTTAATTTGGCTTGTAAACCAAATAAGATAGTGTTAAGAATGAATCATATGTCTGATCACCAAAGTATGAGTGGTGATTCCTGGATTCATGTTCTGTTTTTATTATTAGTACTTTATTTCTCATTTTGTGTGTGCAATATTATAACTGGCCAGTATTACTCTGCCCAGTGTCCGTACTGTACCACCTACTTCTCTGGTGTGCTGGAATGTGATGTTAATGAGTTATGTTACATTAGCCCTAATGCTGGCTGTTATTCCCCAGTGACTTTTTAAAGCAATCTAGAGCCTTCTGTTTTTTGCCAAAATCGATGTTTTTCTTCTCGAATTTAACGTAGTTGAAATTCAGTCCCACTCCTGGGGGAAGATAGCCCAAAATGCTCTGCATTCAGCATTGTTGCTCTTGTCACTTCTAGCACCAAGGCAGTGAAAAGATGTCCACGTGCACATACAGCTTGTTGATGCCTGTGAGGAAAACTCAAATATGAAGCAGTGTGACTTCTTATCATAGAATTATAGAGTATCCTGAGTTGGAAAGGACCCAGAAGGATCATCAAGTCCAACTCTTGGTTCCACACAGAACCAACTAATATTCAAAGCCTATGTCTGAGAGCACTATCCAAAAGATTCTTGAACCCAGCAACTTGGGGCCGTGACCACGGCCCTGGGCAGCTCATTCCATGCCCACTGCCCTTTGGTGTGGAACCTGTCCCTAACCCCCACCTGCTCCTCCCCTGACACAGCTCCATGCTGATCACTTGGATCCTAGCTGTCACCAGAGACAGTGTTGTTACTGTGATCCATGAAAAAAAGCACTGGTCAGAGGTAGATTTCCAAATAGCAGTGGTGCTTGTGATAGGTGAAATAGGACTATCTAGAAATCCCTAGGAAACAGTAAAAATTCTTTAAAAATATGTCTGCATTGGCTGAGGAAATAACAGAGACCTGCTTAAGGAATGATCTGCATCTTTGTTCCTCCCCCCTGGTTGTCTTGAGCCATTTGTAGCACCTTCATCAAGCAAGTTTTTGTAAGGAAACCATTTATTTCAGCAATCTGCAGTCTGTCCCAAGTAGAGCCTGGCAAAAGCAATGGCAGTAGGATCTAATTTTGTGAGGGAGGCTATTTAACATTTCCTGGAGAAGGGTGAGAAAAAGTGTGTGGGAGTTGGTACAGCCAACTCTAGATGGTCTCAGGCTTCATGTTTGTTTAGCGATGTTCTAGAATTTGCAGTCAAATTAGTAAGCTGTAGGGTATCATAATTTGATTTAGCTTCAAGCCAGCGTGAGTTTAGGAGCCTGGAATGGTCCAGTGTGACCTGAAGTTTGAGCTGTTGTGGTTGCCTTAGAGGCAGGCTTCTAGATCAACCATTCCAAAGCTTTTTGGGCCACTGAATGTTATCCCTGCCCTCACATCACCTTACAAGCTATGATGTACCTAGGTTAGAATAGTAATTGAATATTCTGTTTCATGAAAAAGCTGTAAAAGCTTCTCATAGCCCTGGAAAGTTCTGTTTGAAAGCTGTCTTAAGAGAGCAGCCGGTACCCAAGGTCACTAGTGAAAATGGTGCCTGTTCCTCTTTTGTCTTTGTTGCTTTCACGCTTATAATTTGAGTCAGATTTCCAGTGATGCAGACTAGTGCTATTTTTTAATAAAGTGAAGTTAGAATTTTTTACATCTGTGTAAGAAAGAAATTTCTTATCTATCATTTTCCCAATGATGAATGAGAAATCAATTTTTGTTCCCGTCTCTCACTATCTTGACAACTTGAACATTAGGGTAGAAAGTCTATATGTTCTGTTACTGAGACAACAGTTCTGATTTAGGAAATAGCAATATAGAGATGGTAGATAGGTAGTAAGTGTACTGAATGGATGCCTGAAAAATGTCAATATTGAGCAGCTGTGAAAATTAAGGCAATTAAAAACAAAACAAATAAGTACCACTACCAAAACCCAACCCAACAGACCTGCCAAATTGGAGCGTACGTCTTTCATTTTTTCTCTTCGGGATTTCCTCACGTCCTTAATTTTCCTTTCTCCTGACACACTTTGCTTTTTTCTTCTTCTTTTTTTTTTTTTTTTTTTTTTTTTTAATCCCAGAGTTACAATCTTGTGACCCCCAGTTCAGACTAGCTTCTCCCCCATTGCTCTGCTTTATTTATCTGCTTTTTGTTGCTAGAGAGCAATACCAAGAACTTTTCTTCCCTCATAGTCTGAATTTGCTGTTTGCGGAGAGTCTTTTTCTCAACTTGATACAATGAGAAACCACTGCTAGTTTTTCTTAGACTGATAGTATGAGCACTTGCCTGTCTTTTCTCTAATGCATGCTTTTTCTTTTTTTTTTTTTTTCCATCTGCTACTGCAGTGATTTGCTTATTGCAGCAGCAGAGAAATGTATTTTTGCTGAAGTGTTTGCTATGTTCACTGTGAGTGTTCCAAGGGCACCTTTGTCCCTTGGCGTAGCTGAGGCAACCGCGTCTGTAGGAAATGAAAATGTGATTCAAGTCCTTCTTCTGTGGACCACTGTTCAACTACTGTGTTCTTCTACGATTTTATGCAAAAATAGAAAAGATGAAATCTATATATATGTTTTCTCGGTGCTGATTCCTTCCTCAAGCAGAGCTTGGCAAATTTATTACAGATGAGATGCGGACAAGCAGTGACTTGAAACATGACTGAGACAGCCGGCCTGACTGTAGGCACTTCCCTGGTCTTAGAGTTGTGCCAGACAGGCCAAGAGACTGGCATGGACACGTTGTTATAAAAATTTAGTAGAATTAATTTTAACTTAGGTCATCTGCTCTAGGTTTGGAATTGGGATTCTAGTTTGTGAAACTTTATCTATTGCAACTTAAACCCTAAAGAGATTTAGTCATCTGCACTTAATTTACTACGTGAACTTTGACTTCCATGCTAAATAAATAGATTGTGCTTCAAGATTCTTTTCGTGGCTCGTACATGGGAAGTTCTGTATTAATAGTGGAGTGCTTGTGATTTCTTCTGCTCTTTGTGTTTTGCTGTCCACTAAATGTACATTGGTGACAACTGCTGTCACTTAAAGCACCTAACCTATTGCACTCAAAGTATAATGCTTTTTGAGGTTGCTGCTCCCATCAATCTGCTCAGTAAAAATAGCTCATCTTGGTAAGTTGTTTCGACTTCACCAGGACCTGAAGAAGAGGCAGAAAAACCTGTGAAAACTAAGACTGTTTCTTCCAGTAATGGAGGGGAAAGTTCGAGTCGCAGCGCAGAGAAACGGGCAGCTAATGAAGAAGCTGAAGACTTTATCACAAAGCCTGCCCCTGCCAAAATGTCCAAGTTTGGATTTTCCATAGGCAGTCAGACATCAAAGAAGGCATCTGCAATATCCATCAAACTGGCAGCAAATGTAAGTTGTCTGCGGGCTTTGAATTTTAAGGAAAAGGGGATGTACTGTGGGGAGGCTTCCTTGCAGAAGGCAAATCTTGAACGAAATGTGGGTGACTTGGATGAAGATTAAGAAATCATTGCAGAGCCACCTAGTCATGCATATGTAAGTACTTCAAGGTGATTAATACCAGGTCAGTTGTCTTAGGAAGCATAAAACCTGGTGGAATTAACTATGGATCTCTGAATACGCACAGTAATTTTGTAATGAAATTTGATAGTCTGGAATAATTTCCTGAGGGAAATGAGCAGACTCATTAATCTGTTCAAGTCACTTTGAAATGAGAGCTGGGAGCTTCGTTGCATGGATGCTTAAAGCTTCATGAAAGCAAGCGCTCTCTGAGGTGGCCTTAGTGAGTCTTCCATTCTGAAGATCTTGTCTTTGCATGGGGCAGTGTAGTTTGTTTTCCATAACTCAGCTTGTTACTTGCAAGGTCAGTGTGATTCATTTCCTGCTGCATGTTTTGTAACCTTTTTGAAGGATTTATTTGAAAAGACAATTGAAATAATGTGCAAGAGATGAGACCTCATTGCACAGGTCTCTAAGAATTCTGATGCTCTGTGATAAACAGTGAAGGTTATCCGTGTGCTTGTTCTGAAGTGAACTCGATGCTTCTCCTTACTACAAAGTAGACCTGTACTAGCTCAAGCAAGGAGAAGCCAGATGCCCCCCTTGTATTAAGTGGTTCATTTATACTTCCCTTATACATTCCACTGTGATGGATAGGTTATAGATCCTTGTCTGGATTAAGTTCAGACTGTAATCATGAAAGACTTGCACCTGCAGTGCCAGCATTGTGCAGATCTGCAGAAAATGAAAAGAGTTGTCTGTTATTTTCACATGGGAAGGAAACCTGGGCTGGCAGCATTCCAGGGTATAAACACAATTAGGTCAGATCAGACTGAAAAATTGGCAGATCTGCCTTCTGAGCAACAAACAAACTCAGATTTTTCATGTAGGAAGCTATTTCCAGTGGCAGTAAATTTATCTCAGGATTTCTGGCTCACTGAGTTTAGTGGGTGATTGACATTGTACCATTTATGACAGTGCTGTAGCTCAGCCTGTTTCCTTTTAGTTTAGTTTTTTTCCTTTTTTCTTACTATGCTACCCATTCCTCTGGAGCTGATGCTTTTATTTATATACTATATTAGTATATATATATACTATATATACTATATATACAATATTTATATACTATAGGATATTGGATGAGCTGTAGGCAGTGGTCTGAGGATTATTCCGCAGTATCAGCTTCCAAAATATGAATGTATACAAAACGATAACCAGTAAAGTGGTGATGGATGAAGCACTGCATATAACTGATTTAGATAAAAGTGCTGTTGAAGCAAGCTGTTACTGATGATTCAGCACTTCCTTAGTGGTCTTGCAGAGAAGACATCAGAAGTGACTCTATTACATGTGGCGATCATGAGTTCAATAGCTTGATGTGCTTGAAATACTGAAGATTATTTACCAGAAGTCTAAAAAGTACTTTTTCAGAGGACCTTTATGCTGTTCAGGCCTCTGTAGCGTGAGTGACAGAAAGCTGTTAATCTGTGAAAAAGCAAGAAAATAAATGTATCCAACTTCTTGGCGTTAATGAGTACTCCAAAAAGAATAATGAAAATGGTAGCGTAGTAAAATTCTTAATACAACAGCTTATTTGGGTTCTGATCTAATTGTTCAAGTCATGCACCAGTGGCTGTGTCCCCGCAGTGTGCTGGTAAGTTGAGATTTACTTGTGGGGAGCTGTAATCTGAGAAGGCTCAACCAGCTTTTCAAGAGTTTTTTGCACAGATGAGCAGCCATTTTCCTTTTCATCAGAGAGAAACCTTCATCTGTTCTGATTCAAAATAAAATACTTTTCCTCCTCACTGCCCCCTTCAGTTTCAGTGAAAATGTTTGACTTTGTTTTACCGTGTTATTTAAAATGCAAAGGGTAATGCAAAGCTTTCTTTTTTTTTTCTTTTTTTTCTTTTTTTTTTTTTTGAGTTAGTAGATTTACTTTACTCGTGTATTTGGTCTCTTTCAGAAGCCTAAAGAGCCCGTTCCAACCCTTGCTCCAAAAACCCTTTCTGTAGCAGCGGCTTTCAATGAAGATGAAGATGTGAGTAGTAAGCTGGTGATTGACACAACTTAGAGTCCCATTGGTGCAGGTTAGAGTTAGGAGGAGATAGCAAGTCATTTAATTTTTTTTTTTTTTATATAAGTGATAGGGATTTTATGCTTAGAAGCATCTCCTGATTTTCCATTTAAGTATGTACAATTCTGTAGTACTCTACTGGTTCAAAAATTGTTTAATATACTGATAACTTTTCCTTGAAAACGAAATATACATCATTGGAATTACTGGTGGCTTTCTCTGGGCTTTATAAAGGACAGGCAAAGAGAAGTTGTGCTCTTTTTGGTTTCTTAAGTATTTCATGGTCATGTTGCTGCTCCTTCTTGCACAGAGATGATCAGAGGAATTGTTTGTTTTTATTTATTTTTTCTAAATCACATTGCTTTCCTGTTGGGCTGCATTCCATAATTTAGCATTGAGATGTTCATAAGATAATGGCCAGCCATACTCTGAACTCCTTTTTCCACTGTAGAGTGAACCAGAGGAAATGCCTCCAGAAGCTAAGATGCGTATGAAGAACATTGGAAGGTAAGTCAGCTGTGAACTGTGGTTTGAAGAAGGGTGAGATGGAAGAATATCAAGTTCAAGTCAAGTCTTGCAGATGGCTTTCAAATACAGAAAGATGGAATAGGTTCAAAAAGTTTTTCTTCAGAAACAAGCACAGTAAATATAGATCATATGTTTCTATTGTAGTTTAAGAGTAGTGTGCATACATTTTTATGTTGGATCTAATTGCTGCCTTCTTCTGAGGAAGAAATTTGTTCTACGTCACTAGTTTTCTTCTTGGAGATTAGTAGTCAAGAGTTGCAAACTGCGAGTTTTTGTTTGCTGCTCAGTCTTATATCTTGGTAGTTCCCCATTTTACACAATTGCCCTGAGGTCTGTAGTCTGCTCGGATTTTTAAACTCATGCAAGAGAAAGATGAAGATGGTCTTCTGGAGAGACAAAAAACCAAACAAACAGCTGGTTTACTTTTAAAATAAATATGTATTGCTCTTTTGCTTGACACAGATTTGAGGTACATTAGGGTCAATCTTAAATATAGGGAAGGCTTTACTTAAGAGAGAGATTAATCTTGAGCATATATATTGTGAAGATGTTCATCATTACAGATTGCTTTTAAAATCAGATCCCTGAGTTGACTTCCTGCTAATGCAGACTTACTGCTTTTCAGTGAATTTTCTTCTCCAACGGTAGATTTGGATCCTCAGCTTCTTTGCCTGTACTACAAATGCTTCCCAGTTAGCAGCAGTTACTGCCATTTCCACTCCCTCTGCTGCCCCATCTCATCTTGACGTGCCACAGACAGATGAGTTTTTTTCACCAACTGACAGTTGCTAGTAGCTAGGACTCCTGACATAACTGAAATAAAGAAATGTGTGGTAGTTCCTGGCAGCAGGTTGGACTTCAAAATGATTTTTTTAGTGCTCTGTTGCACTAATTACTGTCTTTAAAGTGACTTTCTCAACTGATGCTGTTTTGCTTTTCACAGGGATACACCAACCTCAGCAGGACCAAATTCCTTCAATAAAGGAAAGCATGGGTTTTCCGACAACCAGAAGCTATGGGAGCGAAATATAAAATCTCATCTTGGAAATATCCATGACCAAGAGAATAACTAAACAATGTGGATTGAGATTTGGGTGTCTGGGGGGAGGGGAGGGTGTAACATTAAAGGAACAGTCTCCTTTTTTAAGAATGGTGTAAGACTATCTTTGGAGCCACTTTTTTAAGATTTTGAGTGGTACACTAATAACTGAGTTTGAAATTAGAGGTAATTTATGTTTTGTATACAGATCTCAAGGCATTTGCTAATTTTGTAGTTCCATGTGATTAGTTTCAAAAGGTTACAGATAATAAAGAAATTGGAGTGGTACCTTTTTAAGATTTTTTTTTTTTTTTTTTTTTTTTGTCAGTGATTAATTAAGGTGAAGGAAAAAGGTTACTGTCTCTTTAATCAGGTTAGCATAGAGTGCTCTTGCATTCTTATTTCTGGCTCCCTCTTCCTAACAGGAGAAACAGTTGGCTCCTGGGAATACTGCTAAAGAGTGAGCATTGTCTTGTGCTAGAAGTGTTACTGGACTATTAATTTGAATAAGAACTTAAACAGGAAACATTAAGAACCTGGATTTATTTTTTTTCCCCTGCAGTTAACTTTTTGTTAAGTCTTTGCAAACTAGAAATTGCGTTGCTCTGAGTGGCTCTGGTAACTTAGCTCTAATTTTGTTTAAAACTTCATGTAGGATGTGTAACATTCTGTGGCCTGTTTCACGCTGAGGAAATGGGCCTTGTCTGTATATTAGATACAGTCTGTAAAGAATATTCACTACAAGGATAAGTCAGTATTTTCAGTGTGCTCCTCTTAAGTCATTAGCCTTCAGTAGTGCTTGTTAGCATTTCCTTGTGAATTAAATAGAGACTAATATTAAATGCAACAATGAGTGGTACACAAAGGCCACCACCAGAAGGACAAGATAATGTACGTTAAGCTGCCCGTTTGGTTGAAATAGTTTTCTTTACTATGCCTAGAAGGAATAAAAGCCACACCAAAAATCAGTAACTCACTGCTTAAGTATGAAAAATCTTAAGATGCACTTTCCCTGTCTTGCCATGTAAAAAAAAAAATGCCTTGATGCCTGTGTCTTCAGTGGATGCTATCTGGTTTCAAAAAAATCCTGGTTTTGCAGTCCTAATGCGTGTAGTATCAACTAGAAATAAAACTCATCCTCTTCCTGTCTGTCTGCCTTTTGCAGTAATTTGGAAAAATGACAAAGTAACAACTGCAACTATAACAAAAAAGCTTGAAAAAACTTAAGGTTCTTTCTGAACTCCAATACCTGACAGCATCAACAACTGCTTTCATTTTAACCTGGAACTGATGGCAGAGTTCGGTATATTAATTGCTTTCATCCTCTCTCTAAAGCCTTTCTTCATGTTAAATTTAAACCTGCAAGTGCAGAAAGGAAAGTGCATCTTCAGTTGTATTTTTTTTATTTTATTTTAGGAAAGCTCTGACCACTTAGACTTTTGAGTTTGTATGTTCTAAAAAAATATTTTTTGTATTTTTGTATTGTATGTGTAATCTTTTTTCTTTTGAAGTCTGATGCAGTTGAATACCTGTAACTATTTTCTTTAAAGGCCTTGTTATAAACGTAACATAAAAACGTATACATTATTTTTTTTTCCATAGCAGAAATCTTTGGTTTATTTAAAACAAAGAAACAAACAAAACAACAACAGATAACCCAACCTGGGTGCTATTGGAGCTTGGCAAGGCAAAAAGAAGCATTTGCGTTTCACTTACTACATGTGGTTGTATTTGTCCAAAGAAAGCCTTGAAGATAGTAGGTATTATTAGTGAGTGGCAGTTTTATCTTGCTTCTTAGCAGTTACTGGATACATTTTTGTTTTCTCGTCTTAGGAGAAAGCTAAAGGGGATTTGGAGTAAGAGGGTAACAGCGAGACCTATTCTTTCTTAATTAACCCTGCTGTCTACCATGTCTTCCACCTCTTTGCCTGCAGCAGGTATTGATTTCAACAGTTTCCTGGTACTTATAGGCAGAGCAGCACACTTGCTAGGATGTAGGTTTCGTGGAAGTCAGATAACAGTTCTATATTTGTCTGATTTACTTCCGTGGTCAGTAAATGTAATTCCAGTCTGTGTGAGAGACTGCAATAACTAATAGATCTGATTTGAAGGTAAGCTGAAATTCTGTCTCTCAGGTTCCTTCTCAGTGCTGTGTGGAAGAAAATCAAATCAAGATTGCCTAAATCCACTTGGGACTGAATGTCTGACAGGCTTGATCTAGTAGTTACAAAGGTGTCTGTTGTCTGATGCAAAGAAGAACTGATCTGAGAAGTATGGTTGAGGAGAATGTTAGCTGGAACTTCCACTTGGAGTTCTGGGCTTCCTCTGCATTATTCATTGTCTGAATATAGTAGTAATAAAGGGGAAGGCTATATATTTCAGGGATTCTGTTTGTTTTTTGGTAAGAATATTAAAGAATTCTAAAATTAATTGTGAACTACCTGATTTAGCTGTCTGAAGTTCTTCAAGGGCATTTGCAGAGAATTCAGCTGCCTTGTAGGGAGATGTGGTTGACTGTCAGTAGTTGAAATGTGTTATCCACACAACGCACACTTTTAACTCAGAAGGCTTATGCTTGCTTAGCAGTAAAGCTTTACTTAGCACCTGAGAAGCTTGTAAAACATTTAAGACGTAAGATGAAGGCAGAAGTAATTATCCGGTAACCTTTTCCATGCCTAAACTGCATTTGAACCTGCTTTGTGGCTGGGATGTTGGTGTATCCAAGCTCATTTAACACTAATTATACAAAAAATAATGAGTGTAGGCAGCTACTGGTAGCGTTTCAAGTGTTGCTGGTGCAGCCCCTCAGTCCCGATTTCATTCCTTTGAAACTGTGAGAAGTGTACTGTCCAGATTCTCAGAATCTATTTAAACAAGCAGAAGGAAGTACGAAGCTGTCTGTCTGTAAGGTAACAGATGATGCTCTTTTAATTTTGTGTGTTTACTTCCTTGTAGTAGATTACGTAACCACGGCACTCAGACAACTTTGGCAAAAGCAGATGTTATGTCATGGCATCCTCACCCTGGCAGCAGACACAGTTGCATTCAGGCCTGTTGTACTTCATCTCTGCTAGGCCTGTGATTCTTAGAGCACCTCCTTGTCAGAACTGACATGGCTGTGCTGAGTTCTGTATGCTGCAAGTGCTTTTGTCAAAGCTTGGGTTGTGAGGAAGCCCAGAAGCTTCTACTGCCTAACAGAGTTCTTTCACTCTGATACGTGTTTGAATCTTAAAAACTACACTGTGTTTACTTTGGGAAGCTACTTGTTAAATAACAAGCCATTGCTTCTGGGTGGAGGCGTGGATATCTATACAATTAGAAGCACGAGCTGTTACATTTTAACCTTATGTAGAACTTATTAAATGTCTGCGAATTTCCATTTCTAAATTAAGAGTGATAGGAGCCCCAGAAGGAGATTTAGGTACCAAGCAAACCTTTAAAATTTAGCGTGCATTCGTTCTGCAGTGTAAATAGATATATGCCAGCTTCCCTTCAGGGTAGGTAGGGTAGGTAAGAGTGGCAGTGACTGCCACAGCTAGCAACTGGAATATAAACTATCTGATAAAGTTGCATGCAGTGAGATCTTGAAAACCTTTGCTCATCTTTGACCTCTTTCTTAAATTCGGTTCCTTGGATTTGACAGTGAAACAGATGCTGAAATTTCAGGTCATGAGCCTATGTTAATACTTTCCTTGAAGTACAAATATATTAATCTAAGGCAATGCAAGTCATAATAAAAATACAGTTCTCCTTTTTTTTTTTTTTTTTTTTTTTTTCTTCCCTAGCTTTCCATAATTTGTAATCATTATGTTTTAAGTGTTGGCTGATGCTTGGTAGGTGGTTATAAAATGGTAATTCAGCCTTTGCTTTTGTGCAAAAAATCTGGTAGCTTTTCATATTCATGCATAAGCAAAACTGCACTCTGGTGTTGCAGACACAAAATAGAGCAGTATAGTGTGAAGACTAATAATGAAGCTAGTGTATCTTAGATTAAAAAAAAAATAAAGCATATCTTAAGTGCTTGTTTAGCACTAGTCTGGGCTGCTGAACTTAGTGGTACTGAATAAGTTAATGCTGATGCTACCATTTATAAGACAAGGCCCTCGGACAGACATATTTTACATATGTGGCTGAGCTTTCTGGCAAGTCTCATAGCTGATGAGTGTCACAGTAGAGTTGTGACATAACCTAATGGTTAGCCTGCTAAGTAGGTACACAGTTCCAATGCTTTAGGTATGCACAGCTCTTCACAGCTCTTCATTTAACAGCCAGGAGGGATGTGAATCTGGTTCAAATGAAAGGGCAGGGAAAGTTTTCCACACATCACTTGTGGTTTTTAATTTTTAAATCTACAGTTGCAGCCTTACTGAACAGTATTTGTTCATTGCTAGGCCATGTTAGTCCTTGTGTACTCAGCCTTTTGAAACCCTAGTTTTGATATGTGTACTTCTGATGTAGCCTAGATTCCTGCGTGGGCTCGCAGAAGAGTTACCTAATATGCCAAAATGCTAAGGGTCGATGTGCCCAAGTCCTAGTGTTTCCATTAGGGAGCAGGATAAACAAAACCAACAAATGAATCCCAACAAAACAACCTCCTCAGGAACAAAACAACAACAAAGCTGGCTCTTCTGCAACACCAGCATTGCCTTAAGTTGCTAGCAGTAACGAGAAGGCAACTGTACGACTAATGTCCTTCAGCCAGGAGTGATGCTGGAGAGCTTCCCAGCCCAGAATAGGAGCGAAGCCATAAGTGCCACATGATGCTTCCTCCTGGGTAGCAGTGTTAAACACAGGCACAGTATACATTTATACAGTGCTTGTTGTGCTCTAGTCTGCCCGTGTCCTAACACTTCATTTAGGAATGCACTGGTTTTCCTATCCTTGTACAAGTTTATTTAACTTCAGCAAAAGTTGAACATAGGTGATAAATGAACAATATGGAACAGCTTCCTAGGTGTACGGATGAGGGCTGATCCAAAAGTAATGCCTCCTACGTTGTTATGGTGGCCCACAATGTCAGAAGCAGATGGTGGTATGGCAGTTGGGTGGAACCTTCCCCCCAATATTCTCTTCCATGTTGCTGTGACAGATGGCAGTAGAAGGGGGGTCTGACAGAATGACAGCTGACACGGGAGTGTGTTTGAAGCAAAACTGAATTCCTCCATGCAGAAAAAACAGCACCCGTGGACATCCATCAACACTTGGTGGACGTTGATGGAAGGCAAACAGTGGATGTGAGCACAGTGAGGCAGTGGATGGTACATTTCAGCAGTAGCAACAGCAGCTTGAAAGATGAGCCGTGTTCTGGATGGCCATGCACAGCTGTCATACTACAAAGTATTTTCAGTCGTCTCCACACAAATGAGCAGATTACAACCAGGGAACTGTGCATGGAGCTGAACGTCAGCTTCAGTGCATTGGAAAAATGTTGAAATGTCACAAAGCCCCTGCCAGGTAGGTCCCAAAAATGCTCACATAGGAACATAAAGAACAGAAAGAAAGCTGAAGATGACCATTTCCTGGATCCCATCATTACAGGTAATGAGACATGGCATCAGCACTACAAATCAAACTCAAGAAAGCATTGTGGAGTGGCAACAAGTGAATTCCCCATCAAAGAAGTTCAATATGCAGCAGTCAGTAAGTACAGTCATTCATTGCCATTTGAGGTAGGAAAGAGTCCTGGATTTTCTGGAACCACAACCATCAATGCTGACCAAGCTCAGTCAGGTCAGAGAAGATGACCACCTTTCTCATGCGACACAGTAACACCACACTTCCATACCAGTTGGAAGACCATGGAGCAAATTGCTTGTCCTACCACATCCAATGTATAGGTCAGATTTGGCACTTCTGACTTCCATCTGTTCAGGGCAATGAAAGATGGACCACATGGGCAACATTTTCCTATTTTCTAGCAACAGTGCAGTCATAGCAGCCATGAAACACAGTGGGGCACCGCTGCTGGTGCAGATTTTCATGAGTGTGGCTCTTGTTCACTGCTGGTGAAAATGCATAGCTAGTGGTGGTGGCTATGCTGAAAAATGTTTGGTAGCTGAGAATGTGCTCCATCAAAGTGTTACCTGCTTTCTGCATTGTGGAAGCATTACTTTTGAAGGAACCAATGTAGATGGCAGAATACAGAGAAGGAATAAGTAAGTCAAGCCTTTTCCACAGAAAAAAAAGTTGCTTAAGAGAATAATTTCTGACAATACTGGGTTTATTTAATGACAGAAACCGTAACTTTATACATCAAACACTAAATAAAAACAGTATAGTTTACAGATCAAATTATGTACAAGAATTTATTACTAGGAATATAAATGGATACATCTTAGGAGCTTTATTTTTAAAAAAAAAATCAACTTAAATAATATCAACTGCATTATTAGCAGTCTTCAAATAGGCTGTGGAAGAATCTTAAATTAAGAGCTTAAGAAATCTAAAGAAAAACATAAGGCAACTGTACAAACACAGGAACAGCAAAACAGGCATCGACAGCCCCTGCTAACTTCATGCCATTCTGAAAAGGCAAGGCACAGTACGTCAGGAAAGGGATGTCCCAATGTTCAGCTTTGATATTCCTGGCTGAGTTTCCCTTATGAAACAACTTCTCAGGTGGTTTTTCATCTGTTTTTTTGTTGTTTTTTTTTTTAATGGCAGGCCATCACATCAGTTAAAGCAGGCTCCGAAATTTCTGTTTTTACCATATGCTGGGCAAATAAATTAATGCACCAAAGATTAAAAGATTAAACTGAGGTGCCAATAATATTCTTTGTAAGGTAACACACTAAATATACAAATAATGTTCTAGCGTTATTTACAGCTGTATTTCCTTGACATTTCATCACTTAATACATAATTATTTGTCAGATACAAACACTGGAGTAAGTTTTACAGATTACCTAGCAGTCTATTCTTTTCTCATCATAATGGCAGTAAGAACTGTTAATTTACCTATGTCTTTATAATTTATAGCAGGATGGCTATCTCAAGATTCCTTTACCATACAAAAATTGAAGCGTTATAGCGAGCAGTACTTTTTCCCCAAAGTATTCCTCTTAGTTTTACTCAATTGGGCAGCCAGAAAAAAACAAAAGAAAAAACAAACCCCATACTTCTAAAGGCTGCAGGATATATAAATGATGACATTACTTCTCTGCAGGATGACCTTCACCTCTGAAATGGTCATCCACAGATTAACACAAATCCAAGGCAGGAACTTAGATTAACTTAAGAAAAAAAAAGGTCAACACTGCTTATCTGCATGCTTGTAAAATAGAAAAAGAACAGTGTGCTGTAGCTTCGTAAGCAGATGCTCATAGTTAAATGTGATGAGGTAAAAATACTCATTCAAATGAAGTGGTTACTTTATCATGGATTCTGCAGTGCTCCTCAGTGGATCTTTTTCATGGATACAGAGATACACACATCTAACTTCATTTACCAATTGCACTCGACAGTGTTCCAGGCTTCCATGGGTATGCTGCTGCTGCTGCCAAAATTGGAAAGCATTTGACAATGCTAGAGGGACTAATTTAAATAACACAGTTCTGACTGTTCAATCTGACATCATCTCCAATCAGACACATTTGTTGTTTAAAAAGAACTTAAAAAATGAAAGAACCCACACCTTGAGATGCATACAGTACATAGTACTAAATCACAGACATTTCAACTAGGGGCCAAGCGTTGCTGTGAATCAAGCTTTCTAGTACGAAAACCTAGTAAGAATTTTTCAATCCACATAGTATAACACGAGGTAATTAGCTTGCCCTAGCATTTGTTACAGCAGCAGCAATAAAATCACCAGTCTCCAGAAGACATTTAAGACCAATTTATTACATGATACTGAGATACTCGTAATTCTCTACCCTGATACTGCTGTGTCCCCCATTTGGGAATTGTCAGAGCTCCTCCCATCAGCAAGATACCAAATCAGATCATAACTAGCAGGACTCCTTCAGTACAAAAATATGCCCATTCTCAAAGAAATGTGCCATTACATCCCTTTCACTTACAACTTTCTGTATCAAATTTAATGCAGAAATATATCTGTCACTAAGTTACCCGCTTTGGATACACAGAATAACAGTTCCTTTACACATCTCAACATTATTCACCTAAACATAATAGAGGATGAGGTGTAAGCTCCTCACTTAAAAGATGAAAGGCAGTTTACCGTAGAGTAATATCTCTGAAATGGGCTGTCTTCCAGTGAATTTGTTTTCCTCATCTCAGAGTACCACACCCTCAGACATCAGAGCAGTCGTGCCCATTAGTTTTTTTGGAACCTTGGACCTGCTGCCCACTGACTTGGAATATAAATAACTTCTGCAAAACTGGGATTCACTGATTGCAGAGGTCACAACTGCCAAAAGACAAAAGCCTCAGATTTTCTTTAAGTCACACACAAAGCACAGCTGAAGCATTTCATCATTCCCTTGTTTTGGGCAAGAGATGGAACCCAACTCTGGCGATTTGCTGACAAACTTGATGAAATGCACATTAAACAAAAGTTATCAATTACTGTATGTTTCTAGGTTTTAGTGCAGCTTCTTTGTACATGTGTTTAAATTTACAGCACGATACTTACCCAGGAAATATTATTAGTCCAACTTTTTTTTTTTTTTAAAAAAAAGACCAGTACAGACATCTCTGCCTTCAAAGTATTGGCCTAAACTGAAGCATTTAAACTTTTTCTCTGTAGCACACAGTGCAATATTTCATAGCCAAGAAATTCAGTATAGGGGATTAACTGTTTGAGAACAGGTGTCACCGTAAGTCTTGGATACCCAGCTAAAGCCTGGCTGCCCCACATGGTAAGACTTTGGCCCCCTTGCTCTCTCTTACAGGCTCTACTCACTCTGTCTCCGTAACATGGGCTACTTCTACTTCTACAGTTTCCATGGCCTGAGTAACTTCAGCCATTTTCTGTCCTTGCTGCTGTGCAAGTACATAATTTACCACCTGCATGATGCTTTGGTCAGAAAGAGTAGAGACTGACGAGCATTGCTCAGTAGTTGCAACTGCTTCGATTGCTTCAAGCGTGTCTCCAGTCACCACCACAGTTTCGATCTCCTCACCACCAACACTAATCTCCGTTTCTTGTTCCTGCATGTCTGCTGCTAAAATGCTGATGGCGTGCTCCACCTGCGTTCCCTGGTTATGAAACTGAAGAGTATCTTTCTCCAGCATTATTTTACAGGGCACATAGTCCCTGTGAAACTTGGTCATATGCTTTCTCAGCGTCCGGGCATCGATGTAAGCTTCGTTGCAAACCGGGCAGACATACGGTCGTTCTCCAGTGTGCGTCCTCACGTGGCGCTTCAGGGAGCGTGCATCAGCCCAGGCGACTCCGCAAGTGAGACATTCAAATGGCTTCACACCTGTTCTCAAAAGCAAAGCAAAGCTGTCTCAGCCTTTGTAAAACAGTGAGAAATGACAGGGGGGACAACAGAAATCTGAGAAGCACAACTTTTTCCGTACAAGAACAGGATCTCGCTTACCCCTTCGGTAATGCAGTATAATGCAAGGACCAGACATCTAGATTTTCCTTTCCACAGGTGCTCTTCACAAACTAGTGTTACTTCCCAGAAATTCCCTTATAACATTCCTTTTCACGCAGTTTCCCTGTTACATGTGGCTGCTTAATTTAAAGCAAATGTGACTGTTTTTGTGATGCTCTTTGGAAATGATGCTTCACTTAATAGTGTCACTTACATTCCCACTTACACCCCCTTTCTGTAAATCTTTTTAAACACACCTCTCATCAAATCAGCACTTATTCTAGTTAGCTTCTAAGGCCATCTACAGCTTTTTTCTTCCTCCCTCACTCTGCATACATTGAAATACTGCATGGGATGTGAAGTTTTTATAATCTTGTAATAAATCAGGAAGGTGACCAATTTCCAGTGGTTCCTTTTCTAAATTCAAGCCAACAGTTCTCTCGACTTAGAAATGTTTTGTTAACTGCGTGCCATTCCAAACTACTACATACAAACCTTTGCCAGATACACTGCTTTTTATCATTTCTAAAAGAAATAAAGGATTCCTTTTCCATTAAAGCTTCAGAAAGACAAATTAGTACTGTCCCCATGCTACCATAGTTTTAGAAAGATCCTAAGAGCCACTTCTGGGAATCACTGCAAGCAAGTTAACTAATTAGGACAAGCCTAAAACTAACTGGCCAATCTATAAGAATTTCTGTGTCTCCTGCATCACAGGACAGACAGATTCAGTGAAAACCCACGATAATCTCTTTGCAACATTTTTAGGGGCTGGGGAACGTGCTGACTGCCTGCTTTCCACATACCTTGATGATTGTTCATGTGTCTCCTATACTCCCGGAGCTGTGTGAATTTTCTTCCACAATGCTCACAAACTCGTTCCAGGTTTTGTTTTGCTCTTCCTTTTTTCCCATGCGTGGCTTTCTTCACATGTCTTCTGTACAAAGCCTTCTCATAAAATTCTTTACCACACACATTACACCTAGAATGTGTTAAATAGGAGATCTGTCAGAGCCATTATCCTATGCTTCTCTTAAGTTGCTTGAACAAAAACTGAACTTTAATTAATGTAGGTAAAGTTTAATGGGAATGCTGCTTCCTATGACAGGTAATTCCATAATTAAAAATGTGAAAGCCATATTTTCTCCTATTCACAGCCACAAAGCTTCCACTTCCCACTCCAGAGCAGCAAGATCACATACAAAGCATTTCTAAACTAAACACATTTATCCTCTTACGACTTCTTATGTATTAGCCCCAGGGTTGTGCCAGCAAATTACCAGTTTGACCAGCTGATTTGAAATCATCCATCCATTCCCAAAAACTCAAGGCTCCAGTCAAGGACAAACAATTAGCACTTTTACCACAGACTAGACAGTTCCTTCTGACTAATTTAGGGCTGTGGAACTGTATAATCTCGTATATTTCAGTTAAGTACATTTCTTCTTACCTATAAGGGTCTGTGACAGAGTGAGACTTTACATGAGAATACCAATCTTTCTTCCAACTGTAACATTTTCCACAGAACTGGCACTGAAATGGCTTCACATCTAAATGTTTATTCATATGCTGACGGAGATCTCTAGCTTCATAGAAACTCTTTTCACACCTGTAGAAGTAAAGGTCTTAGCATTCCAATGTAGGGTCATCAATACTGATACAACATTTGCTCAAGGTACTGTATGGTGTATACAACAACATTACAACATGATTGCATGAGACTAGTTAAAAAACGTTTTCTCTCTCCAAAACATGTATTAACAAAAGCCTTTTTTTCAATTTTTCTTTTTAAATTATTATTATTTAGCACTTTACAAGTCCTATTGCAGGCAAACAAACAGCTGTGTTTCAAACAGAACTGCTTTTAATCTTAATAAAAAACACCACCACAGAACAACTTACTGAGTACACTGGTATCCACGAACTTCAGGCTTTGGTTGGTGTTTCTTTATGTGTTTACTGAGTCCCGATGCCCTATGGAAAGATTTTCCACAGATGGTGCAAAGATACTTGGATTCTCCTGACAAAAACAAAACCAGGCATGTTACAAAGACAAGCCTCCATCTCTCTGGAATGCTTTGTGAAAGCATTATTTTCTTCTCCTGGAATTTATCTGAAGGGATGAGAACACCTACAGGTTGCAGACCATACAAATAACACATTGTTTTCCTCTTTCATGGCATAAGATGTAAGGTATTTAAAAGTAGGAATAAGAACTGAAGCATATTTCTCATACTGACTAAAAATATCTGTCTTTTACTGAAAAAATTTAGAAGAGCAGCAGATAGTATCTTTTTTCTTTATGAATGTTTAATTAGTACAGAAAATCTTGTAAAACATACACAGATTCTGAAGAAATTTAACTTAGCAAGTTGTCCTCTGAAAGTACAGACCAAAAGCGTACACAGTGCTCCGAAATATTCCATCCCCTTGTCTGTCTCTGTTGAACCGATATAATACAGGCATAAACAACAAAAACATAGCAACAGACTAAACGTGGCTCCTTGTTCTCATATATAGTATTTGCTTATTAACCTTCAGCTACAGTGAAATATGCCCAGAGAAGGAATGCAAGATGACTGCTTACCTCTAAGTCAACAGGTTGACCAAAGGGAAGAACTAATTATTTCCAACAGTACCTTTCACACTGAAGAGCAATGTTAGCGTTCACCAGCATACAAAAGCCATCCAAAGTAAAAGGCTCCTCTTCCTTCTCACTTACCAGTATGAATGCTCACATGTTCTTGAAGGCTTCTTTTTGTGACAAAGGACTTCTCACACAAATCACACTTAAATTGTTTCTGTACTTCGTGAAGAGCTAAGTGCATTTTTAATCCATGCTTATATGTAAAGGTCTTTCCACAAACCTGAAAAGAAATCCAGATCCAAAAACAAATAAAACTCAATACTTAAAACACAGCTGCTTTGAAAAGCTGTTGTCTTCAAACAGAAAAAACTTCTGGATTTCTTAGGAACTAGGATGACCAAGTTTGCAATATCTCACACGTAGCAAAACAAGTCTGTTAAAAACAGGAACGCTCAAGCGAATACATATTCTAGACTGAGAACATTAATTTTCAAGATCCCATATCTAGTTCAATTCTACTTCTCAGTTTTGAACTACAAGAAATATCATCAGGAATGTTACAGTATTTTCTCCGTTCTGTAATGATCAGAGGGCTGGAGCACCTCTCCTATGAGGAAAGGTTGAGGGAACTGGGATTGTTTAGCTTGGAAAAGGGAAGGCCCTGGGGAGACCTCACTGTGATCTTCCAGTACTTGAAGGGAGCTTATAAACAGGAGGTGGAACCAACTGTTTACAAGGGCAAGTATCGAAAGGACAAGGCAGAATGGTCTTAAAGTGAGACAGGGGAGGTTTAGGTTAGATATTAGGAGGAAGTTTTCCACACAGAGGTGGTGACGCACTGAACAGGTTGCCCAAGGAGGCTGTGGATGCCCCATCCCTGGAGGCATTCAAGGCCAGGCTGGATGTGGCTCTGGGCAGCCTGGTCAGCTGGTTGGCGACCCTGCACATAGCAGGGGGTTGAAACCAGATGATCACTGTGGACCTTTTCAACCCAGGCCATTCTACGATTAATCTATTTTTCAGAACAGAGAGTCAATACTAAAATATTTTTCTCTTTACCTTGCAAGCATGTGGTTTTACACCAGTATGTTTGAGCATATGTATCCTGAGAGAATAGAGCTTAGGCAGAGTTCTCCCACATATATCACATATGAACTCGCGCTTAGTTCTCCCTTTCACTGAGGACACTCCTGTCTCTTCCACACCATCAGCTGCAGCATTCACCTCAGTCTTGCGCGTGTGTCGGACAAGATGGGCTCGCAGGGAGGCACCATACTGGAATTCTTTTTTACACAACTGAAAAAGAAAACATTACAACTTTACTTTGCTTTAACATTTAAAATTAATTTCAAAAAAGCTAGAGCGAGGATTTTAAGAGCAGTAATCTGATCAGGTAGGTCTACAGCTTGACTCCTATAGACATTTTATCTCTGGTTAATTAAATGTTGAATTTCATAGCTAAGTGAAGAAGTGCTGATAGCTTCCCAATAACGCTCCAACTTGCAAGCTACTCTAAATATAGTTGCAGATGTACTGCTATGGTAAGGAGGAAAACCCACCCCAGCGCTATGAACAACAGTGTGCCTGAGAGCATCATGTGACATGGGAACATGTCCATGTGGCTGCACTGAAATCTACCTATTCAGATCAAGGCTCCATCTGTCTCTAACATCTATGAGGAAAATAAAAGCACATACTAAAAGAGACAAGAAAAATAATTATGAATGTTATTACTGAATGACTTTTAATAGCAAGGTTACGGACAAAGAACTTACTGGGCACTTGTAGTCTTTAGACCTTTCATGCTTCAGTGTGTGCATGATGAGTGCATAGCGTCGCTGGAACACCATTCCACACTCAGTGCATTTGTGCTGAGCTTCTACCTCATTATTTTCTGTGGTCTCTCTTTTGGGCTGTTTCATTTTTTTCCCTCTCTGAACCAGCTTCATGGCAACCTACATCAGGAAAGCATAACCTGTGAATGAACTTTATTACAGTACAATTCATACTTCCTCTGAAAGTCAGCACTAAAGCTCATTTTTTTTTTGTCACTGTAACATCAACCAGTCTTGCTTAGTTTACGCTTATAGGGCATCACTGTCCAGTAGTTTTCTGTTTACAGCTATTGTGGTTTTAAAACAGGACCATTTTTCCCTACTGTGATCTGATTATAATTAATTGTCTCCAGAGACAACTAATCCTTCAGCCCTGAGTAACTAAGTAACCTAGCTTGGTTAAGTGCAAACTAAGGGACACACAGAGAGGAACCACAAATACTTCCCATCATAACTTCTACCAAATGTTTCCAACTATTTCTTTAAATCCAACATCCCCTCTCAGGATTTATTTCAGAAGTCATCAAATTACAGAAAAAAAAAACTGGCTTCAATCATTCTTACCAGCTAACGAGAAGAGTTAGTCACAACCTGTAAATAAATTTACAATATTTAAGCAAAGTTACTTCCAGTTAAGGGTGTTCTAACTTTCTTGTTAGGCAGTACTGGTAGATGATCAGTAAGAGCTTCGAAAATTCATGCTTTATCCCTGACATCTCCATGCCAACTGCAATTATTACAAGTATTTTTTGCTGTAATTTCTCTGCCATGTTATTCTTCCAGTATCAAAATTGGGACCTCAGGAAGGAATGGTTCTTTGCTAATCCTCATAAAACATCCAGCACCACGTGGGGAGCTGAGTCAAGCACGAAACAAAACCACAAAACTATGAAATCGATTATGAAAGCAGAAACCCATTTTTGACTCAAATTAAATAAATTTGAACAATTATTTAAAACATTCCTCTGTCAAGGGCAGGAACTTAAAATTTTCAAGTAAGTTAAGCAAAGCTTCTCCTGAAATTATCTTCAAGATAACGCCCCTCCAAAAACAGAAAAAAACCCAAAGTCACAAATATAGCACTTGCTATATTTTTACTGTCCTAGTTTCAGTACTTGGCTTTAACTTCTTAACCTGTTAACAGAGGCTAATGCTACCATCTGCTAGGATAACAATAACAAATTACACATCTGAGCCTGGGACTGGTAGATCTACCATGGAAGGACTTCACAGAACACTGGAAAGATGTAACATGCAGTGAAGTGGAATGAATAAAGCAAAGCTTACTCATCAGGGGTGGGACAGAGAAGCTGCCAGACCTTGTACATCCCACAGACTACTACCCACTGCTGCCATTTCACATATGCTAAGGGAATAGCATTGCAATTGGTACATCAGCCTCAATAAGAGCCCCTCAAATGCCTGTACACTAATACACGAAGTATGGGGAACAAGCAGGGAGTTGCAGACAAGTGTGTGCCTACAGGGCTATGATGTCATTGGCATCACTGAGATATGGTGGGATGTCTCCCATGACTGGGAGGAATTGCTCAGTATAAACTCTTCATGAAAGACTGGCAGGGGAGAAGGGGAGGGGGTGCTTCCACATCAACAACCAGCTGGAGTCCATGGAACTCCACCTAGGGACAGAGAAGGAGCTGACAGAGCTTATGGGTTAGGGTTAAGGAAAGGCAGGGGGAAGAGACATTGTAGTGGAGGTCTGCTACAGGCCACTCGATGAGGAAGACCAAAGTGGATGAGGCCCACTGTAAACAGATAGGAGTAGCTTCACATTCACAAAACATGGTCCTCATGGGAGAGTTCAACCACCCCAATATCTGTTGGAGAGACAACACAGCAGGGCACCAGACATCAAAGAGGTTCCTGGAATGTGTTGATAACTTCCTCTTCCAAGTGATACTACAAGAACACACAAGAAAAGGTGCTACGCTGGACCTTGTCCTCACCAATGTGGAAGGGCTGGTGAGTAACATTAAGCTCAAGGGCAGCCCTAGACTGCAGTGACCACGAAATGGTAGAGTTCAAGATCCTTAGAGCAACAAAGATGATGTGCAGCAAGCTTGCTACTCTGGACTTTAGGAGAGCAAACTTTGAACTCTTCAGGGAAGTGATTGGCAGGGTGACATGGGATAAAGCCCTAGAGGGAAGAGGGGCACGAGAAAGCTAGTCAGTATTTAAGGACCAACTCCTCCAAGCTCAGAAGCAATGCATCCTGAGAAAAAAGAAGGCAAGCAAGAATGCCAAAAGGCCTCCACGCATCAACAAAAAGCTCCTGGACTTAACTAAGCACAAAAAGAAAGCCTATAGGGAGTGGAAGCAGGAATGAATTACCTGGGAGGACTAGAAAGAATTTGTCCAGGGATCAGGTTAGAAAAGCTAATGCCCAGATAGAATTAAATGTAGCCATGGGCAGAAAGAGGAACAAGAGAAATTCTACCTATCACATATATCAGTGATAAAAGAAGCCCAGGGAAGATGCAGGCCCTCTCCAGAAGGAAACTAGAGACCTGGTCATGGGTGATATGGAGAAAACTGAGGTGTTCAAAGACTTTTTTGCCTCAGTCTTCACCAGCAAGGGCTCTAGCCATACGACCCAAGCTGCAGAAAGCAGAGGGAAGGACTAGGAGAAGGAAGATCTGCTTGCGTAAGTGAACATCAGGTTCGAGACCATCTAAAGAACCTGAAGGTGCTTTGGCAGGGGAGTTGGACTCGATGATCTCTGGAGGTCCCTTCCAACCCCTACAATTCTGTGATTCTGTGAAATTCACAGGACCTACTGAGATCCTTCCATTGGTTCTAAGGAAATCAACAGATGAAGTTGCTAAGCCACTATCCATCATATTTGAAAGATCATGGCAGTCTGGTGAAGTTCCCACTGACTGAAAAAGGGGAAACATAACCCCCATTTTCAAGAAGGAAAAAAAAAGAAGATTCAGGGAATTTTAGGCCAGTCATCTCACCTCCATGCCTGGCAAGATCATGGAGCAGATCCTACTGAAGGCCCTACTAAGGCACATGGAAAATAAAGACAAAGTGATTGGTGGTAACCAACATGGCTTCACCAAGGGTAAGTCATGCCTAACTTGGTGGCCTTTTATGATGGACTTACAGCATCAGTGGATAAAGGAAGGGCAACCGACATCATCTACCTGGATTTGTGCAAAGCATTTGGCACTGACATACATGACATCCTCATAACCAAACTGGAGAAAAATGGATTTGATGGATGGATCATTTGCTGGATAAGGAATTGGCTGGATGGACATACTCCAAAGTTGCAGTCAATGGCTCAGTGTCCAATCGGAGACCAGTGACAAGTGGTGTACCTCAGGGATCAGTAATGGAACCAGTGTGATTTAACATCTTAGTAGGCAATGTGCACAGTGGGATCAAGTGCACCCTTGGCAAGTTTGCAGACAACACCAAGCTGAGTGGTGCAGTTGACACACCAGAGGGAAGGAAGGCCATCCTGAGGAACCTGGACAGGCTTGAGAAGTGGGCCCATGCCAACTTTGCGAAGTTCAGTAAGGCCAAATGGAAGGTCCTGCACCTGGGTCAGGGCAATCACAACCAAAGATACAGACTGGGTGGGGAATGGCTTGAAAGCAGTCCTAAGAACGATTTGGGGATGTCAGTTGATGAGCGACTCAACACGAGCCAGTAATGCGTGCTTGCAGCCTAGAAAGCCAACTGTATCCTGGGCTGCAACAAGAGGAGTTTGAAGGAGGTGATACTGCCCCTCTACTCTGTTCTTGTGAGACCCCACCTGGAGTTCTGTATCCAGTTCTGGGACACCCAGCACAAGAAGGACATTGAGCTGTTAGGGAGTATGTCCAAAGTAGGGCCATGGAAATGATCAGAGGACAGGCTGGGAGAACTGGGGCTCTTCAAGCTAGTGAAGGCTCTGGGAGGGACTTACAGCAGCCTTCCAGTACCTGAGGGGGGCCTACAGGAAAGCTGAGGAGGGACTTTTTATAAGGGCAGGCAGCACAGGATGAGGGAAAATGGTTTTAAACTGGGAGAGGGTAGCTTTAGACTAGGTATCAGGAAGAAATTCTTTGCTGTGAGGGTGGTGAAACACCAAAACAAGTCGCACGGTGAGGTTGTGGATGCCCCCTTCCTGGAAGTATTCAAGGCCGTGCTGGATGGGGCTTTAAGCAACCTGGTTTAGTGGGAGGTGTCCTGGCCTATAGAAGAAGGGTGGAACTAGATGATCCTAAAGGTCCTTTCCAATCAAACCATTCTATGATTCTAGGCTACTCTCTCACAAAAACAATTGACGACAAAAAACGCCTAATACTCACTGAGATCAATGTCATATAACCATGTACACCAAAAACAGTAAAGGCTCCTGAACGGGACAGAATAAGACCCCTGTTTCATTACAAGAAAAAAAATATGTATATTCAGCTACTAAGCATTTACTGTGTCTGAGTGCTTGTTTATTAATATCACTACTCCTTTTTTCATTACATTAACCAGTCCCAATCTAAAGGTAGCAGCACTGGATCATTGTGATTTACGACTGTCTACATAGGATGTGAGTCTTAACAGATGTAGGCCTGACTTCAGTAATGGATCTATATATCTGTATATTTGTCTATCACTGACATATACATGTGCCACCTAAGAAATAAATCTGCAGGTCATTAAGAGTTTTAGGAAGTAGATACACCTTCCGTCCAACCACAGGAAGCTATGAAGGTGATACTCAAGGTAGGCTAAGAATAGCAAGCATTCTAAAAATCTCCAATCTGGAAACAGTTTTGATACTCCCCCCCAACAACGGCCACATATTAAGTTACTTCAGTTTGCAGTAATGTTAATTTCTCAATAAAAAAAAACCACTTAAAACATTTGCCAGACAGTGCTTGGAAATGAGAAACAGTCTTTTCAAATTGATTTGGAAACAAACGACCACAAACAGGCCGAAGCAGAAGAATACCTGCTGTATTGCAGATTTAGGATTTGTCTTTCTGTTCTGCAGTTTCTTCTCGATTCCTTTATGCAACCTGATGTATCCACCTTCACTAACAGACCGCTGCCGAAGCTTACTCTTGTAAGTGTCATCCTGGCTGGAAGCCAAGCTTTCCGGTGGCGAGGCCGAAAGGCTCTGTTCTCCACTTTGCCTGCCATGCTTTTCCTTGAGCATTTCTGAGGAGTCTTCAGAAACAGTCTCTGCGTTTACTTTACAATTCTCATCTGTCTCCTTTTCCAATGGACTTTCTGTATCCATGGCTTCCAGAACTGATGGCTCAGGCTGCCTGGCAGACATAGGGCTATTTGAAACGCTCTCTACCATCTGCATTTTGACACCATTTTCAATTGCTTCAGATTGCTCCACAGGCTTTGAAAGATCATCAGGACAGGCCTCCACAGGCCCTGGGGGTGGGACGCCAGGCTGGGATTTTGCTTTTTCCTCTGGCTCAACAGAAGAAGGAGCTCCATTCACAGTTGCTGTTACTTCACTGGCCGCCAGCTCTACTGGCAGTGGCTGCTCAACACTGTCCACAGGAGCTATCTCAACTGCAGTTTGCTCTGTTAAATTCTGTGTTGATTCTACTGTTTGAATATCTCCCTTTTGGTACACTGTAATTTGTTTCTCTTCCATCTGTTTGTGAACATTCTCACAGATTTCAAGAACCTCGGACATGAGGAGATGCCGGGCAAGCATAGCCAGTTCTGCCATACTACAGAAGTCGAAAGTTAATTCTGAAGTATAAGCAAATTCCAGTAGTGGAAGGAAACTTGACTTGCAAAACCCTACCAAGAACAAAACAGAAGATTAGAGCAAACACTGATGACCCCCCAGTTACACCAAAATACCCCATGATAGATACATCAGTTCATCTTTGATATGGTTAAGTCTGACATTTAGAGTGAGACATACCCACACGAAGCCCCTCAAACCCAAATCACCATCGCTTAAACAAAAACATCCTCCTTATATATTTTGTTCATGGACAGACAACTTTTTCAATAAGCAGAACAGAAGTTGTTTCACAATAAAATTCTTAAGATGATTGTTTGAATATCTTTTGAAGCAAATTAATCCTAATTTAAGGATTTCTGGATGCTACAAGTCTTTCTGGATGCTACATTCAGAAAGTAATTAAGAGTTAAGTAACAACTGAAGCTGCAGAAAAATAAGGCTAAAAAGTGGCCAGTGGGGAAAAAAAAAAAAGAGATAAGCAAAAGCTTGCAAAGAAGCATTTGGTATAATTTCCCACAGTTCAATAAATCATACATCTAATATTTGGGTAACCTTCTGGACCATCATATATGTTCATTCATGTCTATTGTTCATGCAAAGACAGAGATGGTTGAGAAACCACCAGGAAAAGAATAGAACACATGCAAGTTCTGTACAATATTCTTCATCACTACAAAGCTATTTTTTGAACGTTTATTTTTGGACCATCTCCCATCTTCAAAGAAATAAAGATTTGAGAAAGAAGCAAAAATATGGGAAGCGATTTTTTCCAGACACGAGACAATTTAGTATTTGCTTCTCAATTTGTTGAGAAGCCAGTGAACATCCCTTCTTCATGTCTTCTAACATTTAAAGTCTGGGACTAATGTAAGAAAATGCATGTAAACAAGCTAAAAGCAAGAAAGCAAAGATTCTAAGAAATTAGGAGATGGAATTCCATTGTCAATTCAATATGGGAGATCAGATATGCAAAACCAGAGCCATCGCTGAAGCATTAAATGCATACAAAATACTTGGAGATTAAGAGAAGGAAAAAAAAAAAGGCAAGATAAAGTATTTGGTTGTCTCGAACACTCAGAAGAGACTAAAGCAAATACTGTACATCTTACTTCATACATAACAATTTCTATCTTTGAAACCCACAACAATTCACCTGACAGATCCACTACAGCTTCATGACTAGTGACAGCTCCCTTCTCAATGAAGAGCTCTCGGAAGTACTCGCTGTTGGCCGCCAAGACAGATTTGTGAGCTTTGTACTCCTCTCCTTCAATCAGCAGAGTCACATCACAGAACTGATTGGAAAGCCTCTGCTGATTCAGCTGGTTTAAGACTGACAGACAATGTTTGGAAGATGACTGCTTCACAAGGCCCTTACTGTCAACCTGCCACAAACAACATCATGAGAACTTCATTACATTTAGACATTACATTCTTTAAGCATTCATACTGAAACACAAAGACAATTATTTGCTGCAACCATAAAAGTAGTTCAAGACTGTATTAATCTTACTATCATTCTCTTTCTTTAAGCATACCAAATCTCACCCTCCTTCGAAACAGTTAAAACAAACAGGAAACATAGGAAGACGTATCCAATCAATTCCTTTACTGCATTTTTCAAAGCTGCAACATGAAACTGCTTCTAGATTCAGTAGCCTTTACACATGTGAAACCCTGCTTACCAACATCTAAAATTTTATATATAAATATAACATAGTTTATTAAGTAACAGATACAAATATCATGAGAATCTTATATGGAATGCTTCACTTATACTTCTGCAGTTCATTTTCCCTCAAGTCTCACATGCATATACAGAAATTAAAGTCATTTTATTTTCCAAAGGCCACCTACTGTCACTAGTTTCACGTCACATACACCAGTCACCTGCTTCCACACACTGAATATTTTTGCCAAATCATATGTCATCTTATCATGACCAGATTATAATAGCAACAGAAAATAGATACACAACTAGAAATGCATTAACATCTTAAATACATTCAGATGTAAACAATGGTACTTACAAATACAAGCTCATGTTTTGCTATTGGCTTCTTCTTCACAGGCTTTGGGGACGCAGCTGGGATTGATGCCGCATTACTCACTTCATCATCTGTTTCATTACTGTCTTCATGAGATTTTACATCCAGTCCGAGCTCTTCCAGCATTTCTGAAGGATCTGACAGAGATCTAGAACGATCTAGCTTTTCTTGGCACTTGCTGCATTCTTTAATGTAATCCTTAACCTGCTTAAGAATACCTAAGGAAAATTAACAGAAGTTAATTAGGTTTGCAATCTTCATGTAATTCACCTTAAAAACATAATTAAAAATGTGATTAGCAAAAATATATGAAATGATTATTTAAGAAAAATTAAGCCAGTTCTCTATCCTTTCTCTTTATACCAGTTCTGTCTATAACACTATTGTATTATTTTTAAGCTAGGAAAAATATTTCAATTTACATATTCATTATAAGAATCCCAAGACAACGAAAGCTGTAAATGTATCCTGCAATTAGTTCCACGCAAATTAGATCTCCCTTTGTCCTCACTAAAGAGGACAAGAATTTAAAAGCTTATGTAAAGGCTCTTGCAAAACTGGGACCAACTGAATTACAGGCAATGACATCGGTATGTATAATTAACACACATTTAAGTCAGCTGCTTAGAATCTAGAAGTTTAAAGAAGCTCTTCCCTCCAGTACTTTATGAGATGTAACCAAGTAATTTTGGATACTCAACAGTTCCTAACCTCAGTGTCACGTTTGAGACATGAAGGCATTCTAGAGTACAGTTTTGAACCCAAATTCATTTTCTCCACAAGGACAGCATAAGAGCCCATAGAACCCATTCCTTTATGCTTCAAAATCTATCACATCTCAGAACCTTGGCTGACACTGCATTAGACTCATGCTGCTCATACTGTTGTGGAATATGCCATGTTAGATACGCATTCCTGTTAAGGATTGGCAAAATGCAGACCTCAAGCAACATAAGACATGAAAACACATTTCAGACATGGTTTATGTTTCCTTGATTCCAGCTAAAACCTGGGCAGGACATGAGGTCTCCTCTGCAGATCCCACTTCTAATACCATTCTCAACCCCGGGCCACATTCCAGCCCATTGGTTCCCAGCTACAGCCCCAGTAGGTCAGCATCAACGTAGGAATGATGAATAAGTGAAAGCTGCTGTGCCCTAACACCAAGAGAGGATCATAGCAGCAGGGAAAGCATTGTCTTCACAGAGAGAAAAAATAAAATGCACAAATTTAAAGCTAGGTATGAACTTTACCATTCTAAGAGAAATAAGATAAATTATACAAATTAAGCTACTGACAAACAGAAGATAAACTGAAGTCCGTTAAGAATGCATGGATGGATGGGTGCCTAGGATAGCAGCAGATGCCACAACAGTTTGATACTGGGCAGACAATGAGAACCTACACAAAGGCAAGGAGACCATCATTCAGAATGCATCTATCAACTTGGAGTCTCCAAATCCTTTTTCACATTAAAGACCTTCAACTCAAAAAGATCTGGACTGGAAGAATGGGCTGCAGCTAGAGTATGAAGCCTACAAATCAAAACAGAGAAAACTAAAGTTGCAAGGGCAGATGTTAGGGAAAAATTATCTATTCAGAGTGTAGTGAGGCACTGGTACAGGTTGCCCAGCGAAACTGTGGATTCCCCATCTCTGGAACCATTCAAAGCCCAGATGGATGGGGCACTGGGCCCTGATCTCGTAAGTCATAGCCCTGCCCACAGCTCAGTGATCTGTGTCTTCCGAGCTAAGCCACTCTATGATTTGCTTACTGACAGCTGAAAAAAAGCAAAACGAGAGAAGCAGGACGAACAGAAAGCAGGCCCTGGGCAACCGAGAAGCTAGAGATTTGTTTAATGGATACCTCAGATTGCAAGTAGAACACCAGCTCCATAGGGAACATAGATCCCAAGCTGCTGGCTCAGCTGCAAGAAAGCTATGACTGAGAATTACTGATGTTAGCGCAGCACTGTTTCTAACTGCTGTGACATCACTCCGCTCCCAGCTGGGGGTTAGCTCTGTGCGTGCAGCTTCTCATTGGAAGGAAACAGGCAAATGTAACGGTGAGTGCAACAACCACACTCAACAGCGATGCTGCTGGCGCATCTAAGACAGCGAGGCCGACATCCTAAAGACCGACCTAAGGCCAACGGAGCCTTGAGAAGCACGAAGCAGGAGCCCTCTCACGACACATCCCCCTCTGAAGGGCAAAGTCTTCCGCTCCCAAAGCGCCAGCCGCGCGGCGGCGGAGCACGCAGGCACTGCCTCTCAGCGTCCCCACGGCGACGAGCACGGCTACGCGCGGCAGCGCCGTCCCCGCGGGTGCCCCCCGCGCTCACCTCGCCACCAGTACTTCTGCGACAGCCCCTGCCAGGTCTGCAGGCGGGTGCGGTGCGCGCCGTCGGGCGCCAGGTGGGCGGCGCGGATGAGGCGGGCGCGGCGCTCGGCCTGCAGCACCACCTCGAGCTCGGCGAAGCGCTGCTGGTCCCGCTGCCGCCGCTGGTAGTAGAGGGTCCCGCCGCGGACCACGTAGCAGGCGGCCGCTTTACGGATCTTCCGCTTGGCGTTGCCTTCCGTGCCCGGCGCGTAGGGCTCCCGCTCGTTGGTGAGGTAGCGGAGGATGGCCAGGTAGCTCTCCTCGCTGGACATGGCGAGATGAGGGGGCTGCGGGGCCGGGCTCCCGCTCCCGGGGCCGGCCGCGTGCGGTGGACCCCGGGAGAGGGGTGCCGAGGGCTGCGGGGATCCGCGTGTGGCGCGGTGGGCGCCGGCCGCCCCCGGGCGTAGCGGGGTGGGGGGGGACGGACAGGCGGCGGGAGCCGGGCCTGAGGGGGAACTGGAGTTTCGCGGCCAGCGGCGGCGGGAGGGAGGAAGAAGCTCGGGCAGCAGCAGCAACGGAAAGACAAAATGGCTGCTGCACAAGAGGAAGCGACGTCAGCAGCCCGCGCGCCGCGGCGGAGCCGGGTGAGTGTGCGCAGGGAAGGGATAGAAAGAGCGCGGCCGCCATCTTAGAGCCGGGCACGGCGCGGGCCGGGCGGAAGGCTGGCGGCGGCCATCTTAGATGTGGGCGAAGGCTTGGCGGGCTGGAGCGGCCCTGACTGGGGCTTCTGAGTGTGTGCTTCAGTACCCTGGTCGAGCATTTGGTTATCCGCCGGATGATGTGGGGTTGGTAGAAGTGTCTCAGAGAGGCCGGAGAGCTGAGTACCAAAGTATGGGGTGAGGCTGAGAGCTCGTGTGCCGGGCCTCAAAAAGAGATGGCTTCGTTGCGGCCTTGCTGTTCCTCAGCTGTCCCATCAGAGGGTGCAGGAAAGGTGGAGGCAAGCTCCTCTGAGTTGTGTAGCAGGAGGCAACAAATACAGGTTCGTACACAGAAAGCTCTCGTTATATTATGATATTTTATTGATTTGTTTTATAACCACGGTAATTATAAAACACCAGACTAGGTTTTCTTATGAGACAGCAAGACTGGGTACAGCCCTGAGCAACCTGATCCCATCAGATGTTCTCTAAGTAAGGGGTGACCTCTAGAGGCACGTTTCAATTTAAGTTATTCTGTGGGTCTATTAAAAAAAAATTAAGCATTCCATTTTTAGTGATAAATACTTAATAGAGGATCAATGAAGTTGCATTAGGTAACTGCAGTGACTTTTATTTACGAATTTATTTGTTAAATGCATTATATTATATCTGTTTGAGCTGAATAATATGCAGTTGACTACAGCCTGCCTTGTTCATTAGCATCGTATCTCACAGAAGGAGTAACATGATGGGCTGTTCTTTCTTATCCAGTCTCCCTGTATCAGTCAGAGCTCATAAATAAACAGCAACAAACAGTAATCTTATAGCATTCTTACGCTTCACTACAGTAACCTCAAGCATCCAAAACCTGCAGACTTCAAGACTTGGACCATCACATCTGACAATCAATTCCTACACATCACTCGTGGCATTACAAGCAAATCATTTCTAATGGATTATCTCTACTTTTCAGCTGATGAACTTTATGTGCAATTTTTAAGACTAGCTTTGGCAGTCGTATGCAGTGTGCAAGCAATACCAAAAGACAAAATAAAATCAAGTTTTAATAGTTACTGCTAGCACAAGTAACTCAATAGTTTATACAGTTTTAAATTCTCCTCCCTGTTAAGTTTCTGGCTTCTTCACTTTAAAAAGTTTGGTGCGAGTTTAAAAAGGGTCTTCAACTGAGTTCTAAACAAGAGTAGCTCCTATAGTCTTATAGCAAAAAGCACTACTACTAGGAATATTCTGGTGCAAATTCCACTAATGCAATCAATCAAACTGGATCTATTGTATAAGTTGTAAACTTGATGTGATTTGTAGTCTAATTTATTAATGAAACCTAAATATAAGTCAAAATAATACCTGTCACTCAAAGCATCCACTACTGTTGTTGCATTTTTGAAGTCTAAAAGATCCAGAGAAAGCAAATCTATGAAAAAGTTTATTTCTTAGCTAATGTAATAACATAACAAAGCAAGCCCTCAAAGCTCTTCAGAGTAGCTGTAAAGTGACAAATGGATTGAAAAGCAAACAGTAATGCATTTTAATTGTCAAGAGCTTTGAGAACTTAACTGACTGTACTGAAAGTGTACTCCTTATAGGCGTTTGCAAATGTAATACTGTTTTGCATTGTTAATGTGGGTCGGGCTGAGAGATAGTTTAGTGGTCAAGCACTGGAACAAGCTGCCCAGAGAAGTGGTGGAGTCACTGTCCTTGGAGACATTCAAGAACCATGTAGATGTTACACTTAGGTTTAGTGAGCATGATGGTGATGGCAGTCAGAACTAGCAATTGAGGTCCTTGAAGATTCTATGTAGCATCAACAAATGGAGAATCAATCCAGAGGATAAAAAAGTTCATTTTCTCCTATACTTCTAGTAAGTTAAAAAACACTGCTTTCCCAAAGCTATTACTACCCAAAGCTAAGAGGAAGTTTGGGCACGCTGCCTACAAGGCTAAAGTCCTAAACCAGAGAGCTGTGTACCATACATAAACAGTTTAGATAGCCATTCTCCCTGGGAGTGGGAGAGAATTACTAAAGGGATCCCATGTCTGCATTGTTTATGAGCCTAAACAAGCTTGAAGTAAATGTGTACCAACAAATCCATTTTCATAGACTGGCTTAGCTAAGAAAGTTATGCTCTCCTTTGCCTCTTTTCTGACCCAACGTATCTGTAGAATTGCTTATCATTTTCCATATCTCTCGCCAACTTTCGTTCCATCTGCACCTCAGCTTTCCTGATCCCATCTCTGCACACCCGTACAGCAAGTCCCTATATTCTTCCTAGGCTGCCCATTCCCACTTCCACAGCCTGTGGAATTGTATTTTTCCTTCTGATCCATCAGCAGCTCCTTGCTCAGCCAGTGCCAGTTTTCTAACTTCTCTGCTCTTTTGCTGATGGATGGAGAGCCTTTGTGCTCTCAGAAAGACATCCTTAAAGAGCTGCCAGCTCTGTTCCATTTATTTGTCTCTAAGGAGTTTCAAATTGTTTTTCCAGAAGATATCTGGATAGTAGAAATTTCCCACCAGGATAAGAGCCTCTGAGCATGACATCTCTTGCAGCTGAGGCAGTCTTGTCAACAGGCTCCCCTTGTTACAGGTGGCCTGTAACAGCACCTAACCAGATGTCCTTTATTGGCCCCTAGTTTTAAACCACAGGCTTTTCTCCTGGTAACGGTTGTTTCTTATAGGCAGCTCTTCAGTCTATCCCCTTCTTAACAGGGCAACTCCACCACCTTTCCTACCTTGTCTATCCTTTCTAAAAAGCTTGTAGCCCTCAACTGTAGCGTTCTTGCTATATGATTAATTCCCACTACCTTTCTGATAACAATTTTAAGCTTATTCAGCCTATCATAAGTGGTTTTAAGCACTGCTAACTAGATCACAATTGCAGAAGGGCCATATTAGGTGAAATAGTGCCATTTAGCTTACTAAAAGCTCAAGGAAGTTGTGCAAGGGAAGACCTTCATAAGTTTTGCCTGACAAAGGCTTCCAGCACTCAGAGATTTTGTTACTTCCTGTTTAACAGCCATGTGGTTCATGAAATGTCCATTTCAGAAACTATTTTTCCTTTTATCCTGTACAACACCTTGCAAACATCTGTTTCATAATGCAAGAAAGTGTACTTTATGTCACAGACTGCACTGTTTCACATCCCCTCAGTCTGCATTCTGAACTTACAACTCTATGGCATTTGACATTCACGTAGGTTGTTCTGCTTGTGTACTTATCAGCTCAATCCTTCCTGGTGCCTAGACTACTGTATTCATTTTAAGACTTATGAAATGTCTTCTAGCATAGCAAATCCTTTAAGGAACTGAGCATTTTATGGCACAAGGGTGTTCACTGGTCTTTAATTCTCTTCAGCATGTGTCACACAGTTGAAAAGAAACAAGTTGTGAAAGCGAGTTAGATGTTTATTCAGTATGGCTACCAGACTGGCAAGCTAGCGCTTTCCACCAACACGGGGAGCAGAAACCTTGACTGGTTTCACAATTTTCTGCTTAGGTGCTGCCTTTGTTGGAGCCTGCGGAGAAAAAACAACATATGAGCAAAGAGAAACAAATTATCCACATTACTGAAAGTGTCCCTATGCTACACTTACAATTCTTTAGATAAGTGAGGCAATCTAAAAATCAGATCAGAGTTAACAGATTTTTACTACAGGTATGATTATAAACCTAAAGTATGGATGATGCCATTCAGCATTAGCATTAGCAGCACTGAAAAGCATGCTAAGACTCACCAACACACTGCTACCAAGTCTCTAAATAATGTCACATCTAGACAAGTTGACATCTAAACATCATTGGCATCTGCTCAGAAAGTGGTTTTGCTACAATATCTACTCTCCTTCTAAGAAGTGGCTTGTTCTGTTCAGCAGTTCACATCTCTATCTCTAGTGCATTAGTTTGGTCAGTATGCTTCCAGATCAAAATAGACAAATTAAAACACAAATTCCCAATGAAGTGCTGCAGTAGTGTTACAACATGGCATATTCCAGGTATACCCACTGCATCTTACCTTTGCAGCAGAAACAGCCGTTTTCTTGGTGGCCTGCTTAGCTTTCTTGGCTTCTTTTGCAGCCCTGTTAATTCACAGAAAGAAAGCTAATTATTCATTTATATAATAAATATATATATTTAATATATATTAATAATTCATTCATTATTCATATTCAGTTATTCATTATTCTGCCACTCGCTGTTTCTTTGTCTCAACCACTTTAAGAGCTCCCTAAGGTCAGGAAACAAATGCATTATCTCAAGTTTATCCCCTACGTTCAATGCCTCTAGCAAGACTGCTACAGAGACAACAGAACTGCGTGTGACAAAAGTAGTATTTTCACAAAGGAAGAGAGCAAGAAGAGACCCTTCTCTGCTGATAGTAATTCTTGCTAAGATTATTCAGTGTTGCCTCCAAATACACTGATCCCCCCAAAAACGCCTGTAATACACTGAGTTCAGCTAGAGCTCAGTATCTTGCAGGGAAATGCGTTGGTAGTATTTTAAATACCCAAGGACAGCCCCAGACACCTGATTTCTCACCTGATAGCTTGTTCCCTCTGTGCTTTTCGGACTTCAGGCTTCTGGTTTCGCTTAGCCATGATCTCAGCTAAGGATGCACCAGTAATAGCTCTTTGAAACTTAACAGCACGGCGCGTGCGCTTCTTTTGTATCTCTTCCTAAAATGACAGGATACAAAGACAATTAGCAACATAAGGCACTAAATAAAAGGCTAAAGACAATTAAGAAACAAGCTGCTATTAAGATTGAAGGTATTACCAGGTTGTGTACAGAAGAATTTTATTCCTCATTTTGGACATAAACAATTCACTAATTTGCCAAAGCAGACCAGTAAGCCATCGACTTTGTTTCTCTAAATGAACTCAGAAGTGTTGAGTCAGTGTTTCCATGTAAGCCTTTCTAACTACTCTTTTGCTGTGCAGTGTTGAGCAAGAGACTGAAAATACCTATGCTAACATACTGTATTTTTTTTCAGTGCAGTGACAACTGCATAACAATTACATTCTACTAAGTTAGAATCATAGAACTGTTTCAGCTGGGAGGGACCTTTAAAGATAATCTAGTCTAACTCCCCTGCAGGAACAGAGACACCTAAAGCTACATATGTAAGTTTTCAAGAAGGTTACATGAGCATTTCCCTCACTCATCATCCCCCATGTCATCTGATAATCAGAATTCTATTACACAATTCTGGAATCTTACAGTCCAAATAATTAAGCAGTCCATAGATTAACCAGTGCTGTCCCATTTTCTGTAAAGCTTTTTCAAATGATATTGTTTAACACGTATAACTCAGACAAATGTTAAAATCTGATGCACCTCCTGTGGTTCTGAGGGGACCCTCAGACATAATTATGTATAGTTACAGCACTTTTGCTGAAGTGTTACATTCCAAATGTAAAGCAACATACAAACTTGAGCTTGCACACACACTTTCACCAAACTGACCCCCTTGTTCTGGTTATATGGGTTATACTTCAGCTACCCATCACCATACTGCAGTTACCTCCATTCTAACAGACCAGTTAACAATTTTTTTTTTGGTGGAAAACTTGAGAGCAGCTTTCATTGGTATATACTTACTGACTGTCCTTTCTTGTGCTTACGCCTATATAGAACAGTCCAATTGATTTGACGGGGGTTTCTCTTGGAAAGGAATGCAGACTCACATTTTGCATTCAAGAACTGGAAAACCTAGGAAGAAAAGGAAGTATTTGCGTAAGCTTCTTTTCTATGAAAGATACTGTCACACTTTATGTCAGCATATCAAGTAATTATTTGATTCAGTGTTTTTCAACACTGATGCTTTTGGAGCTCTTTACACAGATGACAATTAGTTGTGAATCCAGCTTCTGTTCCCAGATTTTAAGGTGTAGAATTTTGTTCCTTTGCTTAAGCTATCTCATTCCATTAAAAAGCATCCACTTAAAAATGTTTTTCTACACAAAATTAGAGTCATAGAGTTGCATAGAGTTGAAGGTTGGAGAAAACCTTAAAGATCATCTCATCCATCCACAACCTAGCCACATTACCCCAACTCTAACAACCCACCACTAAATCAAGTCCCTGAGCACCACATCCAAATGGATTTTGAACACATTCAGGGTTGGTGACTCAACCACCTCCCTGGGGAGCCTATTCCAGTGCTTAACAACCCTTTCCGTAAAGACATTTTTCCTAATACCCAACCTAAACTCACCCTGGTGCAACTTGAGGCCATTTCCCCTCGTCCTGTCACCAGTGAGAAGAGACCAACCCTGCTCTCACTGTAAGCACCTTTCAGATATTGAAAGAGAGCAATAAAGTCTCCCATCAGCTGCCTCTTCCCCTGCCTAAACAGCCCCAATTCCTTCAGTCACTCGTCAGAGGGCACATTCTCCAAGCCCTTCACAAGCCTTGTTGCCCTTCTTTGGGCCTACTCCCACATGCTCTGATGCTATTTTTCTGAGTTAAGCTCACAATGCTTTTTTTTTTTTTAATCCCCACCACATGCTGTACTGTGCTCAAGGTGCAGCACAAACAGCCATATCTCGAATTGCACAAGTGTTTGTTCTCAATTAACTACGTACTTTTTGTACGTGAGGGTCACAAGTGGACACAAGCAACACTTGGGAGACTAGCACTGCTCAACTCCTTCTTGCCTAAAGGAAACTGAAGGCAGAATTAAGGGCCTGATTTCGTACTAGTTAGTAAAGTTTAAGTTTCTCAGCTTCTAAGGAGATCAAGAATCACTCAGTCCAGTTCTTTAGCTGTCATTTCCTAAGACATGCTGCACAGCAAGACCACAGCACTGGAACTATAAAGACTCATGGAATAGTTGGGTTGAGAGGGACCTCAAAGCCAGTTCCAGCCCCCTGCTGTGGACAGGGCTGCCACCCACCAGCTCAGGCTGCTCAGGGCCCCATCCAGCCTGGCCCCGAGTGCCTACAGGGACAGGGCACCACAGCTGAATCCGGGCAGCCCATGCCAGTGACAGGAACTGCAGCATCTCTTTACAGACACAAACATCATATCTCCAGCCTTATCCACAAGAAATAAGGAAACCAGATCCCAGTGATCCATACCTAACGCATCAGACACACCCCATTGGCTCAGCAGAGCTCAGCGTTAGAAGCAGACCCTTTAACAAACATTTTCTACACCAGACGCCCTAAGCCATCCCTCCCACACCACGTCCGCACGCTAACTCAAGCTTGCCGACTCGCACGGTTCCCGTGAGTCGGGCCTGCCGCGCACTGACGTCATCAGCACCGCGCAGCTCCCGGCAGCTCCCAGGCAGCACTACCCGCAGGCCCCGCTCAGCACCCGGTTCCCTACTCGGCAAGGCGAGGCCTTTCTCCCCAGACGCTTCGCCAGCCGCGCCGCGGCCTCACCTTGCCATCAGTGCGGGCGTAGCGGCGGCCGTGGCCCGGGTAGATCTTATACCCGCTGAAACTGCACAGCTCGACCCTGCGAAGGAGAAAAAAGTTAGCAGAAGGCACAGGCCAGCGGCAGAGGGTTTTGCAGTCATTCCGCGGCCTCCCCGCCGGGGATGGCGGCGGATGGACTAGCAGAGACCGCAATTCCACTCACTTCATGATGGCGGCGGGCGGGCCGAAAAGGATGGGGGCCGGCCGGAAGTGGGTGTGGCGACGGCGGCGCGGGGCGTGCCGGGAGCGCTCCGCCTGTGCAGGGCCCGGCGGGAGGGCGCGGAGAGCAGAACGGGGGTCGTTGCTGGAGCTTCTGCCGGTTGTCTCCGGGTCTTCTTAGGTCTCGCCGCGCGGCCCTGCCAGCGGGGGCAGTCAGCCTACGAGGAGATAAATTAATCATCGTAACAACGGGAATTTTCTCGTCGAGGAGCGAGGCAGCCAATCGGCGCCCGGCGTCCGGTTGCCTGGCGGCGTCGGCGAGAAGGAAGCATGGCGGCCACCGGAACGGCGGGCACAGGAGCGGCGGCGCGGACCGAGTCCGCCTCGCCGACTGCAGGGGGTGAGGAGACCTCCGCGGCGGGCGGCCGGCGTTTGTTTGGGTCGCCGTTGTGCGGCGCCGAGGGCTTGGGCGCGCGGTGCTTGCTGGGAGATGTAGTACGGCAGGTTGCTGGCACTGCGCGCTCAGCATTGCGGCTCCGCTGAGCGGTCAGGTGGCCGTGGGTTGGAGAGGCAGCGGCAGTAAATGCCATCAGGGTTGCTTCTTAGGGAAGCAGGTGTCTGGCTGGCAGAATGGTGTGCCGGCGGTGCTCATCCCCATCCTTCACACAGCTGAACCTTAGAGCAGGCAGGCTCTTCAAGTACTGAGACTGCACTGGGGTAAGGGCTCTGTATGGACCGTGCTGCTGATGGAGTGTCATCTACAGACCAGGAGACAAGTGGTGTAATGGTGCACACGTGCAAAATGCAGAGCAGGGGGTAAATATATGGAAGCAGTGATTAGTGGCTGCCACACAATGTAGGTACCCAGCCATTCAAGTTCCCTGTAGGTGTCAGGTGATTTCCTCTTAACTCTATGTTCCTCTTCCTCTATGCCATGGAACATTCATGGGACATTTTAATCAGGTGTTCCACTAATTAAATACTATTCTACTGTATTTACAATTTGTTCTTGCTCAAATCTTACCTGTGCTGTAGCATTGCTATATGAACAGGTTATTTGTTTGACTTTAAAGTGGGTACCTTACTGAAGCACACAACGATTAGCCCATCAGCACGTGTACAACTGCCACAATCCTTAGGCAAGATGCGCTGACCCATTTGGCCACTGAAGTCCTGGACTGCAACCTTTGGCCCCAAATTTAGGTATTTTCCCTACCCAATAAGTTTAATACTAAGATTAGGCTTCACAGCAGCCAAACTGCTAAGAAGAATTGTGTCTCTAAATATTAATTATTTAAATCAATTTCAAGGGCATAGGGTGAATCTTAATGTTTATTTCTTCTGTCAGGTCTAAGCACCTGACTTCTAACAGAGAGGTGTCTGTTTTGGTTCCACAGTTGGAAATTTCCTCTTTGAGTTTTTACCAGACTGTGCTTTAAAAAATTTGTATAGACTAATAATGTTTTCCTTTGAAGCAGAAAAAAGAGAAAACTGCAGGTGTTTATTCAGTGGCCTAGCTTTTGTCGGACTTGTTTACAAGGCTGTTTCTTTTCCTTCAGCTGAGTACTGTCAAATGGACATTTAACAAATAGGAGATAGGTGCCCTAATCTTCGATGCTGTATCAGAGTGTGTGATGGAGGGAGGTCAAGTTTGTAGGTTTGCATCTTGGTCGGCTTTCCTGTGTTCTGAGCAACTAAAGTCTGGATGCTGCTCATCTCTGTATCATTCTCCCTTTTTGTCCTTTACAGTTGTTTGTGTAGTGACAAGTATGGCTGCTGCTGTGTGTGTGGAGTGTGACCATACAGCTGTGTGTTCAGGATGTTCTGGGTATGCCTGCCAGCAGGAATTTAGATAGAGAGCTCCTACACATAGGAGCCACTCTAATTGGGTGCTTAAAATTTGAAACCGTTGAAGAAGTTAAAAAATATAGATTTTCTTAAATTTGGGGTTTTGAGGATTGCACTTTTAAATTTAGCTGCCTGAATTTCACTCAACTCAGCCTCACACTTCAGGGGATCTCTCTATTACTTTTACTGCCAAAATTCAGCCGAATTCTTTACTTGAACAGGGGCTGGCATCCCCATCTTCCAATAACTGGATGCTTTTTTTTCTAATGTATTTAGTCTGGATTAAGTGGAAAAGAAAGTTCATTTTTATTGCTAAATTAGCTGTATGCATTAAAAAAGCAGATGGGTTTGTATTACTCTGCATTTTCAGTATGCGTTTTCATATGTCAAGTATTGAGTTTGATTATTTTCTGTTGTATTTTTTTCTTATTCTAAGGTTTGGTAGTGAACTGGTCAGGTCAAGGATTGCAAAAGCTGGGTCCAACATTACCCTGTGATCCCAATACTCACACTCTGATTCTGGACAAAAACCAGATAATTAAATTGGAACATTTGGAAAAATGCAGGAATCTGATGCAGGTCAGTGTGACTTGAGTTGTATTTGCTGTGATGTAATGGTATTGTGGTGCTAACTGAAATATTTCTGCTATAAGGCCACATTATACAATAGAAGTCATTCAGCAGTTACTGTTTTGATAGAAAATTAAGCAGTGGTGAACTAAAGTAGAAAGCTCTATTTTCAGCATAGCTCTGCAGTTGGTGGTGGAGGAAACTGTTTTGCTAGTTTCTTAGGTAAGTAAAATTAGATTAATGTAATGTACCTAAGAACATTTAGAAAGGTCACTGACCTGATTTCGATACTTTTGAGTTTTTGAGTACTTGATCTCTGTTACCTTAAGAGTAGCTGTGTAGTTTACATGGAGTAAAGATAAATGTGCAGACATACGTACAGGACTCTCCCTGGTTGGGTTTCAAAACTCTTCACAGAGAAGTGTTAGTAGCCTTAATTTACAGGAATAAATGAATAGATAAGCCACATTGATTAGGTTTAAAAAAAAAAAAGGGAAAAGAAGAAGAAAACAACTCAGCAATTAGCAATTACAAACATGTGAAGTGGGAGAGATCTGTTGTCTTTAGGTTGGATATCAGGAAAAATTTCTTTACAGAAAGGGTGGTTATGCACTGGAATAGGCTCCCCAGGGAGGTGGTTGAGTCACCATCCCTGTGTGTGTTTAAAAACCATTTGGATGTGGTGCTCAGGGACATGATTTAGTGGAGGGTTGTTAGAGTTGGGGTAGTATGGTTAGGCTGTGGTTGGACTTGATGATCTTGAAGGTCTTTTCCAACCTGAGCAATTCTATGATTCCGTGATGCCCTTGTTAACATATTGAGTTACATAGGCTCTGATGTTGTTAGTGTTTAGCTTAATATACTTAATTTTGAAACTTAATATACTTAATTTTGAAATTTCATTTAGGTTCATGAGGATATTAGTAGTAGCAATAGTAAGCATGTGCATGATGCTAGCAGAAATCAGTGTTAATTCTGCTGGAGCAAAGCTGTACAAGTCCATGCTAAATGTTGAAAGTGCCTGCAAATAGTCTGGAGCAGTCACCTACACAACCTCTAGAGACAAGCTAAACTGATGTTGGAGAGGGTTCTTTTAATTGCTACAACAAACCCTCACCAGTCTGCCAGCTTCACAGTTGTGGTGTTAAATGGTATTTCTTGTATTCTCTTAGCACAAGACTTCTCGGAGAATCATGAAATATACTTTATCCCATAACATGACAAGAAGTATGGTTTTGCACCAGGAATGTTGCAAAAATTTGTATGGTGATTTGGCAATTCTGATTTTAAAAGCTTATTTTCATATGATTCCATTCCTTGTTTATTCTCCTTCTTTAATTAACTATTGATATGAGAAAGTCTACAGACCTAGTGGAAATCTACTTTGATGATTAGTTTATTTCTTATCTCTTGTAGTTTTTTGTATTTATAGTATTTGCATAGACACTGAAGTAGTTCCTGTTGGATTGGACTTTTAGCTTGACAGGCAGCCTGTACTATCAGTAGAGTTTAATCGTTGAAACTGTTTCTTTTATTTGTGTGCCCATCTGCAGTTGTCTGTAGCCAACAATCGTTTGGTACGAATGATGGGTGTAGCAAAACTGACTCAGCTCCGTGTGCTAAACTTGCCTCATAATAGTATTGGGTATGTAGAAGGGCTGAAGGAGTTGGTGCACCTGGAATGGCTCAACTTGGCAGGAAACAATCTTAAGGTAAGTACATAGAGTCTCATACATTTTCCACAATCTATCATAGTAGAAATTTGGAAAACACATTGAAAATGATCCTTCTGTTCCACTGCAAAGAAATCTCAATTTCTGCTTCTGGTTTTAATGGGAACAAATGTTGAACCTTTGTGTCCACTAGTGTAATGAAGTGGAAGAGGGCAACTTTTGGACAAGAATTGGCTTGGGGAAAAATGAAACGTGGCTTGACACCAACATGTAATGAGAACTGGGAGATAGCCTACAAAACAGGAAAATAATTATTTTGAAAATTAAACTGATTAAAAACCATGATTTTAATGTTGGGCTTGTTATGCAGTGTTGTTAGCTTCCCAGATAATTTTCAGTTATTGACACTTCTTTCAATTTAATGACTAAAAAAATATTGACATTAACTCCTTCATTTTTGTAGGCCATTGAGCAAATGAATTCCTGCACATCTCTTCAGCACCTTGATTTGTCAGACAACAACATATCTCAGCTAGGAGATCTCTCAAAACTAATGTGTCTGAAGGTAGGTGCTCTTTTAGCTGTTTTTCTTGCATCCTTTGCATTGAGCATTCTTTTTCAGAAGAGTGGTAGCTTTTAAAGCATTGTTTATTCAAACGCTAGATTTTAAAGCATTCTAACTAATCCCTGTATGGGAACTACTGAGTCATGGCCTGAACCTCTGATTGATCACCTGAGGTGAGCCATGAGCCAGCCAGAGGAGCACAGGTGGAGCCAGGCTCCACCCCTCCTAGACCTATTTAAGAGCTGGCTACCAGTGGGGAAGGATCTCTTCTGGAGATTGCCTCTATTGGTGTTTGTGGTGAGTTCAGCTGAAGGGTAAGCCTTCCATTTTATTCTCTTTTGTTATCATTGTCCACTTTGCCTAACTTTCTTGATTATATTGTGATTGTAACATCTTGATATCCATTGATTATACAATCCCTCTGACTTTTAGAAGGAAGAGTGTTAGAGGTTTTTTGTTGCTTTCAGGTTGCACAAACTGGGGCAGTGATTCTTATGCAATCACTAATGATTTTGATTAAGGTAATGCTGTAAGATAGCACTCGTTTCTCTTAACAGATTATGAATCAAGACAAAGCATAGAGTTGAGTCTTTTATCACATACACTGTATGATGTTTCAGATACGCTTTTTGTAAATGCAGCTGGGTGTCGGTTCTGTATTTCCTAGTAATAACATTTTGCTTTAGTATGTGAAATTCAGTTTTCCCTCCCTGGAATATGCAAACGTTATTTTGATTGTACCAAAAAGCCTTAATTGTTGGTCACTTTTTCCATTTGTATTCTGAAGTTATTGTTTGGATGGAACGGTGAGGAAGAAAAGCTATTTTTTTGTTGTTGTTCAAACATGCATTTTATCACCATATTTCTATTTTACAGACCTTGTTGCTGCATGGAAATATTATAACGTCGCTTCGTACTGCCCCTGTTTGCCTACCTCAGAATCTGACTGTCTTTTCTTTGGCAGAAAATGAAATCAGAGACTTAAATGAGGTAAGATGTAGAAAATGTATGACTTTGTCTTTAGGGAGAGTGAAGAGAAATAGCTGGATTGTTCTTTTGAGAATGTAAGTGAAATAGACCCTCTTCTTTGAAATCACCTTTGTTAACAAAAGAAGACTTTAATGCTCTGTGTAATAACTGTTTGCTCTAGCTGTGCAAGCTAGGTAACAGCTTTTTACATTTGTCCTTACAGGACTTCTTACTGTATTTTATGCTTTTATATTATTTATGAATGTCTTATATTTTGAGGACTAGATTCAGAGAGGGACTTTCCTGATTATCTAAAGGTTGAAACTTGAGCTGATAAACTGCTGCAGCTCAGCTGTTCTGTTCGGAACATAGTCTCTAATCTCCCATTCAAACCCTATGTAAGATAAATGAGTATTCTGTGATACTTTTTTTCTTTATTGGATTTGTGTGTGTGTCACTTCCTCCTTTATCTATTCCAACATGAGGAAAAAATATGTTAGTTGGACATCAGTATTGGAAGAAAAACCTCATTTGGTAATGCATTTCTCTCTTCTGCAGTGTTGGGCAATGTTTCTCAGCTTTTCAGATTGCCATTTTTGTCAACTTCAGTTCAGTGCAGCACATACACTTTCCTATGTGTGCAGGCTAGCTCCTGAATTTTAAGAGAAATGAATACTTTCCAAGAACTATACTACTTACAGGAAAATTAACAGGCACGTGATGGTAGTTGGTAGAAGACCACTTAAAAGATATTCAGGTTTAAAAAGCAAGTGTGATTTTCAATGTAAGTGTAATGTTGTTGTTTCTGGAGATGTATTGCTGTAATTAGGCAAATTGTTGTGTTCTGTAAGCAGCTAACGGTTCTCTTCACTTAAATATATCTTATTTTCTCAAGGTTTCTTTCCTGGCTTCCCTCCCTCAACTGGAACAGCTGTCAGTAATGAACAATCCTTGTGTGATGGCCACACCTTCAATCCCTGGCTTTGACTACAGGCCGTACATAGTCAGCTGGTGTCTCAACCTTAAAGTTCTGGATGGATACATGGTTTCTCAGAAGGAAAGGTAATGTGATACTTCTGCAGTTATCAAGTAAAGTTTGTGTAAGCTGAAATTTCGTTTTTATATGATAAAAAAATGGGTAGAATGCTAATGGTCTGAAATTGTTTTTCTAGCTAATGCCCATTTGAGATACTGGCCAATTTACATTGTTTTTGCAAGAGTTTTCATCTGTTATAGTGGTATTATATGAAATCATTTAAATAGGAATTAAGGTTTGTGGGTTTTTTGTTTTTTTTTTTGTTGTTGTTGGTTTTTTTTTTTTGTTTTGTTTTTTTTTTGTTTTTTACTCAAATCACAGCAGCACTTGTACAAAGCCAAACTGGCAGCAAATGATCAGTGGTCTTTTATCTCTCTCAAGTTCATAGCCTCTTTGATTTTGTGCAATGAGATAATAGGCAAATATTAAAGCTATTATCTTGGGGGAAACTAAAGCACGCCCTTTTGTAAGGAGTCTCATTTACATTTAAATTGGTTTGTTTGTTTTACAAATATCAGTATTTACTGTATTGCTATGTATATCACTGCTACATGTATGATAGTGGAGGTGTCTGGACACTGTTCACATTCAGTGTTTTGGTAGCTCTTAGAGGAACAGCACTCAAAGCAAAGTTATGAGGTTTATGCCATATGTTAACAGTAACTGTCTTCCCAACAGTTTGAAAGCAGAATGGCTCTACAGTCAAGGTAAAGGAAGATCATATCGACCTGGGCAGCATGTTCAGTTAGTCCAGTACTTGGCTACTGTTTGTCCTCTTATATCTACACACGGTCTCCAGACTGAAGAAGATGCCAAACTGGAAAAAATACTGAGTAAGCAAAGGTGAGAACTTCTTGCTTCTCTGTTGTTAGAAAATGCAATTGTCTCATTATGTAATAGATATTTGCTTTTAAGTGTTTTAAAGCAACAGCAAGAGCAAAAGATGGGAAGAGTAATGGAGGTGCAGGATGAAGGGAATGAGGAGTAAGAGAGCAGCAGGAGTGTTTGCTGGGCATTCTAGAGGCAGTCTGTGCTCTGTGGAACATATTGAAGGTGATTTGTACAATGACTGTAATTAAAATAAACTTTAACTTCCCTGATCTCGATCACAAACAAAAAACTTACACATGATCTTTAAGGCAGAGGGATTTTCTAATATCTACCTTATGATCTCTTAATTTCACTAGGTTGAAATAACCTTTCTCTTTCCTCAGATTGTAGACAATGACTTCGTGGCAATGCTGTTACCTGATTTTTGTATTAGGGTGCAGGGTCATGCATTTGGATAAAGTCATTTTCAAGCCTAAAAGTCTCCATTCAAACTCTTTACGCATATAAGCATAGCATGTCCTGCAGTTGACGCTTAAAATATCTGTACACCTTGCTTGTGTATAGAGATACTCCATGGTTTTCAGTCTGTACTCAGAATTGCATGCTGTATTTTTTTTCTTGTTCTTTTATTTTTCTGGTTACACGTATATGTAATGAAAAGAAAGAGGCAGAAGGAAGGGGAACAGGAGCAGCCTATGCAGTCCTTTACTTTGTGAGTAGTCCTTCTGTTGGGTGTAGGCTAGCACCTACTAGCTGTAGCTAGCATCTTGTTTTAGAACGGTTTGATTTCTTGTTTACTTCAGAGTAGTGATAGTTTATTTCAGATGGCTTATGTACCAAAAAACAACAAAAAAAATATATATTTATATATATATAATTCTGTTGAAACTTTGCTCAGGCTCCACCAAAGGCAGCTGATGTATCAAAACCAAAATGAAGGACCAGCTACATCTTCTGCTTCCAACAGAACTTTGCCTGTTACTTCTGAACACAGCAGTCCAACCCATCCACCCCAGATAGTTCTTGATAATGGTAAGATGTAAATTTGCACCTGTGATCTTAGTGGTGGGAGTAAAATAAATGCAGACTTTTCTTTTTTAAACACAAAGTATGAATTTCTGTGAATTAAACTATTTTATTGAAACACTGTGAGACTTCTGAAAATGTCTTTCTGCCTATCTAGAACGTGTCATCCAGAAGAATTCCTGGGTTGGACCAAGTGTGAATGATGATCATTCCTATGCAGTAAAGAACGCTTTTCTTCATGAACGAAATTGTCACAAGGAGCTGTACCTTGAAGACATACAGACTGATGAAGACAAATTAAATAGCAGCCTGTTATCTTCAGAGTCTACTTTCATGCCAGTTGCTTCAGGATTGTCTCCAGTGTCTCCTATTTCAGACCCGAAGTTATGTGGAATCAGTTTGGACCTGGAAGACAATGATAGTACTGTAATTGAATTTGCAAAAGATGCAAATAGAGGAGAAACAGCTAACAAGCAAGAAGAAACTTCTTGGCTTATGAAAGAGGACTCCAACAAAGTGACAGAAAGTGTAGAAACTCGAGAGCAAATCAAAGACAGGGTGCAGTTATCATCTCTTGATCTGGTAAAGGCTAACCAGGCTAATGCTAGCAATTCTTCAGCATCCTCTGAAGACCAAGTTTTGCACAGTCGGCCTGGCAACTCAGTAGGTGCTGAATTGAAAGTTACAACACTCTGTACTGAGCAGGTGACAAGAGAAAATTCGGCTCATTTAGCTGCTGTTGCTCAAGGTGCAGATGAACTGCACAGAATGACTGAAGCAGCTACCAAGCTTCAAGCCTGCTGGAGGGGGTTTTATGCAAGGAATTACCACCCCCGAGTCAAGGAAGTGAGATATGAAATTCGACTGAGCAGGATGCAGCAGCACATAATTTGTTTAACTGATGAAATACAAAAGTAAGTTGAGATTGTGCTGTGCATTTTCCAAGTCTGAATATAGCTTGCTCCAAGATAGTTCAGAAAAGGTATAAATGGGTCTTCATATAACTGTGCACAGTAGGACCTAGCATTAATGATACAAAGCAGTGATAAACTAGAGGAAGAATACCCAATAATTGTTATGTATGCATGTAACTTCTCATCCTCTCATGTCTTCAGTGAGTTGGATTGTAATTAACTTTTTCAATTCCTTTGTTATTTGGACGTGTGTTTTGCTGCATAATCAAAATGGCAATTGTGAATTATGAGGTTTCTGACTTAATCTCTTAGCAGTTACAGAATCTCTAAGTGTCAGTACTGGGTCATTCCTCTGTTAACAGTCTGTCAGAGGAACAGTTCTAGTCCTCACAGTGTCTTTCATGATATAATTTTCAAATACAATTCTATTATTTTTGATCATGTGAATCCATGTTTTAAGGGGATTATTATCAGAGTTTCTTGAGTTCTGAGACAGAAATTGTGAATTCATTAATACCATTCAGGATCAGTCTGGGAACAGTTTGACAGTTTCCCTTTCATTTACTGTCGTAATGACAAAAGTTCTGTGAATCAGGCTGAGCTCTTGGTGAACCTATAGAAAATCCTAAGGCTTTCACATTGTACTGCATGTTTATCTTGGTATCAGGTGGGGAAGGCATAATTTGAAGCGTAGAAGCACTATTTTTTTTTTTTTTTTTCCCCGTCATTTTCTTCCTGTCTCAGGAGAAGCAGACATGTCTACTTAAAATGAAGAGGTCAGGTTCAGTATGCAAAAAGACCCCTGAAGTATTAGCAAAGCTATAGGTGCTTTTTAGCAAAAGGGAAGCAAAATCTAATTGTAACCTTGAGAAATAAATGTATACTTGAAAGCCAGCATCTAGATATTGATAACAAGCCAGATGGCAATAGTGTCTCACTGTTGGGCTCTGTGGTGTTTTCAAGAGTTCTTTTTTGTAAGCAGGCATTTTTATGCATTCCTGTTGGTTTTTTTTATTTTTTTTACCAGAATATTATTTAATTTGCATAATTTTGGATGTTCTTGCAGACTAAGAAAAGAAAGAGAGGAAGATAAGATTCAGAGGCTTGTACAGGAGGAAGCTGTCAGATTTCTTTGGAACCAGGTAAATGGCTTTAGTCCTCTTATATTTTGCTTATGAATTGAGAAGATATTTTATACAATAGAGCATGAAGAGATGGTGAATATGGTTCATTCTTCCAATTACGAACTTGGTGGCTTATTAGAATCTAACTGCAGTGGGTTTGGCTGTTCTTTTATACTGGGGAAAAAGTAATATTCAGAAGTGTTAACACAGTAAATTGTGTAACTAAATGGAAAAAATACAACTTGATATGAGAAGAAGGACAAAATGCAAGGAGAGCTAAACAAGCATTGTAGGCATTAAACAAGATGTGACTGCTACATGCTTAGGGCAAATGAAACACTGTCAAGCAGTGTTATTCTAAACAAATAATTTCTAGATTAGGAAAAACATATATTAATATATCTTTCAATAAGTTGTTATTTCTTCCCAAGCTAAGGTCTGTTTTCTTAAGAATGGGCTATTTTTAAAAGGTTTCTTATCTTTTTTGCCTTGAAGAGAAGACTTCCTTTTCTTTTTTCTTCAGGGAAAGATATTCTTTTTTTCTTGAAGCATCGAGGTTGTGAGCTCTGTGGATGTTGGGCGTCTAGTTTAAAAGCTATTTAACATAGGGGAAAAAATATTTTCCCCAAAAGTATGGTGAAATGTTATATTAGAGTTTTGTTGCCAATTACAATAGCTTAGAAACCTAAGTGCTTTTTGTACTTTACAGGTTAAATCCCTTCAACAGTGGCAGCTTACAGTGACACAACACTTAGGTGTCGCTTGTCAACCTGGGATCCCTTCAGCTGGTACTTCTTGTCTATTGGAACCATCTGCTCAAACATCTACACCTGAGCAAGAAACCCCATCAGATGTTAGTCCTGCTTGGTTAGCTCCAGCTAGTGATGTTCTTCAGGAGAAGTCTTTGTTACAATTCCCAGATTCTGGTTTTCATTCTGCCATGGCTGACCAGACTCATACTGGTGACTCGTGTAGCTATGAAAAGAGTCTAACAGAAGGAACTGAGGGCTGTCTTTCGGTGGAAACTGTCAAACGGTGTGGCAATTCTGTTTCAGAACATTCTTCAGATGTAGAAGATGACCATGGGGGATGTGAACAAAGCAGAGAGAGCTCTAATAATGAGCAGGACAACAGGCTTCTACAGCAGTATTTGGAATCTGTTGAGCAACTAGAAGAGGCAGATGAAGGGACGAACTGCAATGATGGAAGAGAAGAGGGTGGCTGGCCACAAATTGATATTTCAGCTGAGAGCCAAGATTCTTCTTCTGACATTCTCTCTGTAGGTATCCCTCAAGGCACATCTTCCCCGACACGAGGTGAAATGAGTCAGACACCTGACAGCTGCAAACTAAATTCAGGAATCAGTGAAGGGAAGCAAACAGACTGTGATTCTTCATTTCAGATGCTGCATGTTGGAATAGCTGTGTAGTAGGCTCTATTTCACTAAGGACTAGGGATTCCATTTCAGTTTTCTTTGTTTTATTTTTTTTCTGCATTTATATAAAACTTATTTCCATGTGTGCCTGGATTTTATTTATTCATGTTTTGCACTCACGTTAACAGTTTGTTTTAATTAGCATTCTGCTCATGTTGCTGAGGACTGACATATACTGCTAGCTTGAAATCACCAAAGTTTTCAGGGGCTTTCATTATGCGCTTTATTTTCTAACACTTAGCTGATATTCTAGTAACTGGCTTCCTTGAAATTAGTTCTGAAGGGGCGCAGGGTGGTGTTGGCTGTAAATTCACCTCAGTGAAAGTGTTAGTTAGTCTTGTGATTTTATTTTTTTTTTTCTTCTAGAGAGCAGAATTGAATCCTTATTCTTCAAAGAGAAAAATCTGATGAAAAAAGATGAAAGCAGTTGCCTTTCAGAGTTTTTGACTACAGCAAGTGTTAGCTAGTGTTTCAAAAATGTGTTCCATGAATCCTGTTCCAAGCCAGTGACATCTTTTTGTCTTTTACTTGAAGCTGCTGTCTTGGAATTTGGTCAGTTACATGGATTCTGAAACAAAGAAGAGTCAGACCTTAGGGAACTTGAGACAAACTTTAGTCTTTGTTTTCCCTGGTGTTGAATTTTCCTGTTTTTTCTCAGGTAAGAAAAAACTCCAAGTGGAACATACAGCAGCCTTTACTAAATAAGTTTCAGAAGGGCATATGATCTGGGAGCTTAGTTTCCAAGAATACACTGCTGGGTTTCAGCAGCAGACTTAATGATCCGTATTTTGCCTCCAGGAGGTTGCTAATGTCATTTGGGGATTCATGGCTTTCTAGACATGAGTGTGTTTGGATCACAACCCCTATATACAGGTATGAATATTAAAAACAAATGTCATGGCTTAAAACTATTGATATCTCTCTTGGTTGTTTTGGGGGGGGGTCGTTTTTTCCTTTTTCTACTTTTTGGTATTTGACATTCCAATTACATGCAGATAAAAAACTGTATTAATTGCCTATTGGAAAATGTGCTTAGTTTCCTAAACTCTGCTTTTCACTTAAACACCACGCAAGGAATTGCATTTGTGTTTTGTCTAAGCCATTTAATTTTTTTTTTTTTTTATTATTATTATTATTTTTTTTTTTTTAGTGAAAAAAGGTCAGGTAACTTAATAAATGACAAAAGTGGGAAGGGAAAATTGTTTTGCCAAGCAATTTGAGATGGATGTTAGTAAAGGAAAAGTTGACATGACTTCTAGGGGTAAGTTAGGTTTGCTATATTTGCATTTTGCAACATGCAGTGAAAAGCCACTGTTTCAGCAGTGGTTTAAGTGTTTGCTTACACTAATTTCTCAAAGAACAATACTGCCAGTTACAAAGACATAAACATGTATGCTTATTGCACCTCTCTGAACATTTGATCAACTTCTGGTGCTACCGTGTCACAGAAATCAACTAGTGCTGTCCTAAAGTAACTCTTCTGACCATGTTACCATATAAAATAATAGTGTTGTAAAAGCTTCTGTTGCTTGTCTATTTTAGGTTCTGAGCTGAAGTTTATCACAGTTCAGGTGTTTGGCATGAGGCCAGCATCCGCCTGAGGCCTCAAAATAGCCTTTCTTTAGAACATCAGTGGTGTACTGGAGTTGTACCAACCCTCTGCTCAGTGGTGGAGTTCACCTTGGAAGAATAAAGCTTACCTCTGTATATAGAGTAGCCATCATCTTTTTGTTTATCTATTTGGTCTTTCTTTCTGGAATTCGAAGGCACTGAATGCTCAAGAGACCTGCCATTGTAGCCTGCCTGACAACTGACTGTGCCTTGCATACATGAGAGCATTAAAAAAAGAAAGGTGGTATATTCTCATGCTATTTTACTAACTCAGTCTAGTTTACAGCATATTTGTGGTGTAACCAGATTCATCAGCAATCTTAGAACTTACGTGCTTGGGTGTTGAAAGTGGTAGAGGTGCATTGAGGTATCACAGTATCTATCTGGCTGTACAAAGCAATGTGCAGCCTGCCTGGCCATACTCTTGTCCTCTGAAGTTTCTTAATGTGTATTTGAGTTGCTCATGCTTGGAGATCTCTGCAGTTCTCCTGGACCATCAGCCTGTTACCAAGATCTTGTAAGCCTTTAAAGAGACTTCTTAAGAGAAATTATTTGTCTTTGAATCAGTTATTCGATTGTAGCATCTGAATGCAGCAGCTAGGTATAAGAAACCATAAGCCCCTTTTTGCAGCAGAGTGCTTGATTAGCATGTGCCAGATCTGCAAAAAACTAGACCGCTGTCTGGATAAAAAATGCATCACTGAAGACACCAAAATGCTATAAGTATTTCTGTTTTGTACTAGCGTCACTTTCTTGGCAAGGTTTGAGAAGAGACAGCTTTAATTTTGGAAATGTGCCAAAGAATGCAAAGTTGACGAAAGAAATATTTCATGGAAGCCCTAGATTTTCTTAACATTTCTCTTATTAGTAGAGCTTACAAAACACAAATGCAAGAAGACTTATTTTACCTAATGCTTAGGTCAACTGTTGGCTTGGTTTTGTTTTTAAACTTGTAACCTATATATCCAAAATTGGTTTTATGAAGATAGAGCAAAATGTGTGCTGTTCTATAATCATATGTATCATATTTTTTGTGGAGAGCTTTGAAATACCATAGTCTTTTTCTGATGTTCTGAAAAGTATCTTGTATATGCATAAGATTGGAAGGTACAGAAATCAAATACAGATGAAACTTTGGATTCATCCTTACAGGGCTAAAAGGAATTAGTTTTTATATACACAGAACACTTTCAATCTGGCCACTGAAACATATACAGGGAAAGACGTAGTAAGAGATACAGTAGCAAAATAAGGAGTCAAACAAATTCCTACTTCAGAATGGCTTCTTTAAATCCATTCTGAGCTCTCAAAAAATCAGTGTATGGAAATGTTCACATTTAATACATAGTTTAACACTTACTCTTGTTTGCCTACTTAAGCTTTCTTCATCCAAGTCTAATTTTTTTCCATAGATAGGGATGTACAGCTCCCTTCGGAGATGATGGAGATCTCATAAAAGAATCAAAAGGCTGAATATATGAAAATCCACATCTGAAACTTTCCTGTATTAGTACTGTATGTCTTTTGGTAGTTTGCTTTTGCGAGGCTTTTGTATTCAACAGAAGAATGTACTTTCTAGGAGAAAAGGGGGCATTTTGGCATGGACTGACACTCCAGTGCTGATGAAAGATTACTACTGGTTATCTGTCAGGCAGTGTCTGCTCTGCTGTGAGTGTGGTTTAAGCACTTTGTTCATTTGGTTTGTCAAGATTGGCTAAGTTGAGCTTAGACTAACTATTTAGAATGATGAACCGATGCAACTAGTTTTGCCCCCAGTGAAGTCATTGGCTTGTGCAAACCGTTCAGTTTGTCTGACAGAGGTGACTCCTTTTCTTGCTCTTCTCACGAGGGGCACAAGGACAAAGATGGCAGTGCATTTCAGTGTATTTTCAGGCTTAATGTTTGATTGATAGTAACATCAGCTCATTGCTATTCCACTTTTCTACCTATCTAGTTTATTTTACAGATACTGCAATCTTCCATGTAATCAGGAATGCTGTTTTTCTAATGTATATAATGTTTGATGCTGTTCAGATGGTAGTTTGAAAAGTAGAATATTATCAAAGCAAGCATGTTCACACTTTATATTTCAAGTTTGTTTTTTTAAGGTATTTGGATTGTACTGATTCCTCTGTGTGTTAGGTAACTTTACAAAGAAAAACACAAGGCAGTGCATCATTAATGAAAGCAGGTGAGCTTGTCTTTCTGCATTCTTCCATGAATTGTACTTAATTGTCACAACTCTCTTCTCCATCCCTAAAACACTAATGGAATATTTAGCTGCTGAATGAATGCAGCGACTCAAACATTTTATTGTGGTGACTGTTACTGTGTGGTGCTATTTTATAAACATCATAAGCATGTGCTGCAAAGGTGGGATGCCTTTTAAGGTTCTGAACATCGGCCAGACTTTTCTTTTACTTAAAAGAAACAGGGTCATACTTCAGTTGAGTGCTTGTGAACTGGCTGCTTAAGTTGGGATTTACCGTTATCTACATCTTCGGAAGTGTTCTTATACCACAAAGCAAGAAGGCATTAAAACTCCAAACCTGATTTTGTTGCTTCTAGAACACAAATATATTTCACCTAATGCTAGAGATAGTCCTTGCTACACTAAATGATGGAAGTTTAACAGGTAATAGTTAAGTTCTTTAAGCCACCACAGACTGTACTTGCATGCACCAATTAAAATAATGCACTTAGCAGCCAGGCTGTCTGTATATATCTGGTTTTCCTGTATAATGTATGTTACTGAGTTTGCAATTTATTCCTGTTTTGTTTTTGATTTTTTTTAATGTATTTGTAAATATTGTCTGAAGAATTCCAAGCTTAATTTCTACTTGCAGCAGGCATTTGAAGAAAAATGGAAGGTACATTCCTTTAAGGCTACTTGGGGACTTTTTACTGGATTTGAAGTTATAGTGTGTCTTTCTACCTGAGAAGGTAGAATTGTAGCAGTTAGTAGAGACTCGCTGAATGATAATAAAATGTAAAACTGTTCTGCTTTTAGCCAGTGTAAAAGAATCTTATTTCCTTGTTTTTTTTTGTGTTTTTTTTTTTTTTGTTAACCTTGAAGACTGTGCCACCCAAATAAGTACATGTAAAGTGTTTGTGAGTTCTCAAAATCTCCTTTTGCAGTTACAGGATTTTTCTTCCCCCTGCTTGGCTTTCTAGGACAAAATACTGGAGGGAAAAAGAAAAATCCTGCTTTCTGTAAACCTGCCAAAAAATCAGGACTTTTTCCAGCCTGTTTTTAAATGCTTTCTTTGCTTCAGTAATGGAAGAAGTACAGGATCCTCAATTTGCAAAATCATAAAACAGCATTTACAAGGAAAGGTGCTTTATTTCTTGGAAAGTGCCAAACTAAATTTTATTGTATAGATTAAGAGCTCTGGATTTAAAAAAAAAAAACACAAACAAACAAAAAAAAAAACCACTTATTTTATGACTTCATTGCATTTATAAATATATTGGCCAAATTCACTTGTAGCATAACTCCACTGAACTAAATTTTGTGAAGTCTTTCACATAGTACTCTACCTCTAAACTGGAATCTGGAAGAATAACAATTGGACATTGATTTGTCTTTCTACTTCTATTTTCTGTCAAGAATGGTGGGTCATTAAATTGGTACAGTTCATGTGTTTTCTATAAGTGTTTACATTTTCTGAATTTGTTTCTTATATATTTTGTTTGTATTTTGAATTTTAAATAAATGATTTGTATGTTTATTGAAAATGATAATTGGTACTTTATCATGGCTCTTACAGCTACTAGTCGTTGTCTTATAGATGGAGGGCTCTTTTAGAGACAGACTGCTCAGAGTTGCAAGATAACGATGACAAAGTAAGCATGAGCATTCATGACTAGGTGCATGGAAACATCTAATAGCCCACTGTGCTAAAGACAGTATGCAGTAGGTACTGAATTTATACTCAACTTGCTAGCAGATGTCGCTGAAATTGGGATTCCTTACTTGCAGTCCTTTGGTTCAATCACCAGCCTTCTTTCCATGTTGTTAACTGTATATTGTATTTAAAGTAAAATAATGTGGCAGTCTTCTGTACAGAGTTCTCTCGATGGAGAATCATAGGATTGTCTGGCTTAGAAAAGACTTTCAGGATCAAGTCCAACCACCAGCCTGACCTAGTGAGTCTCATCACTAAACTGTGTCTCTAGTGCTGCATCTACACATCTCTTAAGAACCTCCAGATGGGGGGACTCTGCTCCTAAGACTTACCAAAAGGAAGACAATTGCAAATGTGCTTAGCTGCATTCGAGCATCAATCTTTCCAATGTCTGTGCCTATCAATTTTTGTTACATCAGGTGAAGTTCTCAAATTCCATGCTGCCTTATTTTCTGATGTCAGAAATGCATGGAAAAGGAGCTCAGGACATCACTGCTGAAGTGTAAAGAGGCTGTGGGACCTGAAGAGAAAGAGGAGATACTGAGAACTTCTGTGGCCTGAAGTCTTTTCTTTGATCATTAGCTCCTTCAGCTTGAAGTTGAAGCAGAAATATGGGCTGTAGCAGCACACGTTTTCCAGATCCACTCCGCAGGTATCTTGTGCTGATCTCTCTGGCGTGGAGTTCATTCACTTGTCCTCTCCTCATTGCAGCTTGCTTAGTTCCAGTTTTGGGTTGTGTTCTTTGTGGATTCTGCTCGAGGCTGTCCAATGCATTGCTCAGGAAGTCCCATCATATTTGAGCACAAATGTGTGTTTTGTTTGCCCTTGGGATTAAGCAAACAACTCCCTGACACTTCTTGGAATTAAGGATCAGTTGAATAAACCTTGACGTGCTGAATATTATTGGTGAGAGAAAAGTGATAAGGACAAGGGCTCAGCATAACTTCATCATACTATATATAGTTAGGAAAAAAGAAGCTGGGAAAGGTTAGTTATTTTGCATTAGTTATCTTCCAGTACTCATCTGAAAATATTTGTTACACCCCTCTGCTGTGACAAACCAGGAGGAGTGTAAGGTATAGCAAAGTGCAGTAACAGCTGCTGGAGATGTAGGTTTTGGAGGCTAATGAAGACTAGATGGTGCTGGTGGAACAGTCCTTACAGAGCCATTGATGTTCAAATAACTGAAATGCAAATTGCCTCTTGAAGATCCCCTCCACAGAGTACTTGGCAGATGTTCAGTTATCAATATGCGGCCTTGTTGGGCACAAGGACTTAACAAGACAGAGATTAGAAAAACACATCTGATTCAGTTAGGCCATCATCAAGACTAGCTTCAGTGACAAGTAATTTATGGGGAAGGTGGGTGGTGAACTGCAAAATATCACAAAGAGCACAGTGGTATTTATTTCCTCTGACAAGAGCTCAGGTTTTGGTGGTGATGTCATCTTCCATCCCCTCACGCCCACCACCAGCTTAGTTACAGACAGGGGCTTATGCCCAACATTTAACGCTAATTAGATGGTTTTGCCTGGGGCTTCACTTTGAACTGTAAGAGGCTTTGAAGCACTGCAAGGCTCGGGAAAGAGGTGAGTAATGAGCCTGTTATAAAAGTCTGGTGGCAGTACACAGAGAGGAGGAAAAAATCAATACAAGGTACCTGTATTTGTAGTTTGTTTATGTAGCCAGATAACTTTTCAAGTCTTGGCTGGTAGTTTATACATAGGTTGCTCTGAAAGTAATGCCTCCTATTTGTTTCTATGGAAACTACTACAGGCACAAAGAGCACAATAATGCTATGGTAGAGAGCAAGCTCTCAGTTACACAACAGTATTTTTCAACAGTCTCCAACATTAGCTGATTCACATGGATGACCATGGATGAAGGTGCTCTTCATTTCGTGCTGTGACAACTGTGCGTGGCCATCCAGAATGTGGCTTGTCTTTAATACCACTGTTGCCATTGCTGGTAGAACATACATACAGCCCCCATCATCTCACTGTTCTTGCATCCGCAGTTTGATCTCCAGAAATGTTCAACAAGCATTGATGAATGTCAATGGATGCTATTCTTTCCACGTGTAGGAATTCAGTGACACAGCTTTGCTTTGTCTGCACTTCCATATCAGACTGCCCCTCTGCTGCCCTCGTTGCATGACAACAATGTGTAATGGAATAGGGGTGGGAAGATTCTGCCTCTACTGCCACCCCACCAACATCTGCCTCTGGCATTGTGGGCCAACAAAACAACATAAGAGCTATTACTTTTGAAGCAGTCTTTGTATTACTAACAAAAGACGGTGTCTGTTGAGACTTTGATTTTCTTCTCTATCAGGTAGCCAACACTAATGTGTGGAAAAAGAGAAGTAGAAGCAATGTCACTTAATTCACTATAAATAGCTTGGCTGATGGATTATCACATGAGCAAGCAATTAACATTTAAAATAGCTAAAATACTATTTTCATAGTAATTTTTCAGCTGCTCTGTGTGTTTTCAGCTTCTCTGCCAAGAAGCGAGCATGCTACCTTTTCTTTAGGAGACACATAATTGAGTCTTTAACCCAGCCATGTCCCACCCCTGCCCTGCAGTTGCTCCTGCCCCATGCTATCATGGCAGTGGCTCTGCCCCACTGAACGGCCCATTCCAGCCCTGGACACACACCCATCACCCCCAGTAACCACACAGCACTGTGTGAGCAGCACTGTCTGAGCTGAAACTGGGACATGGGGCACAGTGCAGTGCTGACTCAAATGGTGGCAAACAATGTTGGTTTTGGTACGTTGGCTGAACGCATCCCTGTGAACAGTGAAAAACACAAAGATATGCTTTCTGTTGTTGACACATAGATTTGAGAATATGTTTCAAGAGTGTGGAAAAGATTTTTTTTGGTGTATTTGCAACTCCATTTTCAGTCAACATAAATGACCTGTGAATTTTCAAATGGGATGTACAGAGTTGCAATGAGACATTCAACTCAGAAATCTGATCATGTCTCTTTACCAGACCTGTATAACCTCTTAATAGAGAGAATGCCACTCACTTCACAATCAGACCTCATTCACATCATCGCTTTTGGCAGTATGTACATTTATGAAAAACTGTTTTCAAGGATGACGCACAAGAAGAGAAATATTTCATCAAAAATCCATCAAGCACTTTGAGAGCTCTTTAAGAACTGCAGCCACTGCCACTGAAACAGACTGATGTGTTAATTTCTCACAGGTTGCAAGGTCAAATATCCCACTAGTTTCATTTTGTTGCTCTCTTTTTATAAATGTTTTGTGACTTATATACGTTAACTATACTACATATTTTATATATGTCCCCAGACAATTCCTCTTCTCTCAGTGCAGCCCAGACAAGCCAAAAGGTTGGACACCCATGCTTTAACTGTACACACAGAAGCAGTAGGTAGCATGTGAACGTTTTGGACAGAGTTATTCCTCCATTTGCACTGCGATTACTTACAGTGGCAAACCCAACTGCAGATGTCTTGTTGCCAGACTGAGCATGCTGTACAGCTCTGATGCAGACCATTAGGCTCAGCGCTGTCTGTGTGTGTCCCCAGGCTCTTGAAATTCCTGCCTTCAGCATGGCTTATCGCCCAATTGCCCAATTGCTGTGCTGTTACCCATGTTCCTAGCGCAGACTCCTGCAGCTGGCCTACTACCTCCCCAGCTTTATCACAGAATCATAATTTAGGGGTTGGAAGGGATCTCTAGAGATCACCTAGCACAACTCACCCGCTAAAGTAGGTTCCCTAAAGCAGGTCACACAGGTAGGCATCCAGGCAGGTCTTGAAGTTTCCAAAGAAGGAGACTTCACAATCTGTTCCAGCCTTTCCTTGTATAAGAGGTGCTTATAAGAGATGCTCCTGGCCCCTCATCGTCTTTGTTGCTCTCTCTGGACTCTCTCTAGGATATCTTTGCCATTTTTGAACTAAAGAGCCTAGAAATGGACACAGTACTCCAGATGTGGCCTTGCTCAAAGGGGGAGAACCACCTCCCTCAACCTGCTGGCCACGCTCTTTTTAATGCACCCCAGGTTACCATTGGCCTTCTTGGCCACAAGGGCACACTGCTGGCTCATGGCCATCCTGCTGTCCATCACCACACACAGGTCCTTCTCTGCAGAGTTTCTCTCCAGCATGTCAGCCCCTAATTTGTACAGATGCATGCAGTTATTCCTCCGCAGGTGCAAGACTCTGCACTTGCTCTTGTTGAACCTCATCAGGTTCCTCTCTGCCCAACTCTCCAGCCTGTCCAGGTCTCATTGAATGGCAGCACGGCCTTCTTGGTGCGTCAGCCACTCCTCCCAGGTACCATCAGCACACATGCAGAGGGTGGGCTCTATCTCTTCACGTAGGTCGCTGATGAAGACGCTGGTCGACGCAGCACCGACCCTCTTGGCGCGATGGCTGTGGGCGGCCCTGGCCGAGAGGCACGCGATGTCGGCGGGCGGGGCCGGGGTGGAGGAGGAGGTGCCGGGAGGTGGTGCCATGGCAGCGGCGGACCGGGCCGGCAGATACGCGACGTGCCGCCTCCGGGCCGGGAGAGAGGGAGCTGTCGTCTCCTGGCCCGGGGGAGCGGCCGGCATCACGGTGAGGGGCGGGTGGGGGGGAGTCGGGACTGCGGCGGTGGGGTTGTGTGGGGAAGGGAAACTCCGGCAGGGGAAGTGGGTGCGGGGCCGGCTCGGCTCGGGGCGCTGTAGCGGAGGAGGATCCCGCAGCGCCCGCTGCCTCCCGTGCCTCACTCGCTTTTTGTCTCGGCGGCTGAAGGAAGGAAGGAAGGAAGGCAGGCAGGCGCTCCCTGGAGCCGCGGGGCTGCCCGGCTTTGCCCGCGGCCTCCTGGGCCGTTCCTAGCCGAGGGGTGGATGTGCTGCGGGCCGGAAGAATGAGGTTTTTCTTTTTTTTTTTTTTTTTAAACGCGTTTTAATTGCAGAATTGCACCTCCTGTTTGCTCTCTTCTCCCACCTCCCTGCGTGTGGAGGAGCGTTGGACCCGTGCTGTGGCAGCGCGTGTTTATCAGGCTGGAGGAGCTGCAGCAAGCTGCAGCAAAGCGAGCTCCCGCCAATGGCTTGTGATGACCTCTGAATGTCAGGGCTGTCTGGGGAGCGAGCCTCGGCTAGGAGAAGCGGCTGCGCCTCTCTTCTGCTGTGACTGCAACAGCTGGGTGCCTAGCATGCAAGAGCCATCACCAGGATTAGATCCGTATCTTAGGGATGTGCACCGCAGTTCTTTGAGGTGGCTGCGCCGGTATGTGCTTCGGCGGCACTATTCGCTCACAGGTGTTTGGGGATAGAAGTGACAGTGATATAAACTAAAAGGCAGATCTGTAAATGGGCATCGGAGAACAGGAAATGCTGATCATAAAGATGTCATTAATTTCATGTGTTTCTTTTGTAACTATGGGCGAAGCGATGGATGTAATAACTCGAAATGATGCAAAGCTGGTAGGAGTAATACTTCATGAGCAGCAATAGCAAATTAAGTATAGGACTGAAGTTGAAAAACGTAATAAATAAATAAATAGAACCCATGATTTGCTATAGAAAAAAATAATCGCATCTTATAAAAAAAATCTTAACTGCCTGTCATGTTTTGTTTACTTTTGGATGCAAACCACCAGCATAAGAGACTTTGCTGGAAGAAAATACTGTGTATGCACACACACCTTGTATTTTATATAATATATATAATATACATAAAAGGGACCTGAATTATTTCCCAAATAAGAAAAGGCTGAGAAAAACTAAGACTGTTCAGTCTGGCAAATAGAAGGCAAAGAGGCGATTTCCTCACTCTTTATAAATATCTAAAGTGTGGGAGTTAAATGGTTGGGTCCAGGCTCTCTCCAGTGCTGTGCAGTGACAGGACAAGGAGCATTGGGCATAAACTGGAACACAGGTGCAGAGGAAATACTAAGTCACAGCTTGAAGCAGTGATTGAGCACCTGGTAGGAAGGCAGAGCCAACTCAAGGGAGCTCAGGTGCATGCAATCCACCTGAGGGACTGGAAGGAGTGGAGCCAGGATCCACCCCTTCCCACATCTCATTAAAGGGTTGGCACTGGTGGTAAGGGTGTCTTCTTGGAGATCTTTGTGTATCTGAGGCCTTCTGAAGGTAAGCAGTTTCTTTCCTTTATGTCCATGGCTGCTGCATTTGAGCAAGCCCTCACTTGCTCCAGCATAGGACTTTGCTACTCCGCTGTCATTACTGCGCTTTCCATTGCATTACAGTGTTACAACAGGATCTTGTATATAAATATGAGGCAGATCTTCATTGGCAGGGTGATGGATCACTAGCACAGGCTGCCTGGAGAGGTGGTGGAGTCTCCTTCTCTGGAGGCATTCAAGACCCACCTGGACTGTCTACCTGAGTGACCTACTGCAGGAAATCTGCTTTAGCAGAGGGTTAGACTCTATGAGGTCTCACTTCCATCCCCTATGGTTCTATATTATATGTGCACATATATGCATATAATATTGCTTCATCTTTCTTTCCCCTTTATTTTTTTCCAAGGGTATTTTCTGCCTTTTAGATGGATGGCTGCAGAGAACACTTCAAGGATACAGGAAGAACTGAAGGCTTTATATCTTGCTTAGATAGCTTGTGTTATATAACAGATGAGCTAGATCTGTTCTTCACAGATGATGAATCTGAAAGTAACTTGAGGCCTTTGCTAAAGAAAGCTTTAAAAGCATGCTATTGCTTGTTTTGGAGCGTGTGACTTTTACAGAGATATAGTATTTTAAGAAAAATTTCTTTTCTAGCAAGAGAGCTATGAAACATGTATGAGAAGAATGTCTTCAGTTATAGGTTTGGTAAGCTGATGGAGAGAGCTGTTAAACTACCAGAGGAGAGGGGCCTCAATCCACTGAAGTGTTACTGGTTACAGTACCAGGAAAGGGATCAGAGGGCTGGTCCTGGAGGGTACCTGGTCTCCTGGAGGGCACCTGGAGAGCAGCACAGGGCAATTCCAGCTATTTCATGCAATAAATTGGTTTAATTAGGGGCCCAGCTTGAATGCCTCTACACAAATGATTACAGTGTGAGAAAGCAGTCAGGGAAAAGGCCAGTATGGCTGATATTAAAGTAGGGTTCTGTTACCCAATGAAGACGAAGAGATATGTAAACTATTCTGTGTGCAGCTCATGCTCCTAGCCCTTCTTCTCATGGAGGACTACTGCTTCCCAGATGTCTTCTGGAAATACAGTATGACAAAGAGGGAGCAGTCTAAGAGATTCATGGTGGATAGCTTAAAAACCTATCTGGTATTTTATCTGAACTTAATACTTTATATTAACACAGAGGCATTCCAATAAGTCTGCTTTTTTTTTTTTTTTTTTGCATTTGGTCAGTTTGATACTTTTATTTTAATGGATGTTTTGCTCTTTTGATGCTTGTTTGTCAGTCAGAGAAATGTTCTCCGTAATTCTCTGCAAAGCAACTGCAGTTATAATCCATATAATCCTTATAAAGCAATTCCATATACAGTCTATTTTGAGGCTGTCCTGGTTATCCAGTAGTATATTTCAGGATTCTGATCTATGCTCATCTAGTGAAAGATTTAATTAGGTAATTGTGATATTCAAAACATCATTACATTTAAGTTCATGCAATGTTCTTCATACAGTCTGAAAAAATACTGTTGCTCTTCAGCTAAACTATTTATAGAAGGTTGTGCAACGTTTCTCTAATCATTTGATGTTGTTGCACTTGGTAGATGTGTGTATGAGTAACACTGTGTGGAGAATATTGGATTGGAGGGGACTGCGTTCTTTTGACTGCCTCTGCTTGCCATCTGTTGTGTTTCCAAGTTCAGATCCTCTCCTTCTGTAAGAATGAAACCCATTCAGCTTGCAAATCACTGCCTTGAAGTTATCCCGTTCAGAAAGAAGAAAGACAAAAGTTTCAAACTTGAAAAGCATTAAGCTGCGAGAACAGTTTATCAACAGTTAAATCTGTGGTTCTGTATCACAGTTGTTCATCAGCTATCAAGCAGTATTGAGGAAACATTGAGAGTTAAGCTTTATAAAAGCATGGCAATTACGTATCGAATTTCATAAAAGCAATCCTGCGTTCTTCAAGCAGTTTTTTTAACCATTAGCTCTTTGTAAAAATATACACTGTATAAAAGGAATGATAAAGATCAGAGAGGATGTAGTCCTCTCTGTAGATCTAGAGGATCCTTGATAACTTATTAAAGTCTCCAATCAGGTAAACGTGGGGATGCCTAAAACCACAAGTTTCTGCTAAAAGTCTTGGGCTTACAATGGCTGGATGGTGACAGTGTGGCCTAATAGATAAACAAGATGGTGTTTTTCTTAGTTGCCAGAAGGAAATCTCACGTTCTTCATTTTATTTTTCTATCAAATACAGGTGAAATTGCCTTTATGATATTTTTGCCTTGAAATACCCATTAGAATTATAGATAGTGCAGTTCAGATTGCCACAAAAATCTGTCTGTAGACTTACCAGGTCTGTTAAACCAGTTGTGGTAGTGAAGAGTTCTACCATTTAAATACTTTATGTGTTTAATTCCAAGTCATTTTAGGGGGCTTTATATAACTCTTGTAAATGTATTTGCAGGAATGAAGTGGAAGTCAGCTGAACTAATGTGTGCGCTACTGAGACGAAATGACATTCGTGTTTGTGATGAATGGAAATCATGGCAGCATCTAACATGGGAGGAAAAGACATGAATGGACAATGTGGCGTGACTCATTCAGACTGCAAATCTTCTGCCTTCTTATGGCAGTACTGGCTGTTGTGGTGCTGGTCCATAACTTTTTTCAGTTAGAGGTAAGTGGAGATGGTTTGGATGGTTGGAATAACAGAAAAATTCAGAGCAGAAAGTGTGCATGGACATCTTCAACACTCAAAGGGATAACTTCAAAGTTATTTCGGGTTGCTCACTATGTTCTTGACTTGAATTTTGATGCCCTTCAGCAAGGAGGTGTTCTGCAGCCTGTCTGGGCAGCCTTTCATTGCTGTGCATAGAGAAGAACATTACCATTATGTGCATGTGGAAGTTGCCTCTTGTCAGAAACAGACAGTAAAAGGACTGCAATTTCTATCTTCAATTTGGGTAGTAAAAAAAGCCCTGAACTGATCCCTTCTTGGTCTTCTCCAGACTTCTGAAAGTCTGCTTCTATTAGTGTCTTCTAGTATGTCATGTATTCCAAACCCTTAGTCATCTTAGGGATTCTCAGCTGGTCTCTTCACTTCAACTGTGGTAGTAGGTGGACAAAAAGCAGATATAGTGCTTTAGATATGACTTTACCATGGCTGAGTTGAGGGAAATTAGCACTTCCCTCAGTTCACTGGATATGTTCTTGTTAACACATTGCAACAAGAAAATGAGTTTTCACCTGATTGGTTTGCTCTCTACCAGAATGCCTAATTCTGTTTCTGCAGGTGGACTTTATGCTGTTGATCACAACAACAAATCAGTTAGTCAGTTTTCAGTACAGGCTACGTAAATGCAGATGAAGCTGGACTTCATCAGTTTGTCTATGAGGGTATTATGGGAGTCTCACTGAAGTCAAGCTAAATAACATCACTGAGGATCCACTGCAGGGAGCCTTGAGGGCTGACCCTTCCCTGTGGCTGCCTGCTTGCCCAGACTTTCCATTGCAGCATTTGGCAGGTGAGCATAATGCTTAGCCTAATAGTAAATCCTGATTATTTTTGATGCATATTAGCTGATAAGTGTGTTATATGTTTAAGTTGCGTGAAACCCACTTGCAAAGTCTTTATCTTCTGGCTAGTGATGCCCAAGCAAAGTGATCCCTTCTTACACTTAAATAGACACTGTTGGGTTGGAGGTTCAGATAAGGGCAAGGAAAATGTCTGAGATATAAAATAGCATGTAGCATGGGAAAAATAACACTTTCATTGCCTCGTTCCGCTACTAATGGAGACATGAACTTGAAAACTGCAGGTGCCAGATTCAGGGCAAACAATGCAAAAGAGCAAAAGTTTTGCATTTGGGCCGGAAGAACCCCAGGCACCCGTACAGGCTGGGAGGAGTGGTCCTTGAGAGCAGCTCGGCAGAGAAGGACCTGGGGGTCCTGATGGACGAGAGGCTGAACATGAGCCAGCAGTGCGCTCTGGCAGCTCGAAAGGCAAATGGGATCCTGGGCTCCATCAGGAGAGGGGTGGTCAGCAGGGACAGGGAGGTGATCGTCCCTCTCTACTCGGCTCTTGTGAGGCCCCATCTGGAGTACTGTGTCCAGGTGTGGAGCCCTCAGTACAAGAAAGACATTGAGATTTTGGAAAGGGTCCAGAGGAGGGCGACTAAGATGATCAGGGGGCTGGAGCACCTCCCCTATGAGGACAGGCTGAGGGAGTTGGGCTTGTTCAGCCTGGAGAAGAGAAGGCTGCGGGGTGACCTCATTGCAGCCTATCAATACCTGAAGGGAACCTACACCCACGAGGGGAGTAAACTCTTCAAAAGGGCTGACAACAGCAGGACTAGGGGAAATGGATCCAAGTTGAAGGAGGGAAGATTTAGGTTGGATGTTAGGGGAAGTTCTATACAAGGAGAGTGGTTAGGCCCTGGAACGGGCTGCCCAGGGAGGTTGTGGATGCCCCGTCCTTGGATGTGTTTAAGGCCAGGTTGGACAGGGTCTGAATGTGTGTGTTTGGTGGCCCTGCTAGGCAGGGGGTTGGAACTACGTGATCCTTGAGGTCCCTTCCAACCCGGGTGATTCTGTGATTCTGTGAAAAGTCCTTGCAGTAAGATTGAGTAACTGCTTGGAAACATTCAAAAGTCAGGATGAATCATAGGGCCACCAAGGTTGGAAAAAAACCTCTAAGATCATGTTGTCCAACCATCCACCTCTCACCAGCAGACAAAAAGAACAAATGAACTATGACAGTGCTGCTTTTTCTTTTTTTCTTGTGGTGGCGTTGCTGCTAAATTGCAGATCTTTGCAGAAGAAAACTGTCATCTCATTCAGTTTATTGCTGGAACAGTTGTGTGTCAGGTGGTGGCTTTTTAGAACTGGCTTTGACATTTTGGATTTATTTAGCACCTACTCAGTGCTGTGAGACAGTAAAAACAGCTGATCTCACGGCTGTTGTAGATGAATATGAGGGCTAAAGTATTTGGAGTGTAAAATGACTGAAAATAAGATGACTGGCCTCTCAGTAGCTGGTATTTGGTCTCAAATATTATCTGCTGTATGAATTAAGACTCTGGGTGAACTTGAACTACTTTTTTTTACTTCCATGCCTGTCATTTGGAAATCTCCTGGGATGTTTTCTGCTCTAATGTAGGAACGTAAACAGTTTGGCATAGTACATGTGGAGCAATTGCCATAAATCTAACAGTTACACTAGATGATACTGGACTTCAAAATATAGATGAAGATCCACCTTTTCAGCAGGAGCTGAAATACTCAGCCTCTTTTGTTTATCAACCACTTGTGTTGTTGCATTTAACTGAGAACAAGTGTTTGCTGTGGGTCTATTGAAGTCTCAAATGTCACAGGTTTAATTTGAAAGTCATCTTTAAAGATCATCTATTCTTGCTCCTTTGCCATGGGCGGGGACATATCTTTGAGAGTGTGACTGCCTCTCTGGGGTTGTAATGTTATGCATTACACCTTATTTTCACTTAGTTGGTAGCAAGGATGCTTGAAACTGAAAATATAGCATCCATTTTTACTTGCTTATGCATCAAGAACAGCTCACAGACTTGTTTGAGCTCAATTGATGTGTAATCCATTCTGTCTTGCCTGCTTTACTAGATAGATATCCATTAAATTACTTTGTGATCACATCGGGGTTCTGATTATCTTTAGAAAGCAGCGAATAAATGCTAGGAATTGCCTTCAAAATCAAGGCGTTTTTGTGTGGAGTATATGTGAAAATAAAGCAGGACAAGCGTTATTCTATATGGACATTACATTGGAAACTAAAATAATGTAAGATCTGGGGAGAGGATTCCTCAGAAGTGTTTCAAGATGGGTTTGTTTGTTTGTTTTTTGCCTGCTCTGAGAAACTTGATTTTGTTTTCACTGCTGATAGTTGTAGACTATAGAAAAAGGGTGGATAAGGAATGGTTGGGACAAACTAATCTATCAATCCAAAGGACAAGGCTTGTCTATTTGTAGGGATGGGGGAGTTTGAACGCTTGTTTGGAAATGAGTCAGGGAACCTCTTCAGAAAGGAAGATGGTTTGGAAATTTCATTCAAGGGTCTTCCACATACAAATTGACTCTGAAGCTTTTCCTGCCTTAACTGGAAAAGCTAATCTCTGTGATGGTTTTTCCTGTGAATGCCACATGTGTTGTAGCACACTTTCAGCCCTTAACTTATAATTTTGCAATAGTATGTGGTCTTATTTGGGCTTGGAAGAAGTCTGTGAAGATGAGTGAGGTTGTTACAGGAACAATGGTCTTTCCGTGATGTGGAGACAGTTTTGCATTTACCTTTGTAGAGAGGGTGTGATTTGTTTTGTTTTTTTTTCCCCTTCTCCTTGAGGGTTGATTGAGAAAGTATTTGTGGTGTGGTCAATTCTGCTTTGTCATAATCTGGAGATGCTTCGGTTGATGTGATAGCTCTTGTTTGGGAACTTAGCTGCATGCAGCTGAAGTGCTTTGGCTTGGCACTGTGCTAAAAAGGATGCTTAAGTGTACTGTTTTAGAAATATTGAGTTATATTCTGTATTTTGTTTTGTGACCTTGAATTGGTTTAGTGTTCTCTGTGCCCTTTTCCACTGAATTCAGTAGATATTTCCTTGGAGGTACTTTAGAGAGGCTAGCTACCTCATGGCCATCTTCTGTACAAATAAATCTGACAGAAGGAATAGGATAAAACTCTGACGAAATCTACAGAAGATTAAAGCAATGATAAGGCCTGTTCTTAAGGCTTTCTTAGGTAGCTGTGTTTCATTAGAAAGGATTTGAAGGTAGCTCTTCATTTGAAAGGATGCCTATGCTTTTTTTTTTCTGCATCCCACTCCCCTGGCCCACATCCTCTTGATGGATCAAGCTAAAAGAAGAAATTTTCCCATGAGAATCTCCACTGAATTTGAGAGTTTTACAAACACCCCCATTTTCCCCCACATTCCTCCTTAGGAAGTTTCTTAAATGCTTTTGCAAACTCAGGCATATTTACCAACGTGTTGGATGTGTTCAAATGTATAACTAACTTAAAAAAATAATAATAATCATACCATGCAATGTTTTCTGTGCCACTTATACGTATGAGCAGAAGAAGGGAAGTAGTGAAGGCATTCAGAAGTAGAAACTTGGCATAATTTAGAAATATGTGGGCAAGATTTAAGAATGAACTGTGCTTGAGAGTCGTTCTCAGCTTTGCCTGGAATGTACTGGATTAGAAAAAATAATGTGTGGAGACCTGTTCACGTTTTTATCTGATCCAATGGAAAAGAGAAATAATCCTGAATTACCCTTAATGGGCTTTGGGGAAATTCTTGAAAATCCTGAATGGAAAAGTAAAACAGAAGGTTCTATTATAAATCATCTTAAAAAAACAAAAAAAAACAAACAAACAAACAAAAAAAAAACCCAAAAAAACAAAAAAAAAACCAAAAAAAAACGAAGTATCCATGGGTACTTTGCATTTTAGTTAAAATGTTACAACTCATGATTGCATATTTTATAGTTAACATGGATATCAAATAGGAAATTAATGTTCTACATTATACTGCGTTGTTCTACGTGATAATGCGTTCATTATTCTCTCATTCTAAGCTGATCAAAACCAACTTCTTATAATGGCCTTCAAGCCTATAAGTTTGTATTTCTTGTTAGGTTTACTTTTTTTGGAAAAGGAAGAAATATAAACAACGTTTTCTTTCTTTTTATTTAATTTGAATACATCAATATACTGCATAAAGCAGGGGAGCTACGTAGTATATGTATATATGCTAGGTAATGCTTGTGTCAAGGTCTTTTCACCCTGTAAGCACTGCTAGGTAACAACTAAATATTGGTGTGTTATCAGCACTCTTTTCATGACAAATCCAAAGTATAGCACTACTTTGGCTGGGATAAAGGTAATTTTCTACACGGCAGCTAAAAAAGCAGCATAATGCTTTAGCCAGACTCTAATTACGGTAAGAATATTAAATGAGTTACTTTTCTATTTAATTGTATGGCTTTCTGTATTTGTTTCATATTGTTGATACAGAATATGCTAATAGCCAAAATACTACCACAGAAAATACTAAGCATACCTCACGTAAAAGACACTTTGCTAGGGCAGGATAAAGTAGCCATTGGGTAAGCACGGGTTGTACAACTGCTTCTTCAGACATCTCATAGTCCAGGGAATCAATGTGTATGTTCTATTAAAGTTGCTTCATTTGGTCAGCCTCAAAGCTGTGCGAAGCAAACTCCTGGTTCTTAGACAGTATCTGTTCTTCGTTGTGTTTCATTTAATAGCACAGTTTCTTGTACTCTTTTTTTTCCCCCTCTAGCACCTGGATGACTACACAGTTTCAGGATCAAATTGGATAACGGAGAACAATGACCAGCCTTCTCTATCGCAGACAACTAAAACTACCAGGAAGCCTTACTGTGGTTATGAGCAGCAGACTTTGTCCAAAAGAGAACAAGCTGAACAGGAATCATTGCTTGCTGCACTACAATGGCCGAAACCCCCTGATGGCAAAATTGGTTTTTTACAAAGCACTGATCCAGTACACAGTGACTTTGTGATTGTGAAGCCCAGAAGTTTCTTCAAGGTGGGTGACCAGTTAGAGGTGGTTGTTCGTGTGAGGGATTTCCAAGGAAAACCCAAGCAATATGGTGGAGACTATCTACAGGCACGAATCCACTCTCCAGTGCTGAAAGCTGGAGCAATAGGAAGGATTGTAGACTGCCATAACGGCCTTTACAAAGTCTTTTTTACGTTACTTTGGCCAGGAGAGGTCAAAGTATCTGTGACTCTCGTTCATCCAAGTGAAGCAGTCCAAGTCCTCCTGCGTTTACGAGAAGAAAGGCCTGACAGAGTTTATTTCAAAAGCTCATTCAAGTCTGGGAGATTTTCAGAAACTACTGAGTGCAATGTATGCTTGCCTGGAGATCTTCCAGTCTGTAACTTCACAGATCTCTACACTGGTGAGCCCTGGTTCTGTTACAAGCCACGAAAACTGTCCTGTTCCAGCCGAATCAGCCATGCCAAGGGTGGATATCAAAAAGGCCTTCTGACACATGAAGAAAGCCTCTTTTTCCAAAGGTATGTATGTCACTGACTTTATATGTACTCAGTCATTTTTTAAATATATATTTGCTTTTTTTTTTAAGACAAACTTTAGGATGGAGGGGAAGAAAATACTCAACTACTTGATTCAAGCACCTGCTCCTGAAGATGCACACCTTCTCTAAGGGTGGGAATCTCTTGTATTCCACCAATAGTGTTCAATCACAAAACCCTACTAGGTTCATTCAGCTGTCCACAAACAAGCACTTCTGAGAGCTCTTTGTGTGTAGGGGTGTAGGCTTTGCTTCCATATTGAGCAAACTGCTGTCTTGCTGAAGATCTCTGAGACTGGTTGGGTGTTGACTGGCAGCATAGCATAGAGCTAAAATTGCAGGTGGTGATAATGCTGGGCTGCTTGAAATCCCGTGTGTACTGTGAAACAGCATGTGGCATTGTGGAGGCTGAAAGCAACAGCCACCTCCTCTTGAGGTAAGCAGTTACTGAAATGTGGCAGAGCTGGGAGCTAATGCACCAGTGTGCCCTCTCAAGTAGTTTGCCTCCTGGCAGAACTCCATGTGCCCCAAGCTGGGAACTTCCAATCTTTGTGGTTAATCCCTCAAAGCATATAACAGGCTTCCCATAGCTTAATGGTTTTATCCAGGCTTGTACAAGTAAGAATGTGCACAGGATTTTTATCCTCATGCTCTTAAATCTTGAATTCTGACTGAAAACAGTGAGAGTGGTCTTAAGGAAATTAAATAATTCAGCTGTCAACACGTGGATTAAGAAAAGTGATCTGTAAGGCTGTAAAACTTGAAGGTAATGTCACATAACTGTTTTAATCTTTGTTCAAGTGATGTGAACATCAAAATGCCCATACTCTCCAGAGGACCTGACTCGGTGATTGTAAAGCCCAAGGCATTTACAGGTATAGTGAATTTTATAAAATTCCTGGGTTTATTTCATATTTAAATAAAAAGAGTGAGAAGCATGAGATACTAATGAGTTTGTTAGTTTTTGTAATGTGAAATAGAAATAATCTTAAGTCTTTTTTGTGTTGAAGGTGGAAGCTTTTGAATGTTGCTAAGGACTAACATCAAATTTATCTAAAAAGACATGTAAATTGAACTTTTAGGAAAAATAATTGGTGTTTACTTCTGATATTTACTCAGAGATATAAAATGTCTTAGTTAACTGCTTAGCAAATGGGTTAATCTAGCAAAGCTAACTGTGAGGTGTTTTTCAAGTTTTGTGTGTTTATTTTTCTAAGAAATTTATGTAATAGGTATCAGATAACTTGCATTTAATTATTAGTATCACTTGTGTTACCGTGCAGTGTCATAACCTAAAGTTGTGGACTAGAACCTAATTTTTCTGTATCGTGTCTAAGCACAGAAAACACAGTCTGTGCTAAGTTAAAGTGAAATATTTATCTAATTCAAATTCACCTGCATGCTTTTAATGCCTCTAAATGCATTGCATAAAAATATGATACAGAATTACTCTTTAATTGAAAGCTCTCCAGTTTTTTTAATAAGCTGTAGGAGATATTAAAGGTGGAGTTCCTGACCTGAGCAATTAAATCATAAAAGAAAGCAGCCTGCAGTGCTGCTTCTTTTTAGTTCTGCCATTCTCTTTATTTAAAAAATAAAAAATAAAAAGATGCTGTCAGGCCAGCAGCATTTTCCCCCTTCTGTCTCCAGACCCTTTAGATGTGACGTGTTCTGTTGTTTAATTTTTAAAATATTTTCTTGTAGAAACTGTTTGAGATTTGATTATATCACCCTTTTTACAGGGGGTGGATGATCAAAGCGTGTTTTTATTTCCTGAGGTTTAATGATAGGTTGGAAAGGGTTGATAGGAGTGGCACAATTTCCTCGGGGAAATTCCTTCTAACAGGAACAGTCTCTGAACAAGTAAATCTAATACTCTGGAATAGAGATGATGGATGTATGACTAAGGATTAATGCCTACTTACATTCCTTATTTTATTGTCTTTAATTTTGTACATTCTTTTCTTTGGGAGGTAAATGTAGATATAGTTCACTTTTGAAATTTCTTTTTTTTTCCCGAGCTATAATCGATTTCCATTCTTGGTTTGTAACTGTTCAGATCACAGCTTTTACCTTCTTTCATAAAATCTAGAAGTAAAGGTCTTTGAATTCTGGAGCGAAACAGGTATGCTGCTGTACAAAGACTTCAAAAGCTGGTGTTAGTTGTACTGTGAGTTCACAGCTTGTTCTCATGTCTCACTTCACGTATGTACAAGGGCTGCTCTGAGAGCAATCCCTCCCATTTCATTATGTCAGAGGCAGATGTTGGTGGGATGGCAATAAAGGCTGAACTTTCCTGCCGATATTCACTTACATGTTGTTGCCATGTGACAGATGGCAGCAGAGGGGCAGTCTGAGAGAATGGTGTCTGACATGGGAGTGCAGATGAAGCAAAGCTGTGTCACTGAATTCTTCCATGTGGGAAAGATGGCACCCGTTGACATCCATTGGTGCTTGCAGAACATTTCTAGAGACTGAGCAGTGGATGTGGCTGCAGGCAGGCTGTGTGGGTAACAGTGCAGCAGCAGTGGAGCACTTCATCTGGTGTAGATTTTGATAAGCGTGGCATGCATTCTTATTCATCACTAGCAAAAACATATATAGCAAATGATGGTCGCCATGCTGAAAAACAGTGTTTTGTAGCTGTATCTGTTGTAGTTTCCATGGAAATAAATAGGCATTACTTTCAGAGCATCCTATTTATATGCTTAGTCTAATAATCACTTTAAAAGTTTGAATGGTTTGAATAGGAAATGGTTTTGAGGAAGGAAAGATTTAGGTTGGATGTCAGGGGGAAGTTCTTTACTGTGAGAGTGGTGAGGTGCTGGAACAGGCTGCCCAGAGAGGTTGTGGATGCCCTGTCCCTAAAGGTGTTCAGGGCCAGATTGGATGGGGTCCTGGGCAGGCTGGTCTAGTGTTAAATGGGGAGGTTGCTTGTGGCAGCGGGTTGGAAGTTCATAATGCTTGAGGCCCCTTCCAACCCTGACCGTTCTGTGAATCTTTACACTAAAACTTACAAAACAAAAGAATTTAAGTTGTGAACTCACGTGAGTTTGTCTTTAGTTACATGACCACATGGTAGCCTTTTCACTTCCTTTGTAGCAGTTCTCTTTCATATGGTTTAGATTACTCAGCATTGTTAGTTGATTGCTCTTCTTTCATTGGCCCTATTGCCAGTTGCTACATGTTATTTAAGAAATTATCCAAATATAAGACTTTCTAATGGATTTTTCTATGGTTCTCAAGATTATAGGCTTTGTATTCTGTGAATGTTCCTGTAAAGTATAAGGGGGCTAAAATCTATTGATATAAAACACAGAATATTGTATAGGAATAGCAAGACCGAAAATGACTATCAGGGATGGGTGTTTAAAGATCCCTGTGGGGGTTGTTTGAATCTGTGAGTCTTTAGGGAATTAGCTGCTGCTGTGTTATAATGAAACATCTAGCAGAGGGTGTTTCTGGGCACTGGAACTCATTGCCTCTACTTTTGCACAGTTAGAATGGGCCCTGGCATGGCTTTGGCCATGTGTAGATGTGCAGTCCCAAACAACTGTAGACTATGACAGGGCAGGGACCAGTAGTCTCCATGGGTAGGTGGGTACAAGGTGGGTATAAATGTTTTTTAATAGATGGTCATGGCTCTTCTGTGTGGTTACTTGGCTTCAATGCCAGAGAGCAGCTCTGTGCTTCTCAGTTCACTGTTCACTGACAGCTTTTCTATCCAAGCTGTGGCTTTGGGTTTCTTTGGAACTGTGAGTCAGCTCATTTCCAGGCCCTTAAGTGTTAGAATAGATATGTGGAAAAGGAGGAACCTGTACTTAATGACCTCATGAAAGTTCAATGTGCGCACTGGCTGCTATGAGAAATAAGGCAATGTTTGACTGATGTAACCTTGAGGTTGCAGCTTCTCTTCCTGTAATCGCTGGCCCCAGTTTTCAACATAACATCCGACCTCTGCAAGACAAAGAGGAGTCCAAAGAATCAGAGCTTCTCTGGTGTTGTCAAATTACTCCTCAGAGGACAACCTTTGCCAGCATTGAAATAGGAGGAAGTTGGACAGCAGAAAGTATGAAACCCATGGAATTAAAGTTTAACATAATTCATACATTCCAAAGGCACGTAAATATTGGCAGTAGCTTTAATTCTGGCACTTCCTGATTTTGTAGTCCTCATAATTCAGATTTCATACTTACAGCGTCTGTGGCCTACATTAGTGTCAGTGTGTGGACTGTTCCACAGAAGGATTTACACTAAGCAAATACAAGTGGTATCAGGTTATCTCTTGCATGTTGTCACCTTAGGGCTGGTGTCCGCTGCTGCAGCAGGAGGTGCTGCTCCTGTAGAGCACAACAGCTGCCATACCATCCTGTTGGCAGACTGGCCGCTAGAGGGGGGAGCTGTACTTCGGCAGTTTGCAGATGTGTGCTGGCAGAGAAGGCATAGTGAGGCTTGGAAATTCTGTGATGCCGTCCATACTGTCCTCCTTTATCAGCATCAGATATAGTTTAACTTAGAAGTACTTCAAAATAAGTTAAAAAGTAGTTAAGTTTAAAATAAGTTGTTTTTTTTTTTTTAAACTTTAAAGCTACAAGTGGTCACATGTAGTAGGTTTTGATGCAGAACCAGCGAGGAAAGTACTTGGTCTTACAGACTTGAGATGCATTGAGCTTTCTAATGTATATTATATGCATTCTAAAGCAAAGTAGTTGGATGTACACATCCATTTAAGTGATAGAAGGTGTGTTTGTTATATGGTAATTTCAGAGGGTTTTTTTTTTTTTTTCTTCCAGATTCAAGCAATATGGACAAGGCTGAAGATCCCACAGTTTCCCCTTCTGGTTATTACTATGAAGATCTTTGGAGACCAAGAACACACTGGATTTATCATTTTAACAAGTCAGATGATATAAGCAAGTGCTTACAAGGAAAAGTAATCCACTTGTTTGGAGACTCTACAATAAGGCAGTGGTTTGAGTATCTGACTGCAGCTGTTCCAGGTTGTTATTTTTCTTTTTAATTGATTTTTTTTTTTAACCTTGAAGACATTTGCAATTCTTTATTCTACTCATTTCAGATTGCACCTCTCATTGCAGAGTTGATCTTATTGAATAGTAATGTCAAAAGGGAGAGGGAAGGCAAAACGTCATCGTAAGTGCTGATAGAAATGCAGTCATTCAAATTTTGAGATTTGACTTTTGAGATCCTAAAGTTTAAGAAAACTTTAGAAACTTCTAGACTTTAGGAGAGAAAGGGCCACAAGTTGTGCATCTATGAAGCTGTCATTATAAAATGTTTTACTAGTTAAGAACATTGTTGATACTGTGAGTTATTATGTGGCCACGAGGTGGCATACCAAAACTTGAGGATTGCCTGGATGAGGCTTGGCAGGTAATATTTTGGAGTGTAGTGAAGTAGCAAAATGACTTCCAGAAGCAAATGACGTCCAGAAGCAGATGACTACTGTTGATTTGGTTTTGAGTTTTAACTTTTCATTAAATAACACAATTTCAGTAGCCAATTTGGTATTTCTCTTTCACCCCAACTCTAAGGTAGTTCAGTAGTGTTGAAATGGAGATTGAGACTCCGTGTTTGCCAATTAAATTCTTCTTTAAATTTAATGGAGTTCTGAAGTTGCTGTGAAAGTTACAGTGAACTTTGGGCTCATAGAGTGACAATGAAAAAGCCTGTTGTTAAAAAGGAGATCTGTTTAGAAATGCTTTTTTCTTTTACCTGGAGGAAAAAAAACAGTTTGGGGAACTTGGAAAAAAAAAATATTTACTTATACTTATTATCTTTTTAAGGTAAAGTGTGCTGGCTTGCAAATTTCAACAGTCATACAAACTCTGTTTTGAAATATGTAGTCAATATGCCTGTGGAGCTGTTGCAGTGGATCCAGAGGCAGGACAAAAAGATTATTAGAGGGCTGGTGCACTTCTCCTGTGAAGAAAGATAGAGGGAGCAGGGTTTGTACAGCCTGGGGAAGAGAAGACTACAACAGAAGATGTCATTTTGGCCTGCCAGTATCTAAGTGGAGCTTATAAGCAGAAGTGAGACCAAATTTTTACATAGGCAGATATTGATAGGAAAGAGGGGAATGGTTTTAAACAGGAAGAGAGAAGGCTTAGCTTAGATATTAGGAGGAGGTTTTTTATTTGAAGGGTCTGCAATTCTGTGATATTTGTGTATGAATTAACCTGTTTGTGTATTTGTGGTGAGGCATGGATGCAGGCTGCCCAGAGAGATTGCTGGTTCCTCATCCCTTGGAGGTGTTCAAGGCCTGGTTAGATAGGGCCTGGGCAGCCTGATATAGTGGATAGCAACCATGCCTGCAGCAGGGGGGTTGAAGCTTGGTGGTCTTGAGATCCCTTCCAGCCTGGGCCATTCTATGATAATGCTTACCTTTTGCTTCACTTTAGGGTTCTTAGAACTGTGTATGTATTCACTGCTGTTGCCCTGTGATCCTTTTGTCCTGATGAATCATTTTGTGTCTTTTTCTGCCTTGAACTAATGTTTGCTCTCGGGCTTTCAGATCTAGTGGAGTTTAATCTGGGGAGTCCTAAGAATGTGGGCCCTTTTATGTCTGTGGATCTGAAGCACAACATCCTACTGAAGTTCCGCTGTCACGGACCACCCATTCGCTTTACAACAGTCTTTACAAGTGAACTGCGCTACATTGCTAACGAACTGAATGGCATCGTTGGGGGGAGAAACACTGTGATAGCCATAACTATATGGTCCCACTTCAGCACTTTCCCTGTGGAAGTGTATATCAGGAGGCTGAGGAACATTCGGAGGGCAGTTATTCAACTGCTGGACCGCAGCCCCAAGACTTTAATCGTCATCAGAACTGCAAACGTTCAGGAGCTTGGGCCAGAAGTGAGCCTCTTTAACAGTGACTGGTATTCCCTTCAGCTTGATTCTGTCATGAGGAAAATGTTCTCAGGAATTGCTGTGCACTTTGTGGATGCTTGGGAGATGTCTCTGGCTCACTACTTGCCACATAACTTGCACCCAAAAGAAGTAATTGTTAGGAATCAAATAGATACATTTCTATCTTACGTGTGCCCTCTGCAAATTTAGCACAAGTAGGCATCCCTGTGTCACGTTTTGCTGCAGCTGAGGTAAAGTTGGTCTTTGCCAGAGCTACTAAGTTTATGCTGGATGGTATTTATTGTATCTGCATTCAGCATAAGCAGGGTGGCCATAAATCTAGTAGCTGCGAGGGATAGTAGAGAAGAGTTAACTGTTCAAGCCATGCCTTGTGCGGTTGATTCCTTAGAATCTTATTTATGTCTCAGATTATTAGCAAGCACCTTAAATTGACAAGATTCAATAGGGAATTATGTGGGTTATTAGCTTTACTAGTTATCTGCACTGTATGTTTAGTCCACATAACGTGGAATCTGCTCAGAACTGGGTGGAATCTAGTGAAAGAATTATTTGGGAGCAGTCTTTCTCCCGCACTCACTCTCTCTGTCAACTCAGAGTTGGAGGAGGATCCCCTGCAGTCCTACGTTGGTCAGAGAAGCACAATGCCTATTCTTTTTTCAAAGTCCTAATCAGAAATGTGAAGTGTGTCTTAAAGCTGCTATTGTCATTCAAGGAAGCTTAGTCATAATATCTATACTATGAAGTCATCAGGAGTTGGCTAAAATTTAGTAAAGCACACTAGTTAGGCATTCTTGGTGTTTACAGATAGCTGCTAAATAATGCAAATGGCCAGTATTTTAGTTGGGTTTCCTGTACTACTGAATCTCTTCTGAGTTTTGATACTGTTGTCTTCTTGATTTATCTGTAACAAAGCAAAGTGTGTATGTTGACCCCAGTGAAGGCACTGTCTCAGGCATTTTGTGCATGTTAAAACTGCAAGCTTGCCTGCTCGAGGCATTTCCTAATGAAATCATTTTACTTCCCTGTTGGATAAACTTGTTCCTTTATGCTCTTGCAAAGCTGGGCTTCTGTTGTGTACTTTTATACATACATAATACACTGTGTCAGGAGAAGCGAAGTTACTTGAATACACTTAACAATTTGTGAATGGGTAGCATAAGTCTGGCATAAACTAGCATCAAGGCTTTGTGCTGATGTCCTCTTTTCCTTCTGTGTTGAGCAGTTTTATTACTTACACTGGCAACAGTGAAGCTGTTGAATAAAAGGTGACAGAAAAATAATAAAAATCCCACCCCTGTATAAAACATCCAGGAATGCCCTTCACACAGGTGCTCGGTAAATGTTTGCTGTTTTGCCCATGTGAATGCAGGTGGCTCTTGGGCCTTCTGGAGCTGTTTTCAATGCTGCCAATTTGACTGAGCCTGCCTATAGTTTTAAGAAGTAGCACTTTGAACATTTTGATTAAATTCAGGTCTGAAATTGCAGAGTAGGAACGTGTTCAGTGTTGTCTTACTTCTGGTCCCACTCAAGCCAAAGTTGGTCTTTATCAATGGCTGTACTGAGAAGTGTGTCAAGACACATGTAGTAGAGTGCTTCTGAAGAAGTCCATAGTGCTTAAAGAGAATATGAGTCTATTATTTGTGAGCGAACTGAGAAGATAAAAATTGAACAAATGGGCAGGTTGCAGAGTGCAGTAACTGAAATGCCTTTGTGTCAGAAGTGTTTTGCTCTCTGCCAGATCTGTTGCCGTGTATGAGAGCACTGTGCTCTTGTTACTGGGTACTGAAGGGAGCTTATACTGCTAGCTACAGGAACGCTGTTTTAAAAACAAACGTAGGTGCTTTTAGCATGTAGAAGTCAACGGCATCCATCAATAAGCTTAACAAATTGAAAAAGTTTAAAAATCACTGTAGGAGTTGCATACAGCCAAATAGCATTTAACCTTACCTTTTCAGACCAGAATTCAGGGTGTCCGCTTTGTCATTTGCTACTGACAACTGCCTTGCTTGGTGTCTGTGAATATATTAGCTTTAGGTAAGTGTTTCTTACTTGAATATGTTAATAGCAATGCATCTGCTGCCAGTAAGAGACCACACCAATTCAGTCCTGGGAATGTAAACCACCAACCACCACAATGCAAAATGACTTTTCATCTTCTCTAGGTGCATTTTTAAAATGGGCAGAGTATAAAGCTTTCATCCTGAATAAGAAATCTATCCAAATAACATTAAAGAAAATTAATTAATTAATGACAAGACTTCAAACTCTTACTTTGAAGGAAACTACTTAATTTGTAGAGTAACCGTTTGGTTTTCCTCAAAATGGTGTATCGTGTGAAAGCATTGTGACAGCATGTTTCTTATCTGAATGTTCTGTTGTTCGCTAGTGCTCTTCAACAGCAACTTCTCATCACTGTTAGCCATCAAAAACAGAGAGGAAGAAATCTTGAATGTTGTGACAATCAAGAGAACTAGATTTCTATTAGCAAAAATGTCTAATCACCTTCTGATAGAACCTCTGCCTTTCAGATTAATTTTTTAATAACAGATTAATGTGCAAGTCATGAACTTGAGGAAAATTGACCATTAATGTGGGCTGAGGACTGATGATTTATTCCTTTGTACTCTGGAATAGACATGAAGAAGAAAGGGAGATACTGAAGAATTACTGATGTTAAAAGGCAAAGACTGAGGGCAGAATGCTTTTGTCATTCGGTTGAACTGTAAGCTGATTTTCATCTCTATTCTCCTTTTGCTACCAGTTTCACCTGTTGTGTACATACTGTATATAGTAACATAATCAGAAGCAATAAAATATTTTTAAATCACTTTCTGTAAACCTTTAGGGTTCTAAATGGACTTCAATGAGGACTTAAAAGATTGGTTGTTTTTCAAGTTACTTAATATGAAATGGGACTCAAAAGGAATTTTGCAGTTGTCAGTGGAGTATCTTCATTTACATGTAGAAATTTCTTTCATGAGATTTTTCAAAGCCCTGTTTTTCTTTTCATTCCCTTCAGTTGAATGGAAGAAAATATGCTATTTTGGATATTTTTATTCCTAACCCTGAGCCTTTTGATTATTAATCATAAGTTTTCTTTACCTTAATTTATTTATTCCATGTGCAGCTCACTGAAGTATCAGTGAAAAACTCTGTGTATTTTTTATGGTGTTCAACAGAAGATACCAGAGCAATTTGTAAAGCAAGTAATCTTCATTTTACGATTAGACTGATACTCAGTGATTTTCTCCTACTGATAGTTTGACCTTGCTTTTCATGACATTGCTTTTCGAAAGCCATGTTAGGCAGGTTTCTTAATTCTAGATGCTTAGTGGAAATGTTATTTGAGTTCTTGATAAAAGAGAAGACAAAAGGCAGTTGTTGTCATGATTTTTCTTCAATTTCAGTTGTTTAATTTCTCCTGTTTGCAACACCACTGCACCTTTACTTTGAGACTCAAATGAGTAGTTTTGATTATTCTTAATTGTTAAAGGTAAGCCTTTAGAAAAAGGAATGTTGCATACTAGAAGGGTCAGCATGGTTTCTTCTGTACTACAGATAATGCTTCCATGCATACATGACGAACACAAGCATCTGAAGTTGTCTGCTGGTTAGGGTAAGACTATTGTTTTTTTTTACTTTTTTTTTTTTTTTTCAGAAGCATGAGTTAAAACTTCTTTGTGCTCATGGTTAAGTAATAGTAAAAAATGTCTGTCTCAAAATGCATATTTAACTTACAAAGCTCTTACTTACTAAGCCCGGATCACTTCTTTGTACTTAGTTCATGCTACGCATTGAGCCTTTTCAGAAGGCTCTTGGTGGCAGTGAAAGTCTCTGTATGTTAGAAAAAAGAATGTGTTTTACAGGTGTCTTTTTCCTATTATATGGATGATACTGAGATGCTTACAGTACAAAGAAGGCTGTAACGTATTATTGCCTGATGAGATTGGAAAAGCCATTCAAATAGCCAAAAAGCTCAGAGATTAAAAAGTTCCTATTAAAATGGGCAAGCTTGTGCACCAGGCCATGTTTGATCTGATTTGGTATCAGTTTATCTTGTTTGCCCTAACATCACGTAACTTTTCTTCTTTTTATAGTTCCTTTAGAAATGTGTCACACTTCCCTTGGTTTTACTTAACTACCATATTATGTGTTGCATGTTGGGTAGAAGTTTTATACAGCAGTTTATAGATAAAAATCAGGTGTTTTTTTTTTTTTTTTTTTTTTTTTTTTTTTTGTTTCAGATGGTGTACATGTATTTGGAGAGGTGTGATCTGTGCAAGCGGCTCAAGCCTGGCACCAGACCCAGTACTGAAACACATTGTTTCCTGTTGTCAGTGTGTCAGTCCTGATGTATAAGAAAACTTTGTACATAATGTAGGCTTCTTTCTCTGAGGGCTTTGAAAACCCAGTTGGCCAATGGAAAATCCTTCAGTCACTTCATTACTTTAAGTAATGGATGGAATGGTGTAGTTTGGGTATGTGCCCGCTGCCATGTTAGGACCTAAGCTGTGCTTGCCCTGTGGTGGCTTGAGAGCTAGGCTGGAGGAGGTGGGGGACTGCTGTTGGGTTGCCCTGGGGTTACACTGCAGCCAGGATTCACAGCTGGGAAGCAAGTAAGCAGGGTGCATTGCCAACAATACCCTGTTTGACTTGGAAAAAATCCCTCGACTACGAATTCCTGGTAAATGGAAGTGAGTATACACTGAGGCAGAACTACAAAATGTTTTCTGTTCTTCTGTCCCCCCTCTCATTTAATGCTGACCCTAGAAGGAAGCAGGATCTGAGGCAATGTCCTGTGGAGTCAACTAAGTTGCTGTTCTGTGAGCTTCTGTGCTGCCATTGTGTCCCATCTGCTCATCCAACTGAAAAAGGAGTAGGGGGCTGCAAAGTGTAAGATGCTTTTCAGTGTGATGTGAGATCAGGCCTCAGACATGCTTAGAGAGGAAAGGGGGAATAAGGAATAGGAAAGCGGGGAAGCAAAAATAACAGGATTGAGGGGAAGGAAGAACATTGTGCAAAGGTCTTCTGTGGTTCTGTGGAGATGTGTTCTTCTCCATCGAGGAGAGAAATGAAGTTACTTAGTCATACCAAGGTTTTCGTAGGTGATAATAGTAACTGTGAGGGATGGAGTCAATTCTGTGACGTAACACCCTGAAATACATATATTGCTTTCCAAATATGTTGAAAAGGAACAGTTCTTCTCACTCAGGCTGTTCAGACACTTCTTTCTCAACTCCCTTCCTGACTGTAATGCAATATAAGTTGTTTGTTAGACACTGCTGTAAAAATTTTTGCTTATGACTTGTTTATACAGCCATGTGTACTGAGTTGTCAGACGTCTGTAGACATGATAGATAACAGATGTGAAGAACTTTTTAAACCAAACCCAAAACACAGAATAAGGAGCAGTGTACAAGCAGGCTTTCATCATGTGCCAGGTGCTGTTCAGAGCTGGTGGTGACTCAGAGAAGGTCTCTAACTTTCCTGAAGTGAAACAAGTGCTTGGCACAGAGGGGACTGGAACCTGAGTTTCTGACAGTAGGGCTGGAGCATTTCTGACAATAAGGCTGGAGCCAAACACATCTGCATCACTAGTCAGTGGTGCTACACTGGGTCTAACAAAGAGGTGACACCTGAGGGGTTTTGATCCAGTTTGTCATGTTCATCCCATGGTTTATCACTGCATCTTTAGTTAGCAAAGTACTGCATAATTTCCAACATATCAGCTGTCCTCCTTATGGTACAGGAAGCTCTGAAATGAAGGAAATGTTTTATTATCTCTCCAAATCTGAATCTTGGAGTCTCTCCTGAAATGTTTATTCTGTTGCTTTCACACATCTGAGCTCTCATATTAGGTTCCCTAGCCCACTTCTAGGCCGAAACTCAATTGTTATCCTTCTTACTGCTTGTTTTACTACATCTAGTCTTTTGGAATAAAATAAACTGGTCTGTTTTCTGATTCTGTCAGAGTGAATTGCATAGGAACTTCTCTGCCTGGAGTGGAGCTGAGGGATTTTATGGGAGGATGCTAGGAAGTTAACAGCATTAGAATAGCTTTCTGTGAGCCCTACATACAGAGTGAGTGCGTAACTAAACCCAAGTGAAAGTACAGTACGCTCTGCCCTGCATCTTAATTGTGTCAGCTGGGATGGGCTTAACAGATTAGTGAATCATTAATGAACGTGCCTAGGAGGGGATTTTGAGGCATGGAAAAAGAGCCTGGGATGACTCTCAAATGAAAGCTCTCTCAAATCTGCCGTTGATAGTGGTTCATCTTTTGATTCCTAAGGCTTAAAAATGAATGGCACAAATACCACTAGGTGATACTCTATGTAGGTCACTCCAAAAGTAATGCCTCCAATTTATTTCCATGGAAACTACAACAGATACAAAGAGCACAACATTGCTTGATAGATTTAATTCTTAATTACGCAACACAGGTTTTCAGCAGTCACTACCATTAGCTCTGATTTTTTTCCAGTGATGAACAGGAGCCTGCATGCTATGCTTGTCGAAATCTACACCAGTGGAGGTGACCCACTGGTTGCCAATGCTGAAATGCACTCTCTACTGCCTCAGTGTTCACATCTGCTGTTTGGTCTCTCTCAACATTCAGCAAGTATTGATGGATGTCAGTGAGTGTCTTTTTTTTTTTTTTTTTCCCCTCATAGAGCAATTCAGTGACATACCTTTGCTTCAAACTTGCTTCCATATCATACGTCGCTTTGTCAGACTGCAATCTGCTGCCATCAGTCCTGTGTCAACAAAATGTAAAGAAATATTTTGGGATGGTTTAACCTCAACTGCCATACTGTCAACATCTGATGTGATTTTATTATTACATAATAAAATAGGAGGCATTACTTTCAGAGCAGCCTTTGTAGACAAGTATATTTTACCTCCTGTTTTCATGCTTGAGCCTTCGGCATGTTTTTGAGTCTGGTTTCTTTTTGGTTCAGTCTGATGCAGGGCTCTCCTTTCTCATTCTGTCTGAATGTCTGCTGCAGCTTGTTTGCAATGATTGGGATTTGGTACGGCATGAGTGCTAGTCTACCACACCATGGCAGCTTGCTCTGAAGGATCTCACAGAATAGCTTCAAGGTATGACTTGCCGTTTGGGGCTCACCAGGTTTTTACTCATGTTACCTGAGTAAAAAGCAGAATAAGCAGAATGCGCTGATGTTTTTTCCCTTGCAATTCTGCACTCAGTTCTTTCCAAACCTTCTTCCTCTCTCTTATTCCCTGGGACAAGTGAGTCAGATTTTCCAGAACCACTTGCCCTTTTTCACTACCTGAATCAGATTCTCTCTGGTCAAGGCAGATATTTCTGTCTCTGCTGTTTCTTCCTTCTAATCTTCCCATTCTGGTTCGTCTTTAACATTTTTGCCCTTTGTGTTTGTATTATTAGTTGCTTCTGCTGTGTCTTTTACCTTTCATAAGTAACACACACACACACACACACAAAAAAAAAAAAGGAAAAGAGGTACTGTCTTTATAACTTAATTAAAAAAAAAATTCAAGAACTCAAGTAGCAATTACTTTTGTTCTTGTAAAATGTGTCCAATAAATGAGTATTTTCCAATCCCACTGACTTCAAATCCACAATTTGCAATGTAGGTTTTGTGGCAACAGATTTATTCCTAATGTGTTATTGTCCTAATTCGTCTGTCTAGCAAATACTACTACAAGAAGATATTTCTGGCTGAAATTGACTCTTCTTTCTGTTCTGCTGCACGTTTTATGCTTTACTTTATTACTTTGCCCTTCTGTGTCTCAGTTCCTGTTGCTTGTCCCATTCAGACTTTGTTTTTGCAGCAGCACTTAGAATGAGTGGATGGTCCTCCTCCCAGGGCTGACCTCTGGTGAGTTTGCAGCTGATTTTATTTTATAATGGCTTTAGGACACAGAGCACTTCAGCTACCCTGGTTGGGGAGGCAGCTTACACCTATGAGGAAAGAGCTGGATGAGCTGAGAGTTGCTCCAGGTATTGGTGATGATGGTCCATCCACATCCCTTCTTTGCAGAGAGAGATCTTCGTCTCCTGGGGAGGTCTTGAGAGGCCACTCAGGCCTCCTACTGCTGCAAAGCTGCAATGGGAGTGAGCTGGGTGAGGGCCTGGTCTGTGGCACTGCCTTGCCGTGTGTTATACAAGGCTGAGGGCACTCTGGGCCTACAGCTGCCCAGCAAATTCTTGCCCCGGCTAGAAGAAAATACCTTTATTTTGAAGAAGTGTTGAGCCCATTGAGATTATCAGTTGAACATGTTCCAGTGATATAATAGATCTGAGAACAGGAAGATGGAGCCCACACAGCATTTCCTGCCTGCAGGCGGAAGGTTTCAAAATTATCACCTTTGGGAAGAAAAAGTTCT